CCCCCCCACCGTTGCAGTCAGTCGGTGTTTAAAAGCAAACCAAAAATTCACACAATTGTTTAGAGATCCCTTTGCCCCGGCTCCTTTTCATGTAGCGCGTGGGGGACTCTGAAGTGGACTCAAGTATACCCAAACATCCCTGAAATTCGGATCACCCATGTATCTCAATTGGACTCAATGGGCCATGGGAGGATTCAAAGTTGAAGTGTTTCAATTGGACTCAATGAGAGGATTCAAAGTTGAACTGTTCGTATTCTCCATTGGACTCACCCATGTCTCCGCTGAGAAGCCAGCCTCTCCCGCGCCCACTCCCTCGGCCCTCCCCTCTGCCGCTGTCCAAAGGGCCGCAAGCCGTGCGGAGTCCGGGACCGCCATCTCGGGCAGGGACAAGGTCTTTGTCTCCGAGAAGGCGTCGGTGCCTGAGGCTGGAGGCGCTTAGCAGGCAGCCTGGAAAATTCGGCCAACCCTTTGTGGGAAATCACCTCTGCTTCACAACCCTTGGCGCAGCCACCTACACAAAACTGAACAGAACCCAAGAAAAAACAACCAAAAAGCAACTAACTTGCCAAGAACAGTGAAGCTTCTTTGTAATGTTGACTCCAAATGAATCAACCCCGGTTTGTGAAAATATGAGGGAGTGTTCCCCTCAAGTGGCCTGAATCCGCACATGTCACCCAACAAAACCCCTCTATTCATGAACTGGGGTTGATTTATCCGGGGTCGACTTTAACCTCTGTGATACATGGGTCATTCCATTGTGAAGGGATTCCCTTGGTACCATAGGTCCTAAAAACAAGTTTCACGCAACCAAAGGCACGGAGAATCTAGGATGCAAAACGGGAGCCTGGCTTCTAATGGAAAATTTGGGGAACGGGCACACCATGTCACCCCAACCAACAATCTGTCCACTCGAGTAACGGACCTTCAGTATGAGTGAGCCAGTATTACCCAGGTGACCTCATCATAAGCTCTGCATCTGAAACGGAAGGCACTTATGATGCAACTTGCAGGTTTATCAAATGACAACAGAGTAGGCCAACAAGAACACATTATGACCCCTGTGCCAACATCGCGAATTGGTTCTTGTTTCATGATGTGCTGATTGGGACAAATGCAGAACTCCTGAAGGTTGAGGGTCCCACCAATAGCCTTCAAGCGCAGCACATTGATCCAGCCGCATCCATGGGATGTTGGCACATCTTGAGCCATACCACACACTTGCGTGTCGGATGCGGAAGCATGCTATTTCCGCCTGTAGACAAGGTTAAATATACACAGCAACACGGTCCACGGCTGTTTTCGGGGGGTTGTCTGTGGTTGCTTGAAGCTTGATCAGCAGCCAACGTCATCGTCTTGCGGTTCTACGTGGGTGGGCCTTCGCACACAAATGTTCAGTCAAACCAAGGGCCCTGCCACTTGAACAAAACTTGCTGGTGCTCAGTAGGGAATGTGGGAATGAACCCAGGAGTCCCCTCAAAGGAAACAACAAGGGATGGTTTATAAGGGTCGTTCCCTCATTCCCTGCTGAAATCCAGCAAGAACATGTCCCATGGTAACCGGAATCTCACCCAATGTTTCCACGCCTGTGAGGTCCACCACGATGCTCTTGGTGTCGCTCATCGGGATGCCCTCGGTCGATCTCCATTTTGGGGCACCCCACCAATTTAGCGAAACGTAAAAAACAACCTGCCCTTGTTGGTGTCTGGCATTTGTCCTTACTCCACACTAAAAACCATCAAGAAGCATGAACAAGTGGCATTCCTGGCTACAATCTTTGCTCTTTGGGGATCACCGCTCCAAAAAAAATAGCCATGGTGTGCCAAGGTCTGTTTTTGTTCTTTGTTGGCTTTTTGATCTAGAGGAAATATTGCGTAACGTTTCCCACATGTTGCGCAAGATGGTGGCCAACATTTGGCAAGCAAACCAAACGACACAAAACCAACAACACAATCCAAAAACCCAAAATCCAAAAGTACAAACATGACAATCCTAGCCCCCTCCCCCCCACCATGGCAGGAAAGTTGTTCTTCTTGTTGTTGTGTTGGCCGAGCGCAACAACTGACCGTGGAATGAATACGTTAACCCACCCCATGGCCTACTTCTTTAGCAGCCATGGGCCATGGCCCGTGTTTGGGGTTGCTGTGATGCCGGAGTCTCTTGGAGCCAAGCTCAACATGTATAGAAAGCCAGGTATGCAAAAAGAAAACGTCTCTGAGGTCCATATGATTTGCCCAAAGCTGGCAACCTCTTTTCCATAAACCTTATACTTCCCCTGACACCAGTCATGGAAGCAGCACTAGGTTACCAGTTCAGTCAAGCAGCTACGGTTCTTAGAGTGTGGGGCGCCTTGCCATGGTTGTGTTGGCGGTTAAGAGCCCGAAACAAGCGAGCACTAACCAGTTAGACAGCCAGCCAGCCAGCCAGCCAACCAACCAACCCAGCATGGTAACAAGCATGCAACAAATGAACAAAACAAAACAACATAGTACAAGCAAGCAAGCAAGCAAACAACCAAACAACTCACAAACAAGCAAACGAATCCACCAGCCAACCAGCCAACCGACCAAAGAACTAACCAATCAACCAACAACCAACCCAACTAACCAATCAACCAACAACCAACCAACTAAACAAAGAAACCAGCCGAAAAACAAATCAACCAACAGGCAAGCAAACGCACAAACAAAAACATGGGAAGACAGAAGCAACGAAACACAGGAACAAAGAAAGTAAAGAAAGAAAGAAAGAAAGAAAGAAAGAAAGAAAGAAAGAAAGAAAGAAAGGAAGGAAGGAAAAACAACGAAATACAATAAAGAAATAAACAGAGAAACAATGACACCAACAAACAAAGAAGCAAACTTATTTATTCAATCAAGCAACAACAAAACAACGAAAACAAACAAAGAAACACAGAACCAATAGACAAGCAAGCAAGCAAGCAAGCAAGCAGGCAAGCAAGCAAGCAGACAAGCAAGCAAGCAGGCAAGCAAGCAAGCAAAAAAGCACCAACAAGCAACAAAAGAATACATACAAAAGCAAGCACGCAAACAACACAAAACTGAAATAAAGACACAAAGCAAAACAAACACACCAAACCGAAACAAGAAGCAAAAGCAACAACCCCAACCAAACAAGCGAGCAAGCAAGCAAGCAAACAAGCAATCAGACAAACCAACAAACAAGCAAGCGAGCAAGCAAGCGGACAAGCACACAAGCCAGCAAGCGAGACAGCGAGCGAGCCAGCGAGCAAAGCAAACAAGCGAGCAAGCAAGCAAACAAGCAAGCACGCACACACGCATAAAATCAGGCAAAGACACGAAGCAAACAAAGAAGCAAATATAAAATCCAACCCAAACACACACACACAAACACGCAACCAAACAAAAATGCCAACCGAACCAACCAAACCAACCAAACCAAAACAACCAACCAACTAAGCAAACAAATACACACACAAACAACAGGAGAGAACGGAACAGACAGACAACAACCACAACAAAAACGACAACAACGAGAACGCAAACAAACAACACAAACTACAAAATAACAAGACACACCGCACAAACGACGCATACAAACCACAAACAACACACAAACGCCTAACGTACATAACACACAACCGTCACAAACAACACCAATAAGACAAACAAACAACACACAAACATCGCGCACAACACAAAAACGCCACAGAACACACACACACACGCAAAACACACACAACAGACAACTTTCACACTCAAATCTTACACACAACACACACACACACACGGCACACACACACACACAACACACACACACAACACACAACACTCACACATAACACTAAACAACACAACATAGTCATAAGCAACAGCACAAACAAACGCCACCACTCACATTACACAAAGAATACACGCACAAACCAAACACACACACACAGACACAAAAAAACACACACACACACACACCCATGCACACGACACAAACAACATACACAACAACTAGCACACACACACACACACGCGTAAACAGATAACCACACAGAAGATGCACAATGCACAAACACAAAGTTGAATACACAACACGCATGAACAAAAGCGAGCAAACAAGACAAACAAAGAAACAGCAACACACACACACAGAGAAACAAAACAAGGACTGATATTGACCTTATGTTAAAACCATGATGCTCGCGTGGGGGTGGCACAACAACAACAACAACAACAACAACAACAACAACAACAACAACAACAACAACAACAACAACAACAACAACAACAACAACAACAACAACAACAACAACAACAACAACAACAACAACAACAACAACAACAACAACAACAACAACAACAACAACAACAACAACAACAACAACAACAACAACAACAACAACAACAACAACAACAACAACAACAACAACAACAACAACAACAACAACAACAACAACAACAACAACAACAACAACAACAACAACAACAACAACAACAACAACAACAACAACAACAACAACAACAACAACAACAACAACAACAACAACAACAACAACAACAACAACAACAACAACAACAACAACAACAATAACAACAACAACAACAACAACAACAACAACAACAACAACAACAACAACAACAACAACAACAACAACAACAACAACAACAACAACAACAACAACAACAACAACAACAACAACAACAACAACAACAACAACAACAACAACAACAACAACAACAACAACAACAACAACAACAACAACAACAACAACAACAAACAACAAACAACAAACAACAAACAACAAACAACAAACAACAAACAACAAACAACAAACAACAAACAACAAACAACAAACAACAAACAACAAACAACAAACAACACAAACAACCAGCCCACACAAACCAAAACACATCGTAGACAACACAAACGTAGACAACGCACACAGCGCGCACACACGCGCACAAACACGTAACAGAAGCAATCACCACACATCCACACAATGAAGACACACAAACACAAGGCAAACCACACAAACGAGCAACGGTAATAGCATCACACAAACACACGCACACGCAACACAGACAACGCAAAGAACATAAGCAGCACACACACACACACCCAACAAAACACACACACACTACATAAACATCACACACAGCATCAACAAACAACGCAAACAAACACAAACAAATATAGACTGCGCAAACATCACTCAACACAAACAACACAGCACAACACAACACACCACAACACACCACACCACACCACACCACAACACATACAGTGCCGCAAAGAACTCAAACAGCACACACAGCATAAGCAAACAACACGGACAGCTCAAACAGCACGCACAAAACACACACAACAAAACAAAAACGGCACCCACAGCATAAAACTGCAACGCACCCACAAAAAAGAAAACAATCATAGACAACGCACACAGCACACAACACAAACAACACACACACGACGACAACTGCGCACACAGCATATCCAAACACCGCACAACACACACATAAAAATAAAAACAAAAATACAGACAACATAAAAAGCACAAACGCACATAATCAACGCACAAGACATAATCAAGTATCACACACAAAGAAACACACACATACAACATAAAAAGGACAAAGACAACACACTACGTACAAAAAGCGACCGCACAGGACGCCTCGGGTTTGACCAGCAGCTTCTTGACCATGGCATCGCCCTTGGCGCCGGCCACCGCATCCGCCCGAATAGTCCAGGAGCCCACTGCCTCACGCATCCGCACACCCACCCACCCACCCACCCACCCACGCACCCGCGCAGGCAGGCAGGCAGGCAGGCAAGCACACACACCCACACCCACGCACACGCACACGCACACGCAGACCCACACGCAGACGCACACGCAGACGCACACGCAGACGCACACGCAGACGCACACCCACACACACACACACACACACACGTGCTCACGCTACGCAAATGGAATCACTGCGTCGCCATAGTTGGCAAGTTCCTGTGATAAAAGCACACCCGACAGAGAAGCATCAGGGAGGTTTCGCGTTCGTCGGCATAGGTATTCCACCCTCAATCACTAAGTTGTTGATTGCTGGCATGACGGCATGACAGCTGAACAAATGCTCAATATTCCACGCCACACTTGGCCGGAGCCAGCTGCTCCTCTTGAGCCCCAAAACAATTCACATGACAGCTGAGGACTCTCTTTCGCAGACTGGACTCCTTCCTGGGGTTCACTATAATCTGTGCAAATTGCAGTAGCTCATAGGCTCATACGCCTTAAATGGGAGGTATAGTCGCAAACCAGAGCCATTGTGATTTGATTCGCGCGGCTGGACTGAGGCATAAGCAAAACCCATTCTTCAACGGGATCTACCACTCAAATGTACAGAATGACAAGGGCAAAACATGCGCAGCGATATCGTTAGGACTGTCCCTTTACTTTCATCCGGCCGGGCTGGGCTTGCTGTCTCAACTGTTCAGGGGTGCAGGGCTCATTGCCCCCAAACTTGGGAGTTTCACCCTCCAACAAGCACGGACGCTGACGGCCGGGTGTTGGAAGACGCCGACAGCCTTTGGGGAAGCCCCCTGTTCTCTTACAGGACCCCCAAACCTATTCAAATGGGGGTTCCAGAATTGGTGGTCTTAAAGTAGACAGCCCCAAAATGGTAGCGGCCTTCTATTTTTTGCTTCTCCTGGATATCACCAAAACGGGTTCCCAAAAAAAGGCACGAGCCCCGGCAGCCCCGGCACCCGTTCCCAAACGGACAAACCGCGCCTTTGGCCTTACCCGCAGCGAGACTCTCGTGGCCTCTCCCTCGAGCACCGAGACAGAGGTGTCGTTCTGGGCGTCGAAATCGGCGCTTCGGTAGGCTGTGGCTTAAAATCTCACTGCCTAAGTGGATTGGTCAGACAAAGCCCAACTGTGTGTTTGCCACTAAAAGCGTCTTCCCAAAAAGTCTAAAGTCCATGAACTGCCTCGAAATGAAATGTTGGTTTGCGGTCTGGTTCCGCAAAATGGTCATCTACCTATTGGCCTGCCTGGAGTCTCCTTGTCATCTACCCAAAACAAGGAGTCATGAGTCATGACTCAGACATGACCCCATGATCATGCGTTCAGGGAGATTGGAGACTCCAGGTGTCGCTCTGATGCGACCAACGGGGTTCTCGGGGTAGGCAAGTCGGTGTGTCGTTGATTCCAGGGCACCGACCGGCTTTGGAGTGGTTTTCACGGCAAACAAAAAGACCAACCATTTGGAGGGGCCGCCATTTTGACACAAACCTGTTTGGCTGTGACTCAAAATGCAGCGAACGGGTCAAAACCGCTTCACACAAATCCGCTTCACATCAGTTGCTACTGTAGGTGGTTTCTCCCGCAGTATGGGGTTCCTTTAGGGCACCCCAAAACGCTTCGTTCATTCCCTCAAAACCCCTCCCACGATTTATGTGAGGACCAGACCAAAAAATCTGGGCCAGTGTTCAAGTCCCCAGCTTGCCGAAACAAGACACCCAGATCTCTGGGTCCAAACAAAACAGAAACCGCCCCCCCAATAGCCCCGACCAGAGACCTGGGCCCGAAAGGATTGGCACCTGCCGCTGAGCCTTGAGCCTCTACCTGAGTTGCCGTAGTATTCATTTGTTGAATGGTCACGTGACAAGCAACACACACACCTTTCCCTCTGAGGGAGCCAAGCAAGTGTGAAAAAGAGCTGAACAAACAAAGCCGCGCCGGGCAAAATCCAGTACAATTGTATGATTGTCTGGTTGTCAAAAATGGGGGTCTCTTTTTTAGTGACCCCAAGAAACAAACACTTGGTGGAGTTCCTTTTTTGGTTTCCCTTAAAAACAAACAACCGCCCCGAACAAGGGGGGGGACCCTCAAAAGAGACACCCCTGCCTGCAAAACCAAAGTGCACCGCCCCGTGACTAGTTCACCACTTGCGGATTCTACTTCGAGTCACAAAAACCAGGCCGACGACCACCTCTATATATTCTCTATAAATTACTGGAGCATGGAAGCCACAGAGCGGTACAGGGCTTACAAGACCTTTTGGTTGATGGCTCTTCATGACTTGGGGGTTGATCAATATTCCTGGCCAAATGACCCTGGATGCAACTGTCCCATTTGGAGACAGCAAATATCACCCTTTTAGTGGTTTTCCGCAATGGTCATCCCATGTAAAGGACCATTTGATCAACCCTCACTTATAGTTACCCTCCCCCGGAAACAATAGGGATATCCTGCGAAAAGCCTCATCCATCATCACCGCAAATGCTGCCCTCTGCTCTCCCAGAAACATGGATGGTGCCGCAGTTGCGCGCAGGGTGAGGCTTCAAGGATGCAAACACTGATGCGCATGAACTTGCCCAACGAACTGGGGCGCAACTGGCCTTGAAAAAACACCCAACCAGCCAACACCCACATGTGGCTGCGCCAAAGGAATGAGAACCGGAATGACCGAGAGAAAAAAAAATCCCCCACATAGTTTCCTAGGGACTCCCCGAAAACCACCCCGGGGCATTCCAAAGCTTTCGCGCCAGCAAGTAAAAAACGGCTGGGGTTTCCCGCCGATTTCGACGTAAGCCCAGGGACACCCGGTCGACTCTGCACAAACCCAAGCGCCTGCCCTTCCAGAAGCTCCACTTCCGGGCTCAGAGTTACCTGCGCTGGGATCCTCGTGTCTTGGGAGGTGTACTCGCCAGGTTCGGGGTTCAAAGGGGAACAGGTGACAACAAATTCACCCCTCCAGAACTTGAAAAAGCCAGGGCCTGCTCAACTCTCACTTAGCACTCCGGGACTCTTAAATCATCTCTCTGCCCAGCGCCTCACCAATCTCGCAAGCACTTGCTCAGCGCTTAATTACCGAGCCTACTAAGTTGGTAAGGAGGGTTCGCCAAAGAAACTACTCGCAAACCCGGGCAGCTCTCTTCTGGAACACTCTCTGTCTCCCCTGAGAGCTCTCTGGAGGCAGAGGCTAAGGGGGGAGGGAGCCATCGGGGCACCGACATCTGGAGGTGTTCCGATAAAATGGCCCCTATGAATGAGGGATAGAAGCAGTGACCCCAAACAAAAGCATCCAACTGGTTTCGCGGGTCAATCGAGCGTTGGGCTGGTCCTTTTTTGCTTGGGGGGTCAATCTGAGGCATCATAAAAGGCCAGACCCCTTATCAGTAAACCAGCAAACCAACTGTGTGCGGCGGCGTCCCCGGGTTCAGGAAGCACCCAACTACCAGGATGTGTTTGCCCCAAGGAATGTAAACAGCTGCTCCTGCCTCGCGCTTTATCACCGTTGAACGCCCGCAAACACGGCGTGCGTTGACCATTGCCGAAGTGGGCAATTTCTCGGAGTGGATTGGAAAAAACACAGATTGTATAATTGCCACCAAAATGGTCTTCCCAAAAAGTTTGAAGTAAGTGAGAAGTGTTCCATGATTAGACTTGGGCCCAGTTATAGAATCTATAGTCTATTGTTTGCTTCCCTTTGAGTCACTGGCAAAATGTAAAATGTATCCTAAGTCTACCCCAGGTTCCCTTCACAGTGGCATCCTTTGTGCAACACAGGTCTCACCCTTTCCTCGATTGGGCAATTGACCCCAAAGGTGGATAACCCCTTCCTTCAGGCCTTCTGAATCAGCCCAAGTGATCACCCTGGTTGATGAAAAGGGGGCTGTCCTAGTTTAGAGGGGATCCTTCCATGAGTGGAAAGCTCCCCTACAGTGCACCAAGCTGATTTATCCGGGGCATGAACAGTCAAGTAAACAATTGAACGAACAAGCGTTCTACGAACCGTGTGCATTAACCACATTGCACGCGTCATCCAGGGCGTGAACTGATGGAGGATTCACCAAGCCTGATGCCCATCATTGAGAGTAGTTGATACCTACTAAAAACTCACCTAACGCCTTGGTTTCATTCAAAGTGCATAGGCAACAACCATTGGCTTCAAACAATACAACACCCACCACCCCAGACCCGCGGTCATGGGAACACAAGGCCATCCTTTGCTCGATGTTCAAGCGAAAACCTCAAAAGCGAAACCTCAAAGAAACCGAGGATGCCAGGCGCCACTCGGTCTGAGTCTGGGCCACAAAACCACCCAAGACCGGCCGACTCAGCTCGCTCGCCTCGCCTGCACCTGGACGGTGAGACTACCGCTGCCCTCCACGTAGTTGAAGACTGCGACGATGAGCTCCAGGTCCTCCCCTGAAAAGGCGCCAACCGGGAAAGCGGGATCATTTCCTAAGGCGCCAGGTTGCATCCGGCGGACTGACTGCCAAAGTCCGAACCTGGTGTTTGCCACTCAAATGGTCTGGCCACAAAGAATCACGTCCCAGAACTCGAGACATTGAAACCTCGAGCACTACTTCATCTTCAATGGGTTTCCCTTTGGTATAGCAGAAAGTAGCACTGCCCAATTTCACACAAGGGTCGTTGCAGGCCAAACCACTCCCTCGCCTCGCACCGCGGCATAGGGCAGGCGCATCTCCACGAAGAGATCTTTGAAGACTCGCAAAGGCGTCCTCAGGCTTTCGCTGTCCGATGCCATGTCTGACAGCAAACCGAAACCTAAACACAAACCTAAACCAGGCAAAGATCTTATGGCTGAGCTTGGCGCGCTGCGCAGAAAGCACCAAGAAGTTGGGGCCTGGAAGATTTAGAGATCTTGCACAGTCTTGCGCCTACGCAAGCAAAAGGGCCACGACCCTGACGGCGCCGCAACCATGTTTCTCCCCTGGACTGGCTTTTTAACCAACACTCCCCCCTTTGCACAGGTCCTTAAGTTCAGGAGCACTCAGGTTTGGGGCCGGGGGGGGATGGGGTGGGTGTTTCCCCAAACATTGCACTGGCAAGCCCTTTCAACTGTCTCCAACAAAGGGCTGGGGACGCGACAGGCAACAATCTTCATAGGATCCCAACCCTTTGGCACAGACCGCAAGCAAGGTATATATACTTGGTTGACGTTGAAAGGGGAGCAAACATTTAAACTTTAGCAGTTGAGTGGGGATTTCCCACTAAACCTTTCCCAACAACAACCATGTATAAGGGACAAGGCTGGTTCCACAAGTGGCGGGCATTTTGTTCCCATGCCGGAGTGGTTTTTGTGAGACCCCGGAACCTGATCCAGGCTGTCTCGGGGCAAAAAAACAAAATCGACCCAAGGTGACCGCGGGAGCGTGGAAAAGTCATGACCGTGGCTTCAAAGACCCAAGGGATGGCTTCTGTTCGCTCGCCTCGAATCACATCAACAGCTCCGTCGTGGTGTTCTCAAAATCGGGGGGAATTTTGCAGGGAGGTTTTTTCCGTTTTTTCTTTACCATTAAAACTCTCCACAAAGGGTAGACATCGCACCAATATGATCCCTTCCAGATTTGGGGGCAAGCTGGTTTCCACTACGCCGCCTTTTGTGCTGGCATTGTGCAAGTCGACCCAAAGTGGACCAAGTGGAAATACTCTCCTGCAGGTTAAGATGGAACCCAAAAACAACTCGTTGGTATAGGAGTCTCGTTTTGGGGAATTCCCTACCTAGCTTCCATGTTGAACTGCCGGGGAGGAGGTTGAAAGAGCACAATCTGGACGCACGTTCGACAAACCCCACCACGACAAACCCGGCAGCTGAACATGTTTCCTTTACATGTGGGTGTATGCTTGAGACTTGCGGGGTCCCCCCTTTTAGCACATACCCAAGTGACATCGAATCTCCACTGCTCCCCCAACTCCCACTGCCGCCGGGTATCTCAGCTCGAACGGCAGAGATGCCATCCGGAGACGTGGCAAACGCCTCCGCACGGCCAGCGGCGGCGCCCGCCGCATCGTTCATTTGTGTGTCCCTCCCACCAAGAACCATGGAACAGGCAATTTGTCGTGTGCACCAAGCATTATTGTTTGGTACTCGTAGGGGATTCAAAACAAGCCTTTAGATCTTTTGGGTTCTGTGTCTTGACAATGCTTTGAGTCACACCACCAGACGGCTAGCCGCTAGCCTTGCTTATTGCCAAGCCCTTTGGGCAAAAGGGCCTCCAAGTACTAGCGTCCTACCTTCCGTACTAGCGTCCTCCAAGTACTGGAAGCTTCCACGTGCAAAGGTGCCCCTAAACAAGGATGTATCGAATCACATGGTCCACTATGTACAGTCAATATTACATCATTTAAACATGTATACATGATTATACATGTATATACCATACACGGAAATACAATAACATACGTACTCACACTAACAAGTCAACATCATGACCTGCGAAAACAACACACAAATACCGTGGCAGGAAATGGAAGACAACACCCCGCCTCCAGGCTCCACGAGGTAATGGTGTCGGGCGCCGTCACCGGCAAGCTCGCGCTGGCCGCCTCGGCTGCTCGGTTTTGGGCCTGATCAAAAGGAACGCTGCCAAGGCGCAAGGGAAGACCCATGAATCATGGACACAAGCTACGGGAAATACTTGCAGGAAATTGGTCCAAGTTTAGCCAGAAACAAGGATTTCCTGTATGTTCAGTAGCTGGCTTCTTAGACCCAAGTGAGTTTGAAGGGAACCATGGCTCTCAAAACTGGAGACCCTTCCGGAAAGCTATTTTCATCTGCGCACTGGTAAAAAACTCCACAGACAATCCTTATAATCATAGTTCCCTTTACAGCCTTCAACACAGGAAACACATTGAATCAACATTTTCCAGACCAAGTGCTAGGCTTGGAGACATCATGGGATCTACAACCTTGCCAAGACGCCTCCAAGAGGTTTGGGCTCAAGCCGAGACGCCTCCCAAGACTAGCCTGCTGGCCGGAGAAGTGGCTGTGGCTCAAAAACATGTACTAGAATGGCCCCTGGGTAAATGGAACCAAAGACTAAAACCTGCGTAACCCCAGCTCTTAAATTTTGAGCCACACCCAAGTGAATCCTTTCTACTATAGATACCTCGAGGCGTTTGCGGGCGGGCTGCCCCAATTCCATTGATTCAGCTTCCCCAAGGGCCAAAGGGCAACAGGGCAAAAGGATCCCCCAACACTTGGGACAAGGAATCCCCACGCAAGGAGTCGTCATGATGAGGATGCAACCCCTTGTGACTGTGAGCCTGCTGAAAATTGGCGAAAACATGAAGTTCCAGGGTAACACAACGCTAGAGGCAGCTGGTAGATCACACGTCCTCTGCAAGAACTAATTCCATGCCAGCTTTAGGTGCCATGCCATCTAGTCCTTGTGCTTTCACAAGTTAAATGAACACGATGCTTCTGGTCAAACTAGAAAGACCTACTGTTGACATGCCCAAATGACAAAATAAGGAAAGCCATTTATTTAACCATTGAGCCTTGAAATGTTGCGCTTTCCCAGAAACTGTTTCCGCGAATTACGCCCAGAGAAAGCAACGACATGTTTGATTGCACTAAAGCCAGTACACCAACTGTCTGCCAAGCGGCAGTCGCGCCTGGCAACGGACGGGTGCCAAAGGGTTTCAATTCCAGGTGTCGCGATCTTCTATCCGTGTAGCCTCATTGATCTGTCCATTGTCATCAGCCCCTAAGTGATATGTCTTGAACGATTAACCCAGTTTGTGACGTTGATAAGCCTAGGTGTCCCTTTGGACAAGTAGAAAACCGTTTGCCTGATTTGAACCAACCTAAGGCCAGTTTCCATCAGTTTGCGACCAAACCGACAAAAAAACGACAACGACTATGTATGGTTAACATCAAGGGCCCAGTCCATGCAAGCCCGTTACAACCGTAACGCGTGAAACAAGTCAGATCAACTGGCTCATGCAGGCAAGATTGTCTTCTGAGACCTAGGAAATAGTCTAACATTTCAGTAAAACAAAAATGTGAAATAGAAACGTTGACCCGAAGTGATTGGTCTGCGCATGCCGTGCTTCCACCAAACAAACTAGGGGATCGGGACAAAACAAACACTGCCGGACTGTCTCCAAGTAAGCTACCACAAACATTGTCAGCTGCTGGTAGCCACAATCAACACTGGATGCTACCCGGGAGTCTCGGAAAACATATTATAAGCAAGAAAACAAAGAAACACATTCCCCCTGCAACTCTTGGTATGGTAGCAAAACACTTTGTTTCTTGCAGACAGAGACAAAAACCATGCCAATAGGGAAGTCCCCTGTGCCCGAGCTAACGGACCTGAACATTTCGGGGTGCCCCTCCCCCTTCCCACTGTAAGTTGGTGCGTGTGTTCGATTTTGTGCCCACTTCACCTTCTTTGCTGTTCCGCTTGTCATCGCAAGTTTTCAAATTCCAGGCCCTTTGGTTGCAAGCAGCGGACGGCGATTGACCATGAAGACTCAGGCACACATGGGGGGATGTATCCAAATTTCCGCCGCATTTGCTCTGCCATGACTTCCTTTCAGGCATAAAAAGGGCTTATCGGATGGGACATATATGCCGGCATCAAATCTCCGTACGTGGCCAATGGTCATGGTTCTCTTAGGAACACCATTACATGAATCGACCTGAAATAGCGTCGCATCAAAACCTGGCAAAACCGGGTCCTGGCTCCAAAGCGATGTCCGTCCAAATCCTCGAATGGCTTTGGGTTGTGCGATGGGTCTGGCAAAAGGGGAGGGGGGGGCACCTCTTTAATTTTCCCCATGTGCACACTCTGAGGGTGGTTTTTCTCACGACGCCCCTCTAAATGTTTCCTGTCAGAAGATTACAGAATTGTGGAGTCTGCAGGACCAGGGTTGGTTGTCTAAGGAGAAGCCAGCTGCCTCAAGTCCCTCGAAGCCCTTTAGAAACCGGTTGGTTTGCCCTTTAGAAGCCACTCAAATCCCCCTAGAACCGATACAGTTCGCCTATAGAAACCTGTCAAATCCTCCAAAAACCGGCCCAAGTCCAATCAAATCCCAGGAGAAACTCCTGTAGTCAAATTCCACTCTGCAAGCCAACTCCAGTCAAGAAATCAAATTCCCCTCCAAAAACCGTCTGACAAAACATCCCTAGAAACCGGTCACATTCATTGCATATTCCCTCAAACTTCGCTTGGCCCCAGTCCACTGCCCTTCTGTGGCTTTCTTTCTGCCCAGCCCTTGAAGGCACACGAACATGTGCCGGCCCTCCATCTTGCAGCCGACTCACTCACTCACTCAAACACAACACTTCAAGGCAAAACAAACCAGAGCAGTACCTCAAAGACAGCCAAAAGCATTCTGGCTGAGGCGGGCAACGTGAAGCGTTCCCAACACACAACAAAAACAAAACAAACACACGGGTGACGGCAAGTGACATCCCACCCATCGATCCCACCCATCCCATTCTCAGTCAGTTTTCCCAAGCTGGACCCTTGCAAGATCTGTCAACGCTCGTGACGGGTGAGGCTGCCATCTGAAGCCTCCCTCATGCATCTGGCAACCTGTGGCAAGCCGGAGGAGTATAGTCAACCACATCCAACGTTCAGCGCACCCACCATAGAACGACACAATCACTATTGATTGTCTGTAAACATAAAGCGTCAAGGTCAGAGTCCTGCCACACTTATGGGAATTTCAACACCATCTGCCCGCCAATATGAAGCTCCTTCTGGAAAATACGAGCCGCAGCCACTATTCATTGCGTTCCCAACTGACATGGCAATTTGGTGAGCAGCCCCGATCGCGTGTGGCAGCTGAGAACCTTTTCGGGCTTCTCCTCCGTCCAACCCCCCCATCTCGCGCACCGCAGGGTACGAGGAAGGGCAGGCTTGGAAGTCCCCCGCAAACAAGACCGGATAGTCGGGCACAAAGGGGGCAGCAAAATCAAAGGCATCAGACAGCAGCTCCTGGTTGCGCTGAAAGATAGGATCGTCCGAGGAGGCGCCAGAAATGCCATAGAAATTGATAACCAGGAACCGCAGCCGGCCAAAAGTAGCCCAAACCACATGGAAGCGGCCGGAGGCCAGCATAGGCTCCAAACGGCCAGTGACATCATGCTGGGGAGCAAAGTCATAGACAAGGCACTCGTGAGAGAGAGCAGCGAGCCCCCCCCCACTCCACCCGGCGGACACCGTTCACGTCGGATGTGATGGGGAGCAACGGCCCAGGAGTCAGCGAGCGACCAGCCTCAGAAGCACGGAAGGTGGCAGTACGAACATTGTCAACCAACAAGCGGGCCTCCTGCAACAACAGCAGAGACACCGGAGCCTCAAACAAATCAGCATGGGCAGTGAGAGAGCCCACGTTGTGAGAGCGAACCACAAAGGGGCCTTCGCCAGGAAAGCCCAGAGTGGCATCAAAATCGCGGTACAGCCAAGCCCCCAACCTAGAGAACGCACACAGGGCAAACCGACAAAGAGGCGCCCAGCAATGACACAGGGGGAGGCCAGTACCAGCCCCAGGCTGAAAGCCTGTCGCAAAACCCAACAGATGCAAGGGGGGCCCAAGAGGCCCCCCCTGTCAAGCCCCAAGCCTGGCTGCCTTGAAGGCAGGGGCTTCATCAGGAGAACTGGCCCGAGTGCCCTTGACCACAGCGCCAAGGATGCGAGTAAGCTGCGCCGATACCTGCGCGAACTGGCTGTCGACCTTCTCGGTCAGCAAGTCCTGCTTGGCCTCAAGCCCACCGACGCGGGCCTCAAGGGCATCAACCCGAGACTGGGCAGCAGCAGGAGCTGCACGGGGCATAGCAGGAGCAGGACTGGCACGAACCTGAAGATCTGGCAATCCAGGGCGGGACCAGGGCTGCAGAGGGCGCTGCTTGCCGGTGGAGTGCCGAAGGGCAGGCTCCGGGGTGAGGAGCACTTCACATGGATGGCCGGCGGACAGGAGAGTGAAGTCCCGCACAGGGGGGTCCTGAGAAAAAACGAGGACCCAAACCAGGATACCGGATCGACGGAATGACCGAAGGGGGATGCAGGCAAAGCCAGTGGCCTTGAGAACGGCATCCACGATGGCCTCAGGCGTGGCACCAAACGGCAACCCCTCCGCCAGAAAGTTGACCCGAGGCACCAAGGCCCTGTTGACATCAATGAAACGCGGGTCATCTTGCAGGAGAGCGCGCCTGGCAGCGGCGAGATGCAGGTGAGCGCCCGCTTGAGGGGGGCAAGGCCGCAAAACCCATCCAACGCCCTGGTGAGGGCAAGGGCAGCTCGGACCCCATCCACAGAGAGGGCCCAAAAACGATGGACAACCGAGTGGTCCTCAGGCTCAGTGCCACGGGCCAAGAAATCCCTGACAAAGAACTGGCCCGTGCCGGACAGCCGGAGCAGAGCCGGGCGGTGGCGAAGGGAGACCTTGACAGTGAACTGGATGACCCTCCCCAGGCAGTGGGGAGTTTGCTGAAGGACCCTCAGGGCATAGCAGGCCTGAACAGGGTGAGAGGGCTGGGTGAGCTCAAAGACAGCACACAGCTCCATGAGAGACTTAGAAAATCTTAGAAAGCAGAGGAGGGAAATCAGGGTGAGCCTCTCAAAGCACTCAACCACCAGCTCAACAAAATCAACAGTCTCAATGATCAATGATGATGGCGTCCACAACCTCAGGGCGGTAGACGATGCCAGGGAAGAGGTGCACGAGCAACACCTGCCTCTTGTAGGCAACCGCAGCAACTGGATCAAAGACCATGATCTGCAGAGGGCCATCAACCTCGACATGGGGAGGGAGGGCAACCAGGGAGGCCTTGGACTGCCCCGGGACAACAAGAGCAGAGGGTCCAGGGGGGCAAGTACTCATGGACTCACCAAGGGCATTGGCCGGACAAAAGGCCAACCCGGCTACCAGCGGCCCAAGCTGACCACGCGAGCTTGGAAGGCGCAGGGATGGGAAGCAGTCAGGTTCCCCCGAAAAACGGTAGCTTCCCCGCAAGCCGGGTCAAATCCCTCAAAAACCGGTCAAAGCCCCCAAGCCGGTCAAATCCCCCTCTAGAAAGTCGCTGAAGACCGCTCCAACTCCGGCCAAATCCCTCTAAAAACCGGTCAAACTCCCCCTCTAAAGCTGATCCAACTTTGATCAAATAATAGTCAAAATCCCCTTACAACCGGTCAAATTCCCTTCCAGCAGCCAATCCAATCCCCCCGAAAAAACCGTAGAAACCGATCAAGCTCCCCGCTAGAAACCTGTCAAATCCCTCCGGCCAAATTCCCCAGAAACCGGCAAAATTCCCCCTCAGAAACCAGCTAAATTCCCTTCGCTTGGGCGCCCAAGCTCGCTGCCATTCTGCAGCTCTGGTTCTGGCGCCTAAAGCCATGTCCAAACACGCAGACATGCACCCACCCCCTACCTTGAAACCAGCTCACGCAAACACACGACTTCAAGGCAAACTAAAGCACCAGCCAAAAGCGGACTGGCCGAGGCGGGCAACGCACAGCGTTTACAATTATTTTGATGGGTTTGGTTCCTCCGTTTGAACAATCTCTCCGCCGAGCACCACGGGGACAGGGCTCTACCCCCTAAGAGGATCCTTGGACCTCGGGATCGATCCCTCCCTCCCAAGAAATGAAGACGACGGGATTCCCCCCGTTCGCGCAGCTTGACGCACACCTCAAGGGTACAGGGGAACCTTAGAGCTGTAGAACCAGGGGTGCTCAATCGGAACAAATGGTGTTCAATGGTTGGCCCCGTGAAGAAATGAAACCATGCGAGTTGCGATTTGAAGCCTCCATCAAAACGTCGAGGGAGACGGGCCTGGGGCACTGTCTAGACGTCTACAAAGCCACATGTGGCACACAGCACGCCTGCCCTAGTTGAGCCCTGGGCGAAACTCCCTCACAATAGTCGTCGTCATGACTTACTTAATAGGATACCTTGCAATACTTGGCGAAAATCCCCATCAAGAGGTCCATGAGCATCCCCCCACAGAAACCAAAAGTGTAATCTGAGCAAGAACCCTGCGGCTTTGCCATCAAGCGTTTGCAGGCGGTGAGGCGCTTGAAATCGCCCCCGCAACTTGAGCCAAAACGATAGTCCAACATAAAGAATGTGAACGATTCGATTCGGATCTGTGAGTTGGATGGTTTGACACACTGCCTGGTCTCCTGGGCTGTCCTCAGATTTTCTGCTAAAAGTTTAACTTTTAGTGGGTTACATGGAAACCACCACTAAACCCTAAAAAGCTAAAAAGCTAAGAAGCTAGGGGATGGCTCACCGAGCCACGTGGTCAGTAACCGCAGTTACAAACAATCCCAATGTGCCACGCAAACTTCTCCTGGGCAGAAGTACTGCTTTGGCTAAGCGCCTACCAATTAATCCGGGGTTGCCACCTCCGCATGCCGAATAACAACAAGCCGAGGCTCCATGTCTCAGGGAAGAAGGTTCGGACCGCCGCGGAGCCAGTAGTGTCAGCGGCGCCTTGCGACTTGCTGGGGTCACTAGCTTACCAGTTCGGTATGTGCAATCCTTACCAGGCTTGGAACAATTCAATACCGCTTTGCACTCAACATTGCACCCACTGTTAGTCGGGGATGCAACCCTACTTACCATTGTCCAAGTCACCTCCTCAAATTGGGCTTGATCAAACCCACTTCCTGAGTGGATTAGCCCCATAAAACCGCGCGACATGTGGGGTTCCTGCTAAAGTGATCTTCCCAACACGCTCAAAGTCTGGAAACATTTTGTAAAGCTCGTTAAGCCACACCTTCCCAACTGGAGCCTAACGCACTCTAACTTTTGACTTGAACTCAATAGGTTTGTTGGGGGCCGCTGGATCTGGCCATCCCTTGTTCTTTTGGGGAATTCAATGGTGGTGCGGGGTTTACAGACACCTCACTCGCACGCGAAGCAATCCACGTGCAGGCAGACTGGCGCAAACCAATTTCGAGGGGCCGCAACAAACAAAGTAGGCCATCCCCACCTAAAGGATCCAATCATGTTCTTGTTCATATGGAACCTTTTGTTTTTGGGTAAACCACTTTTTCTTGGTTTGACATCATCTGATGTCCAGAAAAGATCTTTCTGGGTTTGCACAAGCCGGCCTTAAAACCAAATACTTTTCACAATACCGCGGTACATATACCGCGGTATTGTGAAGACGATATGAGCTGAACATATTGCCACATGGGTATGGGTCAAAAATAGACCACCAAATAAACCGCAGGTTTTGGTCCCTGTTTCCATTTACTAGGGTTCCATTTGGGGTACCCTTTCTTGACCCACACCCACATCGCTGAGGACCTCCCCAAAAGTGCTGAGCCAAACCCATAGCCCCGGTCTGCTTCGCCGATTCGCGCTCCGCACCTGCGTCCGCGGTGGCCTCGCCGAGGAAACGCCCCAAAACCACGGTGCGTTTTGGTTGGTCCCGGTTTTGCATCGACGAATTCAGGAAATGGAGCCGTTTGGGTTCCGTGAAACGGACGCCATGCTGGGTGTCCTTTTGGCTCAAGGCGAGCCAGCGTCCGAGCCTTCTAGCTGCCATCGCAACTGAGATTTCATAAAATCGACACCCACAGAATCAAGGAATGCGAATGTTTCTCCAAAAAACGCTTGCAAATAATGGTGGATCAAGCTTTGGAGCAGTCTGCAATACTTCTTTCATACTTGGGGATAGTAAGCCAAACAATTGGGGACCACTGCTCATTTGCAAAGGCTATCGAAACTGCAGGTCAACCAACCACAGGCCCCTTTTTCGGTCAATATTGCACAGCAATAGGATGATATGAAATTCATGTTTGTTGCATGACGATTCAAAGTGACTTTTGTAAGAGAACCAGGTGTCCGTGCCCTATCAAGCATTCTAATTGAACTGTGGTCTCTGACCCGATTCGCCGATTCTGGGTCTGTGGAAGGCAATCATGTTATCTTCATTCTTTATGGCTGGCGTGTTCATGGGCGTCTTCAAAAAGGGCTTTGGTTGTCTAAAAACGAATTTGCAGGTCAGTTTGCCAAACCATGGCTTGTTTAAGGTGACTGAATGTGGGCCAGGAAAAAGGATGATCTTTACTCGGGGTGTCGGAAAATGAGCGTGGCTTTTTGAAGGCTGGACCCCACAAAGGACTGGCTTTCCTTGTGGTGTCCCTTTAAAACCACCAAAAAGGAGGTAGCCTCAAAAACAGACACACCCATATAGCGGAACAGGCTTCGATTGCCGGCTCAAAGATTGCGCATGAAAGCAGTTAACGTTGCTTGGAAGGGCCTGGTCTTCAAGCCTTCTGCATGCTAAATGGCTAAAGCAAATGCTTCCCCGGCCACGTTAAAGTGGGTATCCAGGAACCCCCTTGCTTGACAAACGATCGGTATCATCCGAGTGTCCTGTTGAACAACAAGCTGGGTAACACTTAACCCCAACCAAATGGGGGCTCCCACTTCCCATTTTGAACTCCACATGTAAGGTGTTGGGGCTTCTTAAACGAAATTTATCAAGCACAAATTGCATTGAGCCATCACACATACACCGCTACTTACCAATCTGGGTGGATCATTCAAATTTGATCCGGACGAACGTCATATGTGGTGTCTTGATTGAGGTTATCTTATATAGGGTCGTGCTTTCGGTAGCCTAGTTGGGGTCTCATTCAAATCTGACCCCAAACAACTTTCGTCTAGATTCGAAAGAGACCCCTAGTAAAATGGCCATGGGTCAAAATCCCGTACCCCAGTGAACATCAAAATCCCCACTGACATAGACCCAAATGGGTGGTGCACCTACCCCAAAATGGGATCCCAAAACGGTTTTGACAACCACATTCAAATACCGGGGCTTTCCCAAATTTGACACGGCACAACCGGTGCTTTGGTTTTTGCGAAATTCAGCGCGGGCGGGCCTCCTCGTTGTGCTTCATGACTGGCAAGCGGGGGCAGGCTCAAACAGCGATGTGTTTTGCCGAGGGGCCGTGGTATAATAGAAGGCAATGGTTTTAGTGCAGTATCGTCGCAAAAAAGCGAATACCAGCGCTATCCACTCATTACTCTTCCAAAAGGACACCCAGAGGGTAAGCGGACCCTAAGCAATGGTGTCCACTGCCCCCTAACCAGAGGCTGATATCCCACGACCCCCCAAGGTTCCATTAGCGGTTTTGGACGAGCTCAAGCCAAGGGTCAGAGATCCGCCACATGCGGAGGGCCCCTCAACATTCAAATTGGCTGCAACCAAAGGCCGCCTAGCACCACTTTCAGAGTCCCGCTTCCCGGGTCCTCTAGTCAAAACTTAGAAATATAGGCAGGCGGATCTGCGAAAGGAAAGGACAGCAGCTGGGCATTCCCCTGCAAACAGCCATTGCATGAATCCAATAAATCGATATGGCCACGGCTTGCTTGCTGGTTTTTCTTAGGCTAAATCTGAAAACTACAGGTTGGAACCAGGAGGTTCCATCCCCGCCGCGAGTGCACGGATTGTTGAGCCTACCACTAGAATGGTCTTCCAGCGAGGGATGCTTAGTACTGGTTGGGGGGGGGGGGTGCAAGATCCGTGCACCATAAGCGGATTTCCACCCCCCCCATACATACAACAACCAACGAAACGTATACCCTTTAGGTGGCCCCTAGAGGTGGCATTTAGCCATGCTTTCCTTGCAGGGGGTGTAGGATTGGGCAAGCCACAATAATACTGCAGTATCCAGCAAAACGGTGCTGTGGGTTTTAGGACGGTTTCCTTGGCTATCTGCTATAGAAAGAAATAAGGAGCGCCCAAAAACCATCGACTTTTTGTTCTATCATGGTAGGAAGGCTTAATGGGCTTGCCTCATAATAGGGGACCCCAAACGATGGTTCGTTTCCTCCTAAAAAAAGACACACCCCAAGCTTTTGCCTATAGATGCTCCCCCTGACTTATTAGACCCGCCGGAGGTCTCCGGGGGCCCGCGGTTTCACTCGGGTCCCAGGCCCCGACCCCCGCCTGGAGCAGCTGCTCCTTCTGCCATGGCCATCATCGGTACCATCATCATATCGTCCACCGCTTCGCCGCCGCCGCCTGAACTCATTCTGAGGGTTTTTGTATAACACCCTGGGATTACACCCTTGGGAATTGACCCAGAATGGTTGCCCTGAGATTCATCGAGCTGTAGCACAGTTGCCCTAGACTCACAAAATCAAAGAAAGCGGCCAGGCGACATTGCACCATGAAGCCACTGGAAGATCAATAGAGCTTAACCTTGACAGCGTTGCCGTGTCTGCCCGGCCAATGCTAAGCCTGCCGATGAGTTCCAGCACATGCTTCAAAATAAACAACGTCATATTTACAATTCACGCATCTAGACTTATGTCTTTAACTGTATTCTAAATATGAACTGCACCTTTTACTTTTGAACCGCATAAACTGGAATTCGGTATACTCGGACAATTGCGATTTTGACGTTTTCGTGCATGGGAAAGGGGAGGCCATTTGAACGAGGAGGGAAGGTCGGAAATACGGCCGCCCCCCAAATAACCCTAGAATATCATATCATGTGGGCGCCAAAGAACATTCATGATTCTGCGGTGTGTGTGTGTGTGTGTATTGTTTGGGGGGTAACTTCGGGTTCTACCTTGAGATGTCCGGTTGAAATTCCTGTAGCTGGGCTCTGTGTCACTTTGGATTGAAAGGCCCCCACTTGAATCCCGACAATTTTGTTTGGCAAAATCTAACTAGCCTGATGCAGCCTGATGCCATGAGAGAAACGATAGCTTCAACCAGGCAACCCCCTACACAATGCAACACTTACCAAACCTGCCTACAAAATGACCTAACCAGGCCAAACCCCTTAACATGGCCCTAGAAAACCAGAGACACATAGCCTCTTCAAAATGATGGCGTTTTGCGTCTGAACCCATTTTATGGCAGTCTATGAGCCCCAAAAACCACCGGGTCTACCAAATTGGGTTTCTACACCTTGAGGGCCCCGACGTGAGGCATGAACCCAGATTCACAATGAAAGTAACAAGTCCTGAGGGAGCTCAACCTCAGCCATTTCGTAGGAGACATGCAGAGGGGATATTACATGCCCCTTGCCATCTCGAGCAAGATGAAATGAGCTTGTTAAACTTGCCATCTCGAGCAAAGTGAGGTCTATCGCATCCTTCCCAACGATTGGCTTTCTCGAATCATGTTGTCGGAACCCGCCTGAGCTGCAAACCGTTCCTGACATGCCGGAAGGGTCTTCTTTGATTCCTTTGAGCCGCATTATTTCTCAAACACATCTTTTCAGGACATCCACAGAAGTCACTCTGACAAACAGTGAGAAACACAACTTTCTCAAACACAGTGAGACTTTCTCAAAGAAAAGTCACTCTGACCCCAGCCCCCACCCTAAGGCTCACTTTGACCTTCGGGTCATTCAGGGCAATTCTTAACGAAAATCAAATCTGGGTGAGTCAGAATCGATCAAACAGGGGCCTTGCCGATAGGAAGCTTCACTGACAATGAGGCCGGGCACGAAATGTGCAACACACCGCCCAGTACCTCGCTTGGATTTTTGCAGGGTACCCTTTTGGAGGTTGGTTTAAAGGGAAACGCGCAACCAAAAGCACAACCACCATCTTGGGGGATACTTTGACAAGATATAACCCACACTAGTTGTTGGAATCCTTCAGAGGTGATGCGGTTGGTAAATCAAGCAGTTCAGTCCTGAAGGGTGGTTTGACAACCATGATGATTCAAGGGTTGAATACGTCCTTCAGCGGATCATGACCATCCCTGCCAATCTTGGGCAAAAAGGACACATGATCATGGCACGACATCAACCATACATGTTTGGGATTATGGCCACCAAGTGATCAAGCGTTTTCACCATGGCATTGTGTGCGTTCTGCTGTTTGAGAGCGGTACTCAAAACAGGAGCCCGTGTTCTTCTCATCCATCCGAAAGGCAGAGCCATGGCCCCTCCTTTTGTCCCAAGAGGTTTTCCAGGTTCTTCCCAAATTGGGGGTATTCAACAAGAATGACGTGTGTCCTGTTTGGGTCCCCGAACATGCTATGTGGGGGGGTTCTTTCGGCGCCGTAAATGCCATCCATGGACAGCGAGTCCCTTGTTCTCCAAGTTAACTTTCCCATTTTCAGAAAGCCGCCGATCCTCTGAGGGAAAGGTCAGGTATTGAAAAGCATGGCCAAAAAGAACCAGCACCCGGCTCCGAACCACTGCTTTGGGACAGTACCAAGGGAAATTCTGGACATGAAAAACAGCAGCTGGGTGCTTCGCAGCACCAAACCTCCCAGCCGTCCCAACCCCAGAACAATGTGGATGCCCTGCCATCGTAGAGCGGCCGCGGGCAATGGTCACCCAGCGGCTGGCAGGCGAAACGACACCGCTGAGTCGTCTACTTCAAAAGGCGCTACCCTCCCAATTCACATGGAACCTGCCCTTCGGGACCCGGTCCCTTGAAAGGAATCCAGGAACATGGTCCAAACCACAACCCCCCGACGTCTCTCATGTTAGTGGGTTTTTTCCCGGAAGCATTGCGAAGGGCTCTTCTTCTAAAAGCGGCTGCCAACTTCACCTGCCAACTTCTCATGCCAACTTGTCGAGAGTTACTTCACCTGCCAACTTCTCATGCCAACTTGTCGAGAGTTACTTCACCTGCCAACTTCTCATGCCAACTTGTCGAGAGTTACTTCACCTGCTAACTTCTCATGCCAACTTTTTGAGAGTTACTTCACCTGCCTACTTCTCATGTCAACTTTTCGGCTGTTATCTCATTCTACTAAAAGCACAAGCTAATTTGTCGGGTGTTACTTCACTATCCTAAAAACACAAGCTAACTTTTCTGTTCTACCTTCACTTCTCGACTCTTAATTCTTCTTCTTTTTATGGCGGGGGTAGGCCCGACGGGAGCTTCTCTTTTAGTCTGCGAAAGCTTACGCTCTGCGGAGACGAATTTGTCTTGACCTTGGCGAACCCTCTGCGGAGATCGTGCGTGTCGAAGCGCTCTCGCTGTGGCGCCGTGCGAATTTGTCTTGAGCCCGCGAACCCTCTGCGGAGATCGTGCGTGTCGAAGCGCTCTCGCTGTGGCGCCGTGCGAATTTGTCTTGACGCGGCGAACCCTCTGCGGAGATCGTGCGTGTCGAAGCGCTCTCGCTGTGGCGCCGTGCGAATTTGTCTTGACCTTGGCGAACCCTCTGCGGAGATCGTGCGTGTCGAAGCGCTCTCGCTGTGGCGCCGTGCGAATTTGTCTTGAGCGCGGCGAACCCTCTGCGGAGATCGTGCGTGTCGAAGCGCTCTCGCTGTGGCGCCGTGCGAATTTGTCTTGACCTTGGCGAACCCTCTGCGGAGATCGTGCGTGTCGAAGCGCTCTCGCTGTGGCGCCGTGCGCATCTGTCTTGAGCCCGATGAACCCTCTGCGGAGATCGTGCGTGTCGAAGCGCTCTCGCTGTGGCGCCGTGCGATTTTCTTGCTCGCGAAACGGCTTTTGGAAGTTGTCTCGTGGTGCGCGCGCCTGCTTTCGCAATCCCGCGGTCCCGGGTTCGATTCCCCCCTGGTCCGCGGCAGCTCCGGCTTGAAAATCGCAGCTTTTAAGTACAAACGTAGTACGCGGAGCGTGCTCCTGCAGCTCCGGCTGGAAAATCGCAACTTTTAAGTACAGACGTAGTACGCGGAGGCTGCTGCAGCTCCGGCTGGAAAATCGCACTTTTTAAGTACAGACGTAGTACGCGGAGCGTGCTCCCGCAGCTCCGGCTGGAAAATCGCAACTTTTAGATACAAATGGCTGGAAAATCGCAACTGTAAATTGCAAATGTAGCACGCGGAGCGCCTCCGCCGCTCCAGCTTTTTGAGGGTTAATTACTTCACCTGCCAGTTTCTCATGCCGAAACTTCGAGAATTACTTCACCTGCCAGCTTCTCATGCCACCTTTTCGAGAGTTACTTCACCTGCCAACTTCTCGTGCCAACTTTTCGAGGAGTTACTTCACCTGCGAGCTTATCATGCCAACTTTTCGAGAGTTACTACACCTGCGAGCTTCTCATGCCAACTTTTCGAGAATTACTTTACCTGCCAACTTCTCATGCCAACTTTTCGAGAAATACTTTACCTGCCAACCTCTCGTGGCAACTTCACCTGCCAACTTTTCGAGAATTACTTCACCTGCCAACTTCTCATGCCAACTTTTCGAGAAATACTTTATCTGCCAACCTCTCGTGGCAACTTTTCGCAAAATTACTTCACCTGCCAGCTTCTCATGCCAACTTTTCGAGAGGTACTTCACCTGCCAACATCGCCTGCCAACTTTTCGAGAGTTACTTCGCCTGCCAACTTCTCGCGCCAACTTTTCGAGAATTACTTCGCCTGCCAACTTCTCATGCTAACTTTTCGAAAGTTACTTCACCTGCCGGCTTCTCACGCCAACTTTTCGAGAGTTACTTCACGCGCCATCTTCTCGTGCCAACTTTTCGAGAATTACTTCACCTGCCAGCTTCTCACGCCAACTTTTCGAGAGTTACTTCACCTGCCAACTTCTCATGCCAACTCTTTGAGAGTTATTTCACCTGCCAACTTCTCATGCCAACTTTTCTCTTGAGTTACTTCGCCTGCCAACTTCTCATGTCAACTTTGCGAGAATTACTTCACCCGCCAACTTTGCCAGCCAACTATTCGAGAGTTACTTAACCTGCCAGCTTCTCATGCCAACTTTTTGAGAATTGCTTCGCCTGCCAACTCCTCATGCTAACTTTGCGAGAGTTACCTCACCTGCATCAACTTGCCTCTATGCTTCCGGGCCACTCGTCGTCTAGTTTCTGCAGGCCGGCAGCTGACAGAGTTGAGTTCACACGGTGAGAGTGGCGCGTCGAAGGTAAACTCTCATCAAGCAACAGTGTGACACTAAGACGGCTCGTCGAATGACCCAAACGGATCATTGACAAATTATGTCGTCAGAATCACGTGAAGTTCACGTCCGGAACCCCAAGTGGCATAACGGCACCTTAGGTCTTGCTAAGCTTCTTGCGGCCAAACCAAATCTAATTTGGAGTCATACATACTTTAAAGAGTATGCCCCAAGCGGTCCTTAACGGTCACTCCTTCTCGAATAGCAAGCATTGCACATATCAATATCAAATGAGCAGCACCCATGAACCCTGCGACTTTCGGTTCTACCAACATGGTCAATGTTTTATAGTCCTTAATGTAACCCCCATAAAACCAGATAATAAAACCACTTTTACTCGGCCTTTGCCGCTCGAATCCTTGGTCGGTTCCTCCCAAAAGGCCGTCGCCTGCCCGAAGACGGCATCATCGCTGCCCACTTGGCCAATCTGCACAACCTGGGCGCCCATCACTCACACCCCCAATAGTCCAGGACAGGTCCAGGGGGTGTCTCCGAGAAAAAAAGAAAAGAAGGAAAAGTGAAACAAATCGTGGGAAGTACCAGAAGCGTCCAAGCGCAAATGTTGTCTGCAGGGATTTGATGGATTTCGCCTGGCCATGGACAAAAAACGGGGCACTGGGCGACTGGTCTTCGCCCTCAGAACTGAAATAGTCGCCACCCCAAAAGATGGTGGTGTGGTTATTTTCGTTTCGGTTTCCTCAACCAACTTGAAGAAACCCAAACCCTAAACCTAATCCCTAAACCGGCTACTCCCCCCAAAAGAAAGCCGCGCACAAGGTGGAGACCGGCGCCGGGTGTCTGCGCCTGGATCTCTTCTGGAAGCTCTGCCGCCACCTGGCCAAAAACCATCGAAAGGAGCCCCCCGACACCAGGGTACTGGGAGCCTACTCCAGAAGCACCAAAAAATTGAGCGCGAAAAAATGGATGGCTTTCCTTTGGCTCCCTACAAAGGGTTGCTCCCAAGACTCCATCGGAAGAATGTTGAGGGTCGGTCAAAGGAAACCCGAGGAAACGCTTGATTTAAGCGTTCCATCCTTGTGGTTTGACTATTGTACCAAGACTCAGAGCAAGCCTAAGTTTGGATGACAAATCCTTGTGTTTTGATGGTTGTGAAGACTTGGAGCAAGCCTGCCTTTGGATGACAAATTTGTCCGCTTGTTGCGTCGTGTTTCACCGCGCGACGCGCGAAGCCGCACAAGTCACACAGTGTAGGCGGGGTCCAACTGTTGACTCGTTTTTGGAGAAACACACACACACACACACCAAGAGGCCTAAAGTGGGATTCAGCACTCATGTTTTTTGCGCTTGGTGTGAAGTGCTCCCTTTGCTTTTTGTTGTGCGAAAATTGCGGGAGGGGGGGAGGGGCTCAAAGAGTGGTCCTGCACTTTCTTTGTGGGTCCTGTTATTTACCTGACGGGGTCAAAGAACTGAGTTTATATGGTGCCGAGTGTTACAATGTGAGCAGGATATGAAACCGAAGGATTGAAGCGCATGCCCCTTTGTCCACTCTGTTTGGCAGGTTCAAACAACTTCATGTTAGTGGGGGGGTAGGCATCTATTCCCCAGCGGAATTCCGTCCTTACGATGGTGCCTTCAACTTCCTCGAGCGAAATGGGCGTATCACTGTGGGTCGCTTAGCACTCCTTCCTCACTCGCCCCAGCTCATCGCTTGGTGTGTAATCTGAACCTCCATCTTGCCAGGAGCCAAGGGTGTGATGAACTTTCATTGGGGTTGGCTCAAGGAAAGCCTGATATCGAGCTTAGACGCAGCTCATAATATGGTGCCTTCTGCAAATGAGCCATAGTCAATATTCATTATGATCCTGATGACAGGGGAATTGGATGCGCAACCCTGTGTTTCATTGAGTGCAAGTACTAGTGTAGACGGTGAATGTCGACCCGTTGCTCAAATCCGCTAGCCATCTCTCCAAGGTATTGGAGGACAGGATGCATCCATTGCAAGCCGCGACATGCGTTCATTGCATCGCCTGGCCGCAACATCCAAGTTCCGTGTCCCTAAGAGAAAAGTTGGGCCCTGCTGCTGAACATGCGATGTGTCAGATGGACCGTGCATGGAGAAGCAAACCACCTAGCTTTCATTGAATATCCCTTTGCATGCAACACCTGATTGTTGGCCAGTCGAACGGAACATTACATGTGCATGGCAGCGTCCAAAATAAGCCCCCCCCCCCCCAATTTCCCCAATTTTGGAGCAAACCAAAGAGAAGCAGAGCCTCTTCATGTGGCTGCTCTATTTGAGGAAGCACCCAAGGCACAAGAACAACACACAGCTCTTCAAGCTGTGTTTGGGTTCCAGTCTTCACCAGTGATGCTTTGTTCCCTAAAACCAACGGGGAAGAGCAGCACCGCAAGGCGGTAACCCACAGCCCGGCCATCAGCTCTTCCCCGTGGATGCCTAAGCGAGTTGGGCGAGTGGAGTAGTTGGGCGAGTGGAGTGTCGTTTTGGAAAGGTGCCCGTTTTGAGGTCCTCCAGTAGAGAGGTTAGAATAAGGGTACCCTTTTTTCTGTAGTCTATTCTAGTAGGGGGGAACCCTCCCCAAAAACGGTAAAAGGGCACTGGGGGACCTAGTTTTTGAGGTTTGCTTGAGGGGAACCCAAAAGGGACTGAAACATGAACCAGTCCCTTGAGTTGAGGTCGTCTTAAAATGACACAAGACTTGATCTTGCTTCCTCCAGTGACTGATGCAAGACGTCCACAGACAGTCTCAGCCTTGTTTCAAGCAGACGCCTGTAGGCAAACCAACATGAAGCGTAAGTGTTTTGAAGAGGTTTCGGTAAACTTCCCGCAATTCTGCCAGGAAGTCTGCTAGTTATCACCCTTTTGCCCCACTTGGGCAACATTGCCAGTCGTCCTCAGGAAGAAGAGGCCCAAATTCTTGTAGACTCCCAAAACAACACCCTTGACATCAGGTCGTGTTCGCCCTTGGCGTCTTTCTCTCCATCCTCTGGGGGTTTTGGTTTTGCATCATTTCACGGGTCGGCTTTTGTTGGGGAATCCGCCCACCCTTTGCCTCCGGACTCCGCCCTGGCACTCATCAGACCCATCAGCATGGAAGCGGACAATAGCCCTTTCTGTGAGACCAACATGCTTGATTCCCATGACTACTGTACTTTGTTGCTTCCAAGGGGATTCTCTTGGTACTGTGGAAGGGCAAAACCCCAGTTGGTAGGCGGCTTGTCCATGTACCCAGGGTTTCATCAAGGAACAAGGGCCTAAAGAAAAACGCCATCATTCTAGGCCTCCCGACTTAAAACGCCCCACCCACCCCGCCAACTCCGCCCACTCCCGTCTCTTCGCTTCGGCCGTGCTGGCCGGGGCTGGCCTGAGACTCCGGGCCGCAATGGCGCCAGGGCTTCCCTGCCACCGGGGTGGGCTCCTTGCCCTCCGCCGCGCCCTTCAACGCCTCGAAGATGGCGGACCTGCGATCGATTAGAATCCCTCCGCCGGACCGTCCATCCGCCGGACCGGGAGGTCCACATGGAACCCAAGAAGCGGCAGCCACAACAGAGTCCTCGGAAAACGAGGGTCTCAGCTTCTATGAGAAGTGCAGGATGGATATTCAAGAGGGGTTCAAACTAAAACACAAATGGTTGGATTGTGTTGGGCTTTACGCACCGGCATTTGCCTTTGTATGGCTTTTTAAAGCTCAATGCGAGTGTCCTAGAATGGTGGACTTCTTTCGGTTCGCCTTGCCACAGGCTGAAGCTACCCAAACCCCCAGCAATGCCTCGCAATACCATCACCCCTCATCCAGTATCCTCAACAAGAGAGCCCAAGAATGACATCTCACCCAAAAAGACGGAAAACACAACATACCCCGCCCCCCCCCCACCAATGACATCGCGGCCCACGACATAGGATCCCCAGGCTAGATCATTTTGCCCCCGCATCGCTGAGCTCGTGAGACAACTTGCCCGACAAATGCCGGCCTTCGACCATCTTCGACCAAATCAGACCAACGCCCGGTCCCCTCAAAAAAAAGGAGAGAAACAACATAATTGGCCAGGGGTCATAACCTATGCCTCCATTTGGATGAACACCCCTGTACCACCTATTCTGTTGTTCACCGGGGTACAGGGTTCTCCCAAAAGCAAGCAACCACCCTCGTGTCTCACAGCGCCTGGAAATGGCCGCGCGGCTCCCCAGCAGCTCCGCTGATCGGTCCAGGGACGCCAGGAAGGCCCGGGCCGTCGACGGCACTGCACCCGTCTCTGTGGTGCCGGCCTGCGCTCACATCATGGCCATGGTTCAAAACCAAAAGAGTTGCTCCTCCAGGTGAGGTTCATGGTTTTTGCTCGTTTAAAGAACGTACCCCCGGAGCGGTGAGCGTTCTCTTCTTTCACTGTACTTCCCTGCAGACGAGCCTGGAATCAGCAACAGGGTTCCTTCAAAGGATGTTCCTCTCTTCTGGAAATGGTGCCATGTTACTCTGGGACTCCTCTGATGAATGTGGCCATGTGTCAAAATCCCGTACCCCCAGTGAATATCCCAATCCCCACTAAAATAGGTTCTAAAATGGGTAGTGCACCTACCCCAAATTGGTGCCATTGTCAGGTGTTGGAGTCATTGTAACATTTGCAGATGTTTCAAAAATGAGTACCCCAAGCCCAGGATCTCCATTGGAAGGGTTTGGACTTCCATTGGAGAGCCTTTTTGGCCTTGGACAAAGGAACCAGGACCACCACTCTTCCCCAAACGAGGGATTAGCAAAGGGCCTCATGCCTGAGTTGCTAAAGTCCCTTTCTTAAAAATGGATTCTGGATGTCTTTGCCAGTTTGGTGGACCTCCCTACATTTTAAGTCACCCAGCTTTTGACTCGCAAAACCGGGGATTAAATGTATCCATGTTTATCCAGGTGTGGTTTTAAGGGGTGGGGGTGGGCCTTTCTTGGTCGGAAGGGATTGGCACCACTTAAAGGCGCCAAATGTCATCCGGACGAACAAAAGGCCCTATATTTGGTGACCTGACACTCACTTGAGTGGATCGGTGTTGCTTTCTTCTAAAACGGCTCTCTCTTAAAATGCCAGGCGCTTGCGTCAAAATAATGGTTCTCTCCTAAAACTCCAGAAGCTCGCCTCAGAATAATGGGTCTCTCCTAACATTCCAGAAGCTCTCAAAGCATTTCCAGCTCGTGAAAAGGACAACTTCCCGCCTGCACCTGCACCGTCAACGCCTCGCCTGGCTTCACCTGACGTGCGGTTTCGCCCCCAAAGAAATAGAAACTTGTCCAGTAGTGATAGATAACCTTTAAAGCCAACAGGGAGAGAATAAACAATATTGATTTCAGCAAATGGAGAAGAAGGTGTCCTTTTTGGTTTCCCCTTCGAGCGGCACATAGCACCAGAAAACCAAAACGTGGCCATCTTTTTGACAATCCCCTGTGTCTCAGAGGTGTGCTCTGACGCGTTTTCTTTGTATCCTTAGCCCCCATCTTGGGCTCATACTTAGCTCTTGTGGGGCGAATAGTTAGCTCTTGCGGCAAATACTTAGCTCTTGTTCAACACTTGGCTCTTAAGCTCGCACTTGTTGTTGAATACTTTGCTCTTAATTCAGCCCCTACTTAACTCTTACCGTCCGAAACTTAGCTCGTGATTCGGCCCCTACTTGGCCCTTTCTGTTCATGTCTTTGCTCCAGATTTAGCGAGGGACTTGGCCCTCCCTCAACTTTGTCTCAGACTTCTCCACATGACCCATCCTGCTAAAGAAAGGGGTCCCAAACGAGCTAGAACACATCTACATTTGTCCTCTCGAAGCATCACTTTACCAAAATGACACTGACTTTACTGGGTGCTACATAGGGCAATTGAAAATTGCAGAAAATGATATCCCCTTGTTGGTTTCCTTTTGGGAAAGTTAGAAAACATGCTGTTCAACCCCCGGCTTAACTTGCCCAAAGAGATGATGCTCAACAGCGGACAAGAAGGGCAAAAAAGGAAGCCTGCAAAAAGATGCAAAAAGCGTTTCCGGACCGCTACAGACTTTAGACCAAGTTGTCCTTGCACAGTGGTTTACGATTTTCCAAGTTACTAAAAATGGTGCAATGGAGGGAGCAAGGAACAACCCAGATCGGAGAATCAGCTGTTGGCGTGATGAAAAGTCACCTCAGATTCTAACTTCAACCGTTGACTAGCAGACTGGAAGCAACATCGAGTCGATCCACATATTGAAGCATTGAATTGTTGATCACAGAGGGAACTTTCTTTTTCCCTGCCACTCGAGTCATAAAAGAAGGACATCTCTTAGTCTTGCTGGCTTGCTCGGCATTAACATGGAAACCCAAAGGGTGCTCCCCCATAGATCATAGTAATTTCCTCCAAAAACATGCTTTTATTTCATGCGTGCAGACTTTGACAGGGGCCTCCCAAACCACAAAGACCATCCTGGGAAACCAACGGAGAAAAAAAAAAAAAAAACGGCTGCAAAAGCCTCGGACCGTGGCTCGATCGCTCGATCGTGTGGCTCGAGCTCCCAGAACTCCGCAAACTCAGCTTGGGGTTGTCTCAGAGTTTGGGAAATGCAAACAAAACGCCTGGGCTTCGGTTTCGGTGGCGCGAGGTCAACAAACAAATCCTTGACTCCAACAAACCCGGACTTCTCGATTTGGCGCCCTTTCACCAGCCAACGTGGAAGTCTTTCGACCATCGTTTCGCCGCGCTTTTCTGTATTATCAGTGGCAGGGTAACGGATAGATAATTCTCATGTTCACGCATGGCCTCAAAAAGACAGTTTGCTCCATCCCCAGCATCGAAGGCTCCCTAGCGACTGTCGCTGTTGGGGAAACAAACGACCCGCGCTCGTCGCCTCCTGCGCCGAAAAGCCGGCAGTGAGGTTGAAGGCCAGCTGCAGCGGCCTATGGGAATCCAGGAACTGGTTGAATACTTCCCATTTACATTTCCGCCCCCTGGAAAAATTACAAATATTTCAAGCAGTGGTAGGTTCCCTTTGAAGCCAACAGGGGAAAACAACAAGTCTTCTTAAGCAAATGGAAGAATAGGGCCTGTCTCATGTTGGAGGGGATCCATTTTGTGTGTGTATTTTTTAAGGTTGGACACACTAAAATGCCTTCGGTTGTCCTTTCGGTTTAAAATAACGAAAAAGAATCCACAAGGGTCATGGCCCTCCAATACATCCCTTCCCCCCCCCCCCCCCAGGCCCTCTCATGGAACCTGTCAACACAATTTTGGGACCCTTAGGGCATTGTGATGCCGCAATGCCATCCACGGTCGAAACCTTCCGAAAAAGGAGGCCTAAGGTCTAGACCATGCCCAAAAATGCCCCTTAGTTCCATGAGAAAGGCAAGCAAACAACAGAAAATAATTTAGATATTGACCTTGAACATGATTTTCAGCAAGTCAGAGGCCCATGGTGTGGACTATATTCCATGTACATGCAGGTTCTGGAGAGCACCCCACCAGTTAAAATTTCCTGGGCCAGTAGGTGCAAAAGATAGGTATCATGTTGCTGGCGACCCGAACAACCGCGCAGAAACAGTCGAAACCATAAATGGACTCTGAGGATGTGGCCCTATTTGATAGCTTTTGTTTGGCCGTAAAACAAGGTGCAGTAAGCAGAAAACAACTATTTGGGGGTGTCGCTTTTTAGGGGAGCCTCCGAAATGGTAATTTGCCTTTTGGTTGCCCTTTGAAACCACCAAACAAAGGGGTACCCGTAAAAAGACAGACTCATTTGGGGAATCTTCAGGGGTCAGTGTATGCTCTTCAATCCACTGCTGACATTTTGCATTAGCAAGCTAACCTCAAACAGGGCTGCACTCCAGCGTAATTTCCCCATTCCATGCTTCTCAAAGCAAGTGTCCCCCAAATCCCCCCTAAAATGGCCGGTGTCATTTTTTTTCGGCGTCCCAAACCCCAACTGAGAGGTGAAGCTCCACTGCACCCCAATGGATCACACCAGCTTGAGACCCCCAAAAAAAAGAAGCCACCGGCTTCTCGGGGGGAAAAAAAAAAAAACGACGGCCTGCTCAGCTTGGCGGAGGCCGCCAGGCTGGCAGTGCCGGACTTGGCCATCACCAAGACCCCCAGCTCCCCCGACCTCGCCGGTTCAATCCAAGTGCAGCACCGGGCAGGCGTCTATTTTTGTTGGGGGGGTTGGGCGTGGGGGGTGGGGAGGGGGGGTAAGGGGGGGGTGGGGGGGTGGGGGGGTGGGGGGCAGCAATTGTGATACGTTTGTTGGATTCCTTTTACAACACAAAAACAAGCAAGATCAAAACTACGCGCATATATGGCAATCAGCGAAACGAGGGGTTTCTACAGCAAATTAATCAAAACACCCAGCAAAAACAAGGATTCCGGTAGAACATTTGGTAGATTCTGTTGGCGACTCACAGAACAGGATGCCGAAATACGGTTTCCCACAACGATGTGAGACAAGGGCAAAAAATAATACTCGTCGCTCATCGTTGTCACATCTCCCCTTTGTCCCGCCTGCCCTTTGCCGGTGAGCAGTTTTTAAAGGACCAAGCAACATTGTGAGTCAGTCGCAGTGCAGCTGCGCACCAACCTCGACTAACTACAACTGGGCTAACACTCACCACCCCCCCACCCGCCCTGGGCGCACAGTTTGCTCGATGCTCCGGCCTTGCCCCTTACAATCCCCCCCCTCCACCACCGCTGATGAGTCCACCTCTGTCCACATCAAAACGAGACTTGCGCTTCTGCTTATTGGCTCACCTTTTCAAGTCGTAGTTGTGCCCCAAAAATTAGGGACCCCCTTGAGGATGTTGAAAAGGCGCCTGAATGCCCTACATGCGAACCTCAAGAATTATCTTACATCCCATTCACTCGACATCCACAAATTGGAATCCACATAAGGTTCTAATGCCCGTTTCAGATTGTACCAATAAACATCTCCTCAATTTATGGGTGTCTTTCTTTAGGGGACTCCTCTAAACGATAGTTTCCCTTTTGGTTTCCCTTGAAGCCACAACAAAGGGGTAACATCAATTAATTAAAAGAAGACAGGACCACAGTGTGGCGTTGTACGCTCCCCTTTGCACACCCTTCGAAGTGGCTTCCCCGAAAAGCTTCGGATCCGACTTTGGCTCCCTGCACGGCGGGCAGGGCTAGCGGTAGCGAACCCTCGGGCCGCTGGTGGGTGTCGTGAGCGCCCCCGTCCCCAGATCCATGTGCGTGCCTTTTTGAGGCTACCCCAGTTTGGTGGTGTTAAAGGGAAACCAAACGGAAAACCACGTTTTCCTTTGCGGGGGGGTCTCCTAAAACAGACACCTCCATGTAACGCACGCAGCTTAAACTTCGGTAATCTAACCATAAACAAATCACCCAGATGGCTTGCACTTGGATCAGATTCGGGGACCATGGCAGGCTTCCATGGGCTCAATCGATCCGTTTGGGGTCACGAGGACCTGGCGCTTGGGCAAAGGGAGCGCATGACGTGAGATGATGTCATGCCTCACTTCTGTACATTTGATATCGTTGGGTAGGCAATTCACTGGCAACAAGATGTATTGCATGAGGTCAGATATGGTCACATCTACAAACAGGGAAGCACCAAAAAAGCCGCCAAACTCTTAAATGTTGAATCACTCATCACGGTGTTGACAAAGAGAAACACGAGGAGCCAAATGCGTCAACCTTCACAGCCAACGGTTGTCGTCGGCTCTAAGTTCCACACCCTGGTTGGTTTTCCTACAAGTGGTAACTAGGAATCGCCGAGCAACAAAGCAATCCACTTGAAGCAGGGCTTTCGCTTGTACCCTCTTGCAGGAAAATCAGAGCCTTGTTGAAGACCCTTTTTGGGTTGGCTTAAAGGCAAGCCAATCGAACACCAACCTTTTGAGCTTTTGGGAGGTCCCCAGTTCAAGACACACCCAAGAAGCACGCCGGTCACAGAGGGGCGCCTGGCCATTTTCGAGTTTACCTTTGGCCCCTGCACACAAGGCAGCCTTTTGCCAAGTTTAAGCAGTGGGTATTTGGGGTGGGCGGACTGGATTTTGGGGTGACGGAAACCAACAGGAAAGAAAGCCAACATTTTCAGAAACATCCCTCTTTTTCAGACACACCCAGGGTGAGTCTTTCAGTATTTACTCCATCATGTATGGGAAATTCTAAGGCCAGGAGAAACCCCGCAAGTCTCTGGTTCTGCCTTCTCCGGGCCTTCCTCAGAACACCAAACTCGGTCCTCCAGTAGAGAGGTTTGAATAAGGGTACCCCTGTTTTTCCGCAGTCTATTTTAGTAGGGGAACCCTCCCCCGAAAAAGACAGCGGTAAATGGGCACCCAGCTGGGGCCCGACACCCAGCCACCCCGAGATGCGACGCAGCCGCGGCCTCCCAGAAGTTGCCCCGCGACGTGAGGCTGATGGCGCCGCTGCCGGAGGCCACCAGAGCGCCGGCCTGAGTCACCAAGTACCTGGCCCCCGCCCGGCCGGCCCCCCGGCCGGCCCCGCGGCCGGTTTTCGGGGGCGGCCGGAACGGCGGAACGGACGGGGCCCCCGGTTTTGTTGCTGGCATGGGGACCCCAGCGCTGCTTGTTTAAGGCTGGGATCTGAGGGTCGCGGTTGGTTCGGCTCCAGAAATTTGCCACTTTCTAGGATACCGGAAAAAAAGGAACCCACCTCATGGTGAGGCGGCATGGTGGCTGCCAACTCGGAAAAAGAACAGCGAACGAGTAGGGTAGGCAAGGGGTTAGATTGAGTTGGTGCCGCAGGGTTCGCGGGGAAAAAATATATCGAATCGAACGGCTGACTCCACCTCATTTCCGGATATGCACCCTGCCGGTACGAGAGGCTTTGCTTCTGCAACTTGCAGTCTGTTCAAAGCTGCCCAACCAGGGCATGCCCTGTCAAGTCCTGGAGGTAATCAAAGCGACCCTCCAACATTTTTTCTGTTAGAGGGGCCCGCGGAGGAGGGGGTCCCATGAATATCCCAAGCGAGGAGTCTACGAAACCTGCATGCTCCAAAGGGGGGCTCTCATTCCTTCTTGCCAGCCTTCCAACCACAAAAGGGACATGGACTTCATGTGTCACCCGCACACCCAAGTGAACATTGAAAGGGGAACTTATACAATATGAAGTCAGGTCTGAATGAATGAGTCTCAGGGCAGCTTGAATGCAAATAGCTTGGGTGGCACATTTAGCTTCTGAGACCCTCCCACCTTTCCGCACTCAAACTGCCAATTTGGCGATTTACGCGCCGACGAAAAACCCACTTTCAGTTCATCTGGGTAATTTCCGGAAAAAAGAGAGGAATCTAAGAAGGAAGCCTTCAGCATGGGTGCGCTTGTAAACCTAAACCTTTGTGTCACCCAGAAAAAAAAAAAGAAAAAGAAAGGCCTCCCTAAATCTCAGCAGGTTCTAGCTTGTTGCAGCCATAAAACCAAAGGGCACTTCAAACGGGGCTTGACAAGACCCTTGGTGCCCTTTGATGTGGGTTGACATCGCCCATAGGAAAGCCCAACCTGAGTCGAAGATAATTTGGCGCACTCCAGGTCGGTCAGCTCCGGCTGCGTGCTGCGCAGAAGGACACTCCATGCCCCGTCCACCTGAAATCCGCACACATGCAGGATCTGGCCATGGGTCAAAACCCCGGTTACAGTTAGACATGGCCTTTCCCGTCCGCATGCCTATACCCCCCCCCTACACTTTTTGGCACAATTCAAATACACTCACTAAAACAACCAATGTTCAACATTCAATTTCAATCACCCAACCAATCCAACACCAAAAAACACCTATTCTCATACCCATCTTCATTTCTTACCCCATCTTAACATCACCCCTACGCTCATTCAATAACAACAATCAGAACTACATACCACCTCAACAAATCCCGCCCGAAAAAATCAAAGCTACATACCAGAAAATCTTCACTCTCAACCTCCAACCCTCAAAATCTCAACTTGTTCTCCCTTGATCCAACTTGACACTCTTACCCATTTCCAACAAATAAGAACAGTCTAAAAAACAATCCTATGTTCGCTCCCCGAAAAGTGATTAAACAATGGAAAGGAAAACATAAGGGCTAACTCAAATCATGCCAACAATCCCAGTAAAATATTGCAAAATGTGGAGGGCCAGGCATAGGTAGGAAGGCACCACCACGGCTTATACGGGAAAATCATGCTACAGTTACAACATATAAAATCTTATGTGTTGTAAGTGTAGCATGGAAAAGAAATTCAATCGCTCATCTTAATAATAACTGGCAACGCTTTCATTATCGCTAAATTATTCATCCTCGTCATAGAAGTCTTCCGTGCTTAATATATGATAAAATCGGATATGCCAGTATGCCTCTGTTCTGAATGGCATCATTTCCAACAGTGCTCTCATTGCGTCGTAATAACCCATTCTCAAGTGTTCTCTTTTGTCATCAATACTATCAATGAACCAGAGCTGTTTACATTATTTTCCATATCATATATGTATGAATAATTACAGTATAGAATGCTTTCAATTCTAAATATAGTTCATAACCAGATTTGGTATCATCCAATGCTTCAGTTAAAGTCATTGCCCAGAATTGGTTTCTTGCTACTCTTTCCCAAGTCGGAAAACTGTTTTTGAGAATGCCGTTATATCTTTAAGGACATACATCATAACAGGTATATTACATATTATTCAATCTAATTTCCAATGGTATACTATTAATGTCGAACATACTTTACTTAAGATATTAAGGTAATATGCATTTAAACACTTTTTCAAGGAAACTGATAAATCAATCGAATTATAATTACAACATGTACGATCTTACATGTTGTAAGTATAGTAAAACAAATATGGTATTAAGGGCTTTAACCTATGTATTTCCATAGGTTGTATTTGTTTCTTCTGTTCCTTATTTAACTCGTTTGCTGCTTTTACTTTGTCACTGTATTCCTTGCATGTTGTGTAGCATATCTCTGCCATTTTAAGTCTATCATACGTTTTGTCTTGGCTTTGCTTCATCGCATTTGCTGCAATGATAGACCATTGTGTATCCTGTTTCTTCTTCGTCATCTGTGGAACTCATGATATTATGTTTTGCTAATATACGTTTACATGCCTTTCAAGGAACCATATTTTATAGAATGCTATGATCGTGAATACACCCCTGTGTCTTCATCAAAACCAATTTTGTAATAATCCATTGTCTCTATGGTTTAATTTCTTAAGACATATCGCATTTCCTGCAATCACGTCCACTAACAGGGAAGTCCCGCATCTCCAGTTTTGGCTTTTCACCTTCTTTGACTGGCTTGAGCAGGTTCGTGTCTGCCCCGTTGTCCTTGAATCCGTGTTTCTGAGCAATGCTCACCTGTATGCTGACAGCCTTCTCCGCTGCAAAGAGTAACTTTGATTTTCTTGAGGGGTGGCTCCGTCATGGCAAGGGCTGAAACTACCTCCTGACAACTGACTTGACAGGAAAATGGCACCATCAAAACGCTGTTGAACCGCAGTTTGGCTGTTACAACTACAGCTGATGCAATTACAACAGCAAATTTGGCAGTTCCAACCGCTGAGTCTTCCGAATGCCAACTTGGTTTGACCAAATGCCAACTTGAGTTTTCCAAATGCTGACTTGGGCTTTCCAAAGGCCAACTTGGGGTTTGTCACTGGCATCAGCGTGGGGTTGGGGATAGTATTTCAATCGTGTGTTAGCCTCGCTTCCATCCACATTTTGCCATCCAATGTCACACATATTATTTTCTTGATTTGGGATAACGGTTAGAATATTCCCTTTTCTAATGGTTAACCACTTTTTGGGGGTGAACATAGGGTTGTTTTTTAGACTGTTCGTATTTGTTGGAAATGGGTAAGGGTGTCAAGTTGGAACAATGAAGAAATTATTGAGATTTTGGGGCTGTGATCTTGGGAGTGGAAATTCGTTGGTATGTAGCTTGGATTTTGTCGGGTGGGATTTGTTGAGGTGGTATGCAGTTCTGATTGTTGTTATTGAATGAGCATAGGGGTGATGTTGAGAAAGGGTAAGAAATGCAGATGAGTAATGAGAATATGTGTGCTTTGGTGTTGGATTGGTTGGGTGATTGAATTTGAATGTTCAAAATGGGTTGTTTTAGTGGGTGTGCTTGAATTGTGCCAAAAAGTGCAGGGGGGTATAGGACTGGATGGCAACATGCGGACGGGAAAGGCCATGTCTAACTGTTACCCCCCAGTGAATGCCACTAAAATAGGTTCTGAAATTGGTGCACCCACCCCATGGTACCATTGGTCGTGACCCACAGCCATCTTTCAAACAACCAGGGGGGGTCAAAAGTATAGCTCCCTGCACCTTGCTGAAACTGGGGAATCGCAATAGCACTACTTGTTAAAGCAGGACCTTTGGGGCGTTTAGGGAATAACCTCGGCGAGTCAAAGCAATACCCGTTTGGGGCGACCCCTCAGTTGAGTGAACCTCACCTGGTGACAACCCGAGAGTTACCATGCTTGGTGAAGACGTACGTGAATGCCTCATAAGCCAGGCCTTTCTAACTTTTGACCCCTGGTTGTTTGACAGATGGCTGTGGGTCAAGACCAATGGTACTTGCCCATGTTCAAAACCAGCGGCCGAGAAACCCGCCCCAGCGGCCCCCGCGCACGCGCCGCGAAAGCGCCTGCGTGGGCTCTCCGAGCGCCAGGAAGTGGCCGCTGGGCGAGTAGCCCCGGCCCAGGCAGGCGGAGGAGGACTCGGGCCGCGGTTCCCGCGGTGTCCGGCTTCGGCTTCGGGGCATAGCTCCAGGGGACACTTCCATTTCCATGGTGAACCCAGGGATCCGAGTCTTTTCAGAAAACCATCAGAACCCCAGGGGAAACAGCGATCGGTTGAAAAAGAATGATGGTGGAAAATGGGGCATCAACCCTCGAATTGTGGAGCCTCGGTGCCCTGCTCGCCTTCCTGTGGTCCTCTCCGACACTCAAATCAAGTGGTCGTCCCCGGATTTTAAGTGAAACAAAATCCATGGTTTGGAAGATCCAGGGGATTTTGAAAACTGCGAAAATCCCTGGCCCTTTGGCACATACCTGAATGGGTTGTGTTTGCATGAAATGACACCTTGAGTCAACGCAAAGTCAGCAATTCCCCAGCATCCGCCTTGGTACCTGCCTTCCTGGAAGCCGTACTAACTCGTTACAAAGCACATCCCTATGCAAGTGGCACACGCGATCCTTTCAGCCCAGTTCTCCTTTCCTGCCCTTACATGCTGCATTCCTCTGCTAGTCTGCACCTTTTCAACCATCAAAAGGAACCGCCACAGGGATTGCCTTGACCCCGTAACGACCACACTTAGAGAGGGGGCCGCCGGTTTTCTCTCAGCAAGCAAACCATACCCTGAACCTTGCATACAGCAACCTGCACATTTTATGTTACGCAAGGGGGGGGGGGGTTAGCCTTGACGCATGCCCATATGTATTGCGTATACACATGCGTATATACATGTATGTTCATGATATTACCGCCTGCAAAAGGGCAAGCCACATAAAGACGGTAAAGAAGCAGGAACACGCGATGCTTTCTGTGTCTTAAGCCGATAATGCTGCCCTTTTCTTGATATGACCAGTCCGGCCAAAAGTAACAGCTGCCTTGCTTTGGCGTGAAAGGACAAAACAACATAGGTAAGTTGTTTAGTTTGGCTTAAATATAGAGTGACTCAAAATGACCATGAATTCAGAAGCGAATCCCAGATGTGGCCCGCTTGAGTGCGGGACCTCGCCCTCAGGAGCTTCGTAGATGCCTTGAAAGTACCTTGTTCAGCGTTCGGGTTGTCAATCTTTTTTGCAATTCTAGATGGCCCTGATAAATGGGTACTAAAACCAATCTACATAAACCAGTGGAACCCATCTATTTCTAAACAAACTAACCGTTCAACAGGACACCTACGGCAACACTTGTGATTGAGTGTGTTCCCTCTACTCCAACCCAGCTTTGGGTTCTGGCTCTGAGACGTGGTAAGCCCCAATAAATAAGCGCCCCCGAAAAACTGAGAATGGTTTGGACACGCGAATGCAAAACAGCCAGACAGAAATGGGGGTTGGTCAATATTTCCTTCAATGACTGTGGGTGACTTTTCCCAGTTAGTGGGAAATATGATCTTCTCAGTGGTTTTCCCCAATGGTCAGCCCCTTTAAAGAACCTGTTGATCTAGAGCAGCTCTTCAATACTCTCATTTGAGTTCATAGATACTTCGACAGCATGAATGCTAGCTTGGATTGGCTTGGTTTGCCTGAAAGAGGGGGTCAGTTCTCCTTTGGGTGCTGATTCTTACTGCGAACCCCAAACGAGCCACGTGCCTTTGTCACACTCATGGGCCCCTGCGAGTTCCGATTTGAACCGCAAATGCAACCGACATTTAGCAGGGAAGGACATCCCCTGGTCGCATTCAGCAGAACCTTCGCGCTGTCAAACCGTTGTGAAAGCTAGCCCCGATGACAGCGAACAGGGCAAGGACACCCGCCATCACTTGGGCCTTGGGTTGCCCGCCTTTGGGTTCCTCATTCCACAACCCTCGCTCGTCGCGGCTTGGATCACAGCCTTGGAACAAAAGTCTATACACAAAATCTTTGTTGTACCCACAAAGGGGAAAAGTAGGGATTGGACAGGTCCATGTGAAGGAGTCCTAAATCTCCAACCCCCGGCATCAGCAAAAACACTTCGAAGGAGGTTCGTGGTTGCAACCAAAACCTATCCGAGCTTGGCCCAATGATGGTCTGCCTCAAACCCACCCTCAAAGGAACTTGAAGCAACCACCGCAGATATATGTGCCGTGGTCGAAACTCGCTGTATAGTCCACAGTCCTTGTTCCTTGAACACGAAACATAAGCAGCCTACTACGCAACCGAGTCGGCACTTTGATCATGGACCACAACACGGTTTTCAGAGAGTAGGTCCCTCGAGCCTGGACCTCTCCAGAAGGAATTTCAGGTGCCAAGGCACCACTGGCAAGGAAAGCGTTGAATGTGGATCCCCCAAACCACCCCTCGCCGGAAAAACCGGGGCCTAGCTGGGTGTGTCATTTTGTTTGTCTGGAATCCCCAAGAAGGTGGCTTCCTTTTGTTTGCCCCGTTAAACCCAGCCAAAAAGGGTACCAACTCCCAAAAAGGACACACCCAGCCGTATATCCCAGCTTGGGAAGTGGAAGCCGGGGCTGACTTCCGGGGCACGACTGGCTGGCCACCTTCCGCTCCACCTTAGCACGCTCCGAAACGGATGCTGGAAAGGAGAGCTCAAAATTGTGAAGCCACTGGTCGGTACTGTGGATGGACATGCACCACAGAAGAAACCTTGGAACCAACGTACATACCAAGGGGTACTGCTTTGAACCATGGTTTCAAAGTGGGGCGAAATGGATATCGTCCATCAGAATTAAAGGGCAACCGCAAGAAAACCATTGCCCTGTTAGAAAACGCTTACACAAAAAAGCAGTATTTCGATCCTTACCCCATAGTTTCCCAGTGCGTAGGTCGACCTTAGACCTGAGTACTCAAGGGGTGCCTGGACCAAGTCGCGGCCATCTCCCATGTATCTCCCCCGATATCACCTCGCCACTGACTAAAGTTGACAAGTTGACTAAAGATTGGCCTGAGATCTTGCCATCCACACCGGGAAGTCTGGTTGGACCCCTGGCTCCTTTCGGGTCGCGTTTCTTGTCGTTGGGGGGGGGAGGAAGCCTCAAGCATTCTTGGCCCAACCACCCAGCCCTTCGCCAAATTCTCCACTGCAGTAAGTGTGGTTTCATTTGAGCAGCGGCCAACACCTACTGACTTTTGGTTTACATAGGTTTATAAAAGGCCTTATTACAACCCCCTTCCCCCCACCCTAAACCCGAAACCAGGTATTAGAACAACACCTGCAATGGCCAAAGGGGGTGTTCTGGGCGTTGCTCATTTGGCTTCGGGCTCGCTCGAAGCTGAGGAGCTGGCGCGAAAGTTCACCGCGCTCACGCAGCACCCGCAGGCCTCGCGGGTTTCGATGCCCGAGTTCCGGGCGGTTCCGGGCGGCAGGTGAGGTGTCCCTCCCGTGGGATTTGTTGGATCTTTTGGAACCCATGGCAGGTAGCCAAGACTTGCATAGATGCACATTCCGCATGGGTCACTTTTTGGAGCATATTCGGAACTCATACGGATGAATCAAACATGCGTCCACCCTGTGGCTTGGGCAGTGCTGCTGAGACAGGTGCCTGGATTCTGGATGGGAAACGCGGCATCTGCCGAAGATCTTCGCTAAATAAACGCCCTTGGCATGGATCTTCTTTCATGTCCTGACTGAACACGGGAATCTTCCTATCTTGAGGATATTAGGCCATGGGCAGGACGGCCATTCAGCACCATGTTGCAGGAACATGGAACATACCGAGTAATTAGCCCTCTGATGTCCCCTTCCAAACAATCCGCTCACCCGAGGAGAAAACGCAAACAGAAACTCTCAGGGGGATGGGGGGGTTGTCATTCCAACCTTCGTTTGCTCCCTGCAAGGGCAACCATGAATGAAAGGCTGCTATTGTATGGTCGCGATCAGAATGATTGTCAATGGATTTAAGAGACTCGGGGGTTTGCAGGGCTTCATAGGTGCGAACATGCAACCTTTGAATGAAACCCAAAACGGATTCCAACTGTTGAACTAGGGAACATCGGCAGTCTAATGAAAGTGCCAGGGCGCTCGCTCGCCCATAGACGATGATTCGATGAGTTCCCGTTCCTTCTGACATCATTATGTTCAAAACTCATTCAAGTCTCTAAATGTCGGCAAGGCCAGACTCTGATTTCAAAAGGACGCAGTTCAGCTTTTTGTGCAGGCAGTACAGTGAATAGGTCATGCAAATGCCTGGTCATGAGGTGAAACCCACAATTGAAGCAGTAAAACAATGGAAAGGGCCAAACCGGTTGCATGTTGCTTCTCTTCTTGCTATTCCTTTCGCGAAGCACGTGCTGGCCATCGGAGCACGCACACACACACACACACACCTCTCCGCTGGTCTGCGGCTTCTCGCGACTCGAGTCGCCTTCTGATGCTCGTCCCAGGTTGTCCGGGACGCACTGGGGTCCTTAGGCGAGCCGGAGAGACACACGGGTCCCCAGGGAAATAAACGGACCCAATAAAGTTACATCCTCAAAATTACTCTCTGGATGGTGATTGAAAGGAAACAGCCCCCAAAACCTGCCTTAAGCTTAACAATCCATATACGCCTATGGTCTCAAAAGGACATCGAAAGGAACTCTCACTTTTTTGCGGGGTCCCCAATTGACACAAAGCCGAAACTTGCTGGTCTCATTCCCTGGCAGCAGGGAATGAGGGAATGACCCCTGTAAACTATCCCCTATGCTTTCCTTCAACAGCAGGAAAACCCTTGAAACGAATTTCGCTCAACTTCTCTTCGCCATTACTTTACTTGCTGGTGCGGGGAAGTCACTGCGACACGAAGCAACGAAAATAGCCAAAGACGTTGAGTGCTTTATGCGCGAACAAGGTCTGCCATAGGGGCTGGTGTTCCAACACATTCTTTGCTGAGAACCAACAAGTTTGGTGTTCCGCTCAAGCTGAAGCCTTGCTTTTTCCGCACAAACCAAACAGCACATCGTGGTTCCTTTAAAAGAGCCTTGGCATCCCTTCTTATTGCGGGGTTGGAGCGAAATGAAATGCAGAACACCCTGCAAATGGGAGGGGTGGAGACACATGACGAGTAAGGTCTGCTTAAACTGCTTAAATAAACATAAGCGAACATAAAATATGGCGTCCTCCAAGTTTCTTTCCTCCAAGTCTTGAAGAGGGGACACAAGGCAAACCCTAAATTGGGGACTCCAAGTTTTGGCGCCCTTGCAACAAAAAGACAAATCCAGGAAGCAGCGACAGCGCAACTTAGACATGTCATCCAACGAAACACCAAAAAACCAAAACTAGCTACCATCTTCTAGGCTAACATGGAAGCTCCCAGAACCCCTTTCAAAGACTTGGTTCCGTTTACAGAGGCCTTCTGGGAGCTTCCATGTTAGTCTGAGGGCTGGGTTTTGCAGTAGAGAGGTTAGAACAAGGGTACTCTGTGGTCTATTTTAGGGGAACCCTCCTCAAAAAAGGGTAAAAGGGCACTACTGGGGGACCTGGTAAGTCAATCCAAGGAATTTCTTGCGGACCAACCATAGCCATCGCCGAGGCTCACAGCAGCTGAGGCTCTCTTTCGCCATAGGCACCTCCACCACCTGCGGAGGTAGAAGGCGGACACGAGCACAGTGGAGTTGGGTAAGCCACCCGGTTTTTGTGGTACCCTCCCTCCAAGAATCATGGAAGCTGACAAAGGGTCTAAGACTCTTTTCCTTTTGGGGAACCCCTCTGTCCACTTCCCAGGATTGTTGGAAAGAGGGTATATTTGGGTAGGCCCGCATGTCCTTCCCGCACTAAGAGACTAAGAGTCCTCCAACCCGGAAGCCTTTGGTCCGCTCCTTCATGAGGGCACCGCCTGAAATATCGAAGGCTAAACTGGCGGTCGAGAAAATCAAACATCTTGGCCAGGAAAAACATTCCATACAGGCTCCCTTGGTTCAAAATGTGTCAATCCCCGGTTGGTCTCCTTTTGGGAGAAGACTACACATTCATACTCGGCACTCAGCACCAGGCTTCAAAGTACAGTACCTTATCTGTGCAACATATGGAATGGTATCTTCATCATTAATCATGGCCGTGGTCTTTTTACCAGCTGAGATCGTCATAATTTGCCACACCATTTCATAGTGTGCCCTAAGCATCATACCCTCCATGGGAGAGTTGAGCACATACATTGAAAGGTTTTAAAGTTCAGGCCCCAAGATTCTTAGGATGTCAAGCAAACCACTAAAGTGCGGAGATGCCAAAACAGAATATCAATACCCTGTCCCTGCGGTGCATCATACAACACATACCCATGCACATACTTGCCTCAGCTTCGGCCCCTGCGCAAAACCTGCCCTTCGTTGAAATCAGCCCACCTAGCTGAGCAAAGGCAATTAAATGCCAGAAAGCACAACACGAACACGGTAGAACACCACACAGCACAATAAAACACAACGAAGCACACACGTATGGCTACCCAGCTCTGGAAAATGGTTCAAGCTGCTGTTCCTGTACACGTAAACCTTGCACCACGCTCTCCTGCAACATCGCCACTTGGTCTCTGGCTGCCAAGGTATGATCCTTTCAACGTACACACCGCCATTGTCGCCGCCTGCGGTCCCTGGAACGAGCATGCCGAAAATCATATACAAGGGACGGTGCCTTGCACTCTTTCACGGCATCTGGCATGGAACCATCGGACACAGGGGGCTCAGGTTTGTGCCGCTATGGACTTCAAATGTTTGCGGCAGTGCACTTGAGAAGATACTACACTCGGAGAGGTCCTGGCAGGAATAGGACCACTTCATCAGAACAACAATTCGCCGTCTTTTTGTTGAGGGCAATTTTGGTGGAATACTACAAGGAACAACTGTGTGTAAACCACCTATCTGGGTTCTCCTATGTAGAGACACGCCCCAACTGGATGTAACTCGAATCACTGAGAAGCCCGCCTGAAGACCCTCCTTAAAGCTGGCAGCTGCCAAAGGAATGCGCACCGGGTCAGCCCTGCGCAGGCGAGTCAAAACCTTACCACACCAAACATAATTTATTTCGCCACCTTTGATTGCTTCTTGCACTTGCTCATGGACCCCCCCCAACAAATAATAAATTTTGATGTTATTTTGGAAATTCCTCAAAACGCCAAGAAAAGGGTGCCCTCACAAAACATACAGACCCATGCTTTGGCATGTACCTTCGTCTTCCCCAGTTGCTATGATGTCCCATGGCCGTCAGAAAAAGAAAGCTGACACCCACCAAGTGCTGCCTACCAAGTGAAAGTGTGGGTGTGGCTCAAAATTAAACAAGAGGGGCAAACCGCAGGTTTGGGCCTTTCCACTTACCAGGGCAAGCCATTTTGGAATTCCGGCTTTTTGAGCCACAGCCATGCTTCAATCATCATTTCTGATCCGCGAAAATTTTCATGTCGACTCATCACACTGGGTGGCCTTCTGTAGACTCCGATTGTCGTTGCGTGTGCGCCGAGGCACGCTCCAAAGGAAGCTTTTGGTTCAAGAGCAGTCTGGGCAGAACTTACCAAGTCACTTGAGGCTTCCCAAGTCATGAAACAAATATGGCTCATGTGTAACTGATTGTGCTTTTTTTCATTTGTTCTTTTCTTTTTTTTAAAAAAGGACGCAATGTATGACCACAGCATCAGCGGATTGTCTGATGATGCCAAATGCCTAGCTGCAGAATCTGCAGTGAAAGATGGGGTCAAGGCCAGCCATTGCCAGGCCGCTTCACAGACGAAGGAGCTCGCCCAAAGTGACATGCTGGGGCTTTTTTTTTGTATCCCCTTTCAGAAGCAGCACAAGGCAGCACCCGGGTCCAAAAAGGGCCATATGTTTGACAACCTTGTATTTTACTCAAACAGGTGCCACACGGAAATCTAGGACACCACACAATGATTGTCCTGAAAGTTCTGAACCACCCGACTAAACATGTCCAAATTAGCCTGTAGGGACCACCCCATGTGTCAGTGGCCAGGAAGCTGGATGAAATAATTCGGAACCAGCGTTTCGGTTGATTCATTGGTTCTCTTCTTCCCTCCCAGCACCAAGATAATGGCTTGGGGAGCGACAATGCGACCCAGACATAAGCTGAATTGGCGTGCTTTCTAAAGGAGGATGGTTCCACTGCCCCGGCTGGAGACATGTATCTTGAGTCCTGCTTCACCCCACCGGACAGCCCCTTGAAGGCCGAAGCATGTCATTCAGGCATGCACATGGCTGCATCCCCTCAAGCGTGTCTCAAGACTGCGGCTTACTACGAATTCATCCCGAAGCTAATGCATCGCCAACGTTGTGCAACAAATACATGCAATGCTGAGATTTCCATGTGGGGGAAAAAGGGCATCCTTTGCTTGCTCGGACTTTCAAAAGAACCCCGCAATACCTAGGAAAGCCCACTGAAGGTCGGGAAAAACATGGCCTGGCTAACCCCAGGCGCGCCAGACCCGTGCGCCCCAGTCCCCGCCCCTTGGACCAGTCCACGGTGGAACTTGTCGCGACCAGGACCATCTCCTCGAGATCCTGCAGGGGAGTTCGGGTTCACGCGCGTTCCCGCGCGTTCCCCCGATTTCGGGGCACCCGAGGAGCGAACATGTGTTTGCCATGGTCGAAATGACGACCGCGTTCCCCAAAGCGGACATGGGAAATACGAGAATCCGCTGATGGTGGGAAAATGAGTGCAACAAAATTTTAGGTCTGTTCCTCCCAAAATGGACTTTTGTGACCGACGCTCATATGACATGGACAGATCTCCCTTCTGGCCGTGGTCAAGATTCCCTCGACAGGATTCATGATATGGTGCTCTTCTTCCAAAGGGCCCACAACAGAAGACATTAGTAGTTAGAAGACAACCTCTCCACATGAGCCATGGCCAAAAAGCTTGAGAACAATAGCCTCAAATGGGGTGGGTCATGGACCAAACTCATGGGCTCATGCCAATTTGGCCATGGGTCGTGAACATCGCAATCCCCACTAAAATAGGTTCTAAAATGGGTGGTGAGTTCACCTACCCCAAAATGGGATCCCAAAATGGTTTTGACAACCACAGTCAATTTGTGCTTCCCCCGAGCTCCAAAGAGCCTCAAAGCGGAAAAATCGACCTTCCTGGCCTCCAGGGCGGGCACCTGACCATCTGGCTTCGACAGCTTCACCTCCAGCTGGCTGGGCAGACCCGGCCGGAAGACCTGGCCGTGGGCTTTGGTTTTGGAGCGGAAATCCAGGTTTTGGATCCCCCGACTTTGACGCATTCCCAGTTCTTGGCCATGGCTTTCTTGAAAAAGGCAACCACCAGGTTCGGAAGGAAACTTGTTCATGAGAGGGGGCTTGTAGGGTTATTCCCTTCCAGTTGCGTTTTCGCCCCCTGGGAAAAATATACATATGTCCAGTAGTGATCGATTCCTTTTGAAACCAACAGGGGTTCCGAGTTCTTGGTCATATCTTTTTAGGGAAGAAAAGACCACCCGCAAGGTTCGGAAGGAACCTTGTTAGAGGGGGCTTGTGGAAGGGTTAAGAACCTTTCAGGCGGGGGTAGGGGGTATTCTTTGCGGCACTGGGGGACCAGTTTGTCTTTTCGAGCCCTCCCCCCCCACTTTTGGCACCGCGCAGCATGAGGTATACAGGTAGCGTCAAACAACAGGTGGTCGGGTTGGAACATCAAGGTCCTCTTGTTTTGAGGGATTGCTGGATACCAGGAAGGACTCCCCTGATGAAAACAGAACTCACAAAGCCGTCATGTCCAAAGCAAACTCCTCTTGCGGCACCACTTCGGGTTCCATGTTGACTGGCAGAACTTGCTATGGGGAGTCCGATGGAAACCCCGGTGTGTAGCGCTTGGGGTTTGGGATTGGATGTGGTTGGAGCACAAATTCGCAATCAACCGCACCCTGGTTGGTTGTTGCAACCGAAAGGCAGGGGATTCCCCATGCCTTGAAAGGTGCCCTGGACACCTCTCAGAAGTCACTTTGAGCCTTGGTTTTTGCGGGCCTGCCGTTACACTTCAAAGGTGCCATCTAAGGCCGGCCACAAAAACGAGATGGGACAATTGCACTTTGTTGCTTCCACCTTTCTGACTAAACAGGATGATGACACCAAACTGGGGAAGCATGCACCTGGACAAATTGCTGCACGTGAATCAGAAAATTGTGTCCCAAGGAACCTTCTTGGGAGCGCTCGCTTTATCCCCAGGTGAGCTCGTGATACATTGCAACAAGAATGCGCATCTTCCACCTGCAAAAATGGGTCACGCGATCGCAGGGTTGCAAATCAGCGTATTTTCCAATGACAAACAACCCCTGCCCTAAGAAGCCTTGCTCCAAAGCTAGTTACCTCTCGTTTGAGGGTGCAGTTCACCATGGGGTAAGAAGCCTGCCGAATTGTCAGGTCGGGGTTCCACCCAGAAGTGATCCAGAGTCCCTCTCAAAGGCAGCCCCACCCTAGAAATCAACCAGTTGATTCATCCGTTCCTTGCAAAGCCCAGGACCTTCCAATTGAAACCAGCAGTAAACATAAATCCCTCGCCAGGTTCCCACGCTGAATGGAACGCGGACCCGTCCCTGGCTTCAGCGGCCTGAGAGCCGTCAGTGACCTTCACAGCTGCCCTGAGGTCGTCCCCCTGGTAGCGAACCTCGGGCCGCGGCAATGACCCACAAAAAGCATCCCAGGCTCGCTCTTGCGGCAATGACTCTCCCCAATTCAGAAACCTGTGACTGTTTCCAGGTTCGCTTGGCAAGTTCTGTTTTTGCCGGGCAAACAAAAAATCTAGCAAGATGCGGGCGAACATCTCTCGGCTGTCCGAAATTTTCTCGGCTCGGCCGGCGCTCACAGCATCGGTGACGCACATGCTTGGCCTCCTGGAATACAGAAGTGCGATCTATGCCGAAAATGCCACCCTACCAAACGCAAACTCACTTAAACATGGGCCCCATGTGTTTTTTAAATCAACCAACACAGAAATACCAGGACCCCTGTTCAAGGGCAAAACCCAACACGCCAACACCCAAGCCCACAACAACCAAAAGAAACCCTGCCTTCACATCCACCCAAACCCTTCTTTAAAATATGTAGGAGTTGGGTTGCCCGGTGCCAGCTCACCCGCTGCCAAGAGGCCGACACCGAGCCGGTGCCACTTTGGCGCTCCCCTGTGGCGGCGTAGACCACCTCAATCGATCAGTTCATTTGTGAAACGCCCCAAAGTGATCCATGGGTTTATTGACCAATCATCACCTTCCCTATAACTTGGTTGACGTTGGAAGGGAGCAACAAAATTAAATCTTAGCAGTTAAGTGCACCAAACCACAATAAGCAAAAATGTAAACTGCTTCCCAACAACAACCATGATAATTGGCGTGGTTTGGAATCGGGTGGTTTGGTAGTTTGGAGCCCGGTGTGGTTGAGGAGCCCCAGAAACTTGCCCAAAATGATATTGGGAGCGAAATCTGGGACCCCCCAAACAATGAAAGTGGGCAACCCCTTCAGAATCGCTGGCTGCCTTCTGGTTCTCATTCAATCCCACCATGGGCTTGTCTCCAAAGGACAGCGGCTTCTCGTTGGTTTCCAAATTGAATCCCTAGGATACAAACTCCGAAAGCAACCAAACAAAAAAGCCTACCTGTAGCTTCAGCTTTTGCACACTACCCCAAATGCCCATGTTCCTCCCCCCCCTCCTCCCCCACTCCCCTTCCCCCTGTTGCTCTTTGTTATGGTCCCATGTTTTCAATGAGCCGCACACCTGACGTCGAAAAGGACCTCGGAGAGCGCCTCGCGCTTCTCAGGTCGAGCCGCTGTGGCCTCCGCGATGACGCCATAGCCCGCGCGCAGCTTGTCCCGCGGCACGGACAGCTGGAAGGAGGCCTTCCCCTCCAAGAGCCTCGCGACGCGCGAGGCGCGAGGCGGATCTGATCCAACCCCCCCCCACCAAATGGACCACAACACGGGTTTACAGAGAGTAGGTTTTTCCAGGGACCTCTCCAGAAGGGAACCCCAGGTGCCAAGGCACCACCCCCAAACCACCCCTCCCGGAAAAAAAGCCGGGGCCTAGCTGGGTGTGTATTTTTTGTAAATTGGGAATCCCCAAGAAGGTGGCTTCCCTTTGGTTTAAAACCAGCCAACAAAAAAGGTACTGTATCCCATGGCTAGGTCCTCCAGTAGAGAGCTTTGCATAAGTTGGTACCCGATGTGTTTTTTCTGTTTGGTCTATTTTAGTAGGGGAACCCTCCCCCAAAAAAGGGCGAGAAAGGGCACTACTGGGTCACCTAGCCAATAAGGCTGCAAAGCTGGTTGGGGCTTGGGAAATTCACGGGGTTAGGGGAATGTTTGGATCCCCTGGAGCATGGTTGCAGGATGTCGCGAAATTCGTTCGACATATTCGGCAACAACTTCCTGAGATTGGCCAAAGCAAGTCTGAGCTTCTTGTTTACCGCGAAAATGGCATTCCCACGTATCAAGTCCAGAAACCGGAGAAAAGACCAGGGAACCAACAAGCAATACACCCACTTGGAGTTGCACTTCGAAATCGCTATCTTCAGGGATCCTTCTTTTTGGAACAGATTGGCAACGCTCTATAGGAAAGATCATTGCGGCTTCAGCGGAAAAAGAGTAATTAATGCCTATCAATTAGCGCCAAAATATGAGATCGATCGTCAAAGCAACAGCAAAAAAACCAACCTCTGGTGTTTTGGTCCGGCCGTTGCAATTAAACATATATCTAAACACCCGACCTGTCGACTCACCAAACAAACCCAAACGACCCGGCATTGAACCGTTGGTTTAATTGAGGCATGGCACGTAAGGCCAGCGAGGCTGGCCAGCATCTTGTGTTCTACGCCGCCGTCCTTGCTCGGCTGGGCCTCGCGGCAGCAAAGTTGGCGAAGGCGGTGGATGTTGCTGTGGAGAGTCGTCGTTTGTGTATTGCTTGGGCTTCAGAGTGGTGTGCCCTTTGGGCAAGACAGCGTTTTGTTCACTTGGAAAAACTGGGAAGTTGAGCACCCTGGAGATCTGGGGCAACTCACACTTCCTTCAATGCCGTTCAGAGATATAGCAAGAGGCATGGGAAAGGTCATGGCACTTGATGGTCATCAAGGCTGCACAACTTCCCCTGGCGCGTATATGGTTCAATTCCAAGCAGTGACAGACCCCCACCTTTGCCACCAGATGCCACCAGACTCTTTCTGGTCCATATGGGTCTGTCATGGAACTGGGTACGCGTTGGGGGGTTGGTTTAAACGGAGGTCCCATATTTCAAGACGCAGCCATAGGAAACCGGGGCCAACTGTTGGCAAAACCTTGGCACCACAACATGGTCACCATTTAGTACCCCAAACCCCTAGTGGCGCAGGGACAAACAGGCCACCTTGTTTTGTTGGTGGTTGGTTTTGAAGGGAAACCCCTCGCAAAAGAAAGAAACCACTGGAACACTTGGGGCACCACTGGGGGTCTGGGATACGATTACCTTCATGCACCCGGTGAGCACCGAGGGCTTCTTAGCTGGGCTGTCCAAACTGTTTCCCTGCTAAAATCGAAACCCCCACGAAACCAAAAAATATATAAACGGATGGCTGGGGACCACCAAGGTAGGTTGAACTGAAGTATCTACGCAGCCCCTGCCGATTCAATCACCACAAGCGCTACCTTCCGAAATACCCAAAACCCAAGTGGGCAAAAATACCTGCGAATTCAAACGCTCGAAGCATCAACACCCTCAACACGAGGGCGCTGTTCCCTCCCAAGACAAATACGGCCTTAACTGCAACACAGCTTTGAAATCTTGCATGATGGTTGTTTGAAGGGAAACCAAAGATGCCACGCCAGCTGTGCCCAAGCCACCCAAAATCACATCTTTACAGCCCAAAGGAAGCCGTCTCTGGTTTGCATTGGCAGAATTTGAGCCACTCAAACTGATTTCAATTGGCTGAAGGAAAATGGGCCCGATTTCCACCAGCCACATTTAGTTCAATGCAAAGCAACTCACTAAGGTCACTAACCTCCAAATAACCCATAAGGGGAAAGGTGATCGATTCCCTAAACATTGCAAGAACATGTTGAACACCACCTCTGCAGCCCGGCTTTGTGATATTACCCCTGTTGGATTGGGTTTCAAGGAAAACTAAAGAAACACCAGCCAGCCGCTTCACCAGCCTAAACCAGCTTTAAAGCGCCCTTTTGAACCAGGAGCTCGATGGCAAGGAATACCCTCTCAGGGTGGACACCAAAATGATGTTCCTTTTCGGGGTCCCCCGAAATTCGCAGACACATAGTGAGATGTTGTTGTTTACAACTCAGCCATCCGCTTTTGCCTTTTTGCTTCTCTTGTAGGAAACTTAGACCATATGTTCTGACCTCGCACCTGGATTTGGGAACCCCATCTCAATTACTCCTAGGCTGCGCCTCCCAGGAGGGCAAAGGAGTCCAAAGCACCAGGGTGCAAGTGCCCAACACGGGCTCCCCAAAGGTGAAGTTGGCCGAGACCTGCACCAGGTTTCCAAATGGATGGATCGTCCTAATGGAAAGGAACAGCGTGTTTCTGAGGCTCAGCTGTCACGGCAAAAAGTCAGAAGTGTACAGTGTACAGTCAATCGACACGACTTATCAACTTAGCACTCTTAGGCTAGGGATGCACAAATGAATTGCGGGGAACCTTCAAAATGCCCTTGGTTCTTTTGATTCCGGTTGACAGGGCACCTCAAAAAGGGAAAGTACCCGCAGATTCGCTCCAAACCTCAGATAAGTCACTCCAAGGTGTTGCCAGGGGAACCCTCAACTGCTGAGCTTTGCTTGAAACAAAGTTTTCTTGCTGGTGCTCAGAGGAAATGAGGGAATGACCCCTATAAGCAATCCAACTGGTGGCTTCTTTTATTCGGGAATCCCCAACCGGTTCATTCCCAACTTCACCCGGACTCGTCGTCATTCCCCACCTATCGCACCAGCGGTGTCTTTTTTTGAGGAGTTTGAAAGGGAAACCGAAGGAAGGGTAGAGCACAAAAAACAAAGGGCACCGAGGTTTGCCACATTTGAGGAGTTGGACTTGCTGGACACCAACCCTTTTTCGGATCCGATCGCCTTCCCGGACAAGGTGAGGCTCGAAGGCGCGCTGCTGCCCACCGTCAAGTAGGACTGGTCCATCGCCACTGACCTAAACAGCGCACGGGGGTTTGGCGGGGCGTGTGGGGTTTGTGGGGTTTGTGGGGGGGTTTGTGGGGGGGGTTTGTGGGGGGGTTTGTGGGGGGGTTTGTGGGGGGGTTTGTGGGGGGGGAAAGGGGGTTGTGGGCGGGGTGGGGGGTGGTTGTGGGCGGGGTGGGCGGGTGGTTGTGGGCGGGGGGGGGTGGGTTGGGCGGGTAAACCATGCTCAAACTTGTGAACACCCTTTGAAGTATAGTTGCCAGATGCGTTCCTGTTCTTGGCTCAGGGCTGGGAGGCTGCAACTGCTGAGCTCGATTTAATTTCGGGGTAAGTTCACATATCTCCAAGCTCTGAGTGGCAACCCGAATCAACCCGTCCTATGTCGGATCCCCGGATCCCCACGAACAGCAAAAACAAAGAAGGACTCCCCCAAAGGGTTGTATAGATCTCAAGTCACTTATCAGCCATACATTGACATGACCCTGGCTATGTTACTCATGGACTGATGTTCTGTCAAGAAAGCCATAAGGGTCTGGGTGATGTAAGTGTTCACCGCGCTACAATGAATGCACCCAGAAGAACTTGCGTATAATAAGTGAAGGCATTCCCCCCGGTGATGTCATAAGAATTGTGGATCGACCAAAACACATAGCAATGTCAAAGGTTTATACAATTGTTCTTGGGTGCAACAATACATGGTCACAGTTCAATACCAGACATCATATTTCTTAACAGCGCGAGGATTCTATGGTTGCAGCCAACTACGAAGGTCTGAATTGTATCTCACATGACGGCTTGGGGTAAACTTGCCAACCTGGCAGCAGCAGGTGCGCAGTCGGCAGTGGCCGCGAAAAATTCAGAGTACACGGAACTTCAAACCCAAAAACCCATGATGATATCTAGTTTGTGCCTTTGTATAACGGTATTAGTCGGCTGTCAACTGAGATATCATTACTTTTGTTTGGGGCGCCTTATAAACATAAAGGGCCCCCAAAACTGGTCCGCTTCCCTTTACATCAAAACAAAAAACCCAAGACATCTTTGTTGAGGGACATCCATGATATGAATTGTTGATTGTCATTGAGGTTGATTCTAAACAAGTTGGCTGTGAAACACACACCCAAAGGAGGTTGATTGCACCCATGAAGGTTGTCCAACGTTGTAGTCAGGAAGCAATCAGGATCCCTTCAGGATACACGTAAAAATTGCCTAAAAATAATAATCCAGATGTGGAAAGCCTTTGCAGCAGCTGGAAATTGTCATGTTTGATCTGTCCAAAACTTGCTGGTGCTCAGTGGGGAATGCGGGAATGAACCCAGGGGTCCCCTTAAAGAAAACCACAAGGGATTGTTCATAGGGGTCATTCCATGTCTCATTCCCTATCGCACCAGCCAAAACATGTATCCGTCCAAACACCTGGCAAAATGCCCCCATCGGCAGCTCGCCGAGCTGCACTTCGAAGCGTGGCAGCACATACTCTTCGATGCCAAAGTTGGCCTACGGGTCCAGTCCCAGAAAAACGGGTGTGTGCTGTGGTTGAGGATGCCGTTTTTGGGATGGTTCTACAGGGAAACCTAAAGGGGAAAAAAACAAACACAAAATATGTTGGGGGTCCAAATTCCTGGACACATACCCTTCATGGGCACTCTCAACTCCTCCCTTCATTTCTGGTCAAAGACTCACAGAACAGAGACGGAGGACCACTGAACATTTGGGAAATGGTAGAGGAAAAAAAAACACACACAAAAGTGTTTTGTGCATATGGGTGCGTCTGTCTTGAAAACCCCTTTTGGCCCCATTACAAACGCATATGGAAGGGCAGCAAAATAGTTCACCTTAGTCTTTCGCCGAGAAGACGGCAAAGTAGAGAGGCAGTCTTGGCTATAAATCTTCCCCGCCACAAACATGTGTGAGCACAGGCCGCTGTTGAACGCCCAGAACCCTCGTGAAAGCGACGTCTTATCAGTTCCATGCGTGTTTGCAGATAAGTACCCCCCGCTCAAAACGACCGTTGTCTCAGCTGCATCATCTCATGCTGCCGCTGGGAGGAACGCACTGGAGTTGAGCATTCTGGGCCAAGATCAGAGAAACCAGCCACAGGAAGTTTGCCAAATACCCCACAAAAACATGGATTTCCTGTAGAATCTCCTGTAGCTGGTTTCTACGAGACAATAGGGACTCTGAAGAAAGGAAGCCCTTCGCGGCGAAGGTCGCAGCCCCCCTACTTGCGGGTTGTGCCAAAGACGTAACACAAGACCAACATGTTCACAGGTATAACTTCCGGTCAATGGTGCATTTAGGCCGCACCTGATTCAGGAACCACCCCCCACCCCCGGCCTCAGCGATGGCACCTGCACGTTAACAAAACTCAGTGTTGGCCCGCTAGCCAAATTGTTTGAGATGATAGCACCAGACCTTTGGAATTTGGCGGTTAGCCTAAACAAACCTTAGTCGTCTGTTATCCAAAACATAACCGAGTACTCATCTACTTGGAGTCTTTAATGCCTATCAAACATGGGGGAATGTACAATGTACCCCTTTCATTTGTGGGTCGTAATCCCATGTCAAGAAAGTATTTGAAACTCCATTGCCGATCAAGAAAACCCTTTTCAAAAGCAACCACCGCAGCGGTTAAGCTTGTCCCAGCCCGTGGCAACAAGTTTGTGTGTTTGGGGGCTATAGCTGAAAAGAAATGCAGCATTGGCAATTTACAGTCTCTAGAACCTGCTAACAGGAAATGTCGCAACATGTCAAGACGCGGAACAGGACGAACAACCGTGCAATGTTACAAGCACGTAGCAGGTAATCACCCAGTTCACCCCAGAAGTCCACAACCCCCACTTCAAAGGACACTCCCCCATCAATCAGCAATGGCTGGTTGCCACTATGCCACTATGCCCGCCAAACGGAAGTCACTTGTGTTGTTTGGGAGTGGCATAAAGCCCAGGCATTGCAAATTGCGCTTTCCTTGTTCATTCAATACTTAGGACACCAACCTCAGGGGAAGTTTGTAACTGATTTTCCCACTTCCTGATGCAGTCTCCGGGAGTACAACGGCACAACCAGGGACTCCACAAATCACTCAAGGATCACTCACTCAATCCCGGTTTAGAGAGGAAGCATACAATTTCGTCGACCCCGCAAATCAAGCGTAGAGAAACCCGCGTAACCCTGACAACTCAGTTGACTCCATCAGTAGATTTTGAAGAACGCGCTCTCTAAACGAAAAGGCAAAGGATGAACACCACCCTTAGACCACTCACTCAGAAACAAAAAGCCAGATATCCAACTATGCCACAAAGCTACTTGCTCGTTCATGGTCGCGAGGATACCTCACATATGTTTAGATAACACCTACGAGGATACCTCACACATGTTTAGATAACACCTACTAAACACTGCACATGCAACACATCACAAGTGGGCTTCCTATATTTCCCGTTTAACCTTCACAACACCAAAAAAGGAAACTCGCTTGGATTCGGCAACAGGCAATACTTGAAACAGCAAACATGATGCCACAGGCAAAAATGAGGGACTCCGAGCCGGGAAGATGCCATTTCAAGACTGACCTGCTGACTTGACTGGCCACAAATTCAATCGACAAGGACAACATCAAGGCCTCAAAGTCAGGTGTTCTCAGAGAGTACGGGGAGCGCGCGAATGAATCTTTGCCAAGCTTGTACGGATCCGCAAGGAGACTTCGGAGACTTCCCATATATTCCCAGGAACAAGCCAGCAGGGATCCGGGCGGAGCTGGAATTCAGGAGGGGGGGGGGGTTCCAATTGGAGGGAAGCTGCGTGCGGGAAGTTTCTCCAAGACAGGAGCGACATCCCACCTGAGGGGTGACGACCCGACGAGTCGCTGAGCTGGCAACAATTTTTGTCAACATGTCGATGAGTCGCGATTGAGCACAGGGGATTAATATGGGGTCAACATTGATATGCCAAACAACAACTTATCCTGACAACTTACATGGGGTCAACAGGAATGTTCCACAAACAAAAACTTGTTGGAGACACCTAAAAGCCTTGCACCACAAATCGCAAGACCGCAACGGCCCAAACGGTCCGACTTGCGCGCCTGCGCCGGCGACTGGGGAGTCTACAAGTACCCGCGCCACGTGAGGGCCCAGCAACGGCTCCTCGAGTTTCCCACTCGAACCGCGGAGTCGCGAGGAGAAACCGTGGGAGAAATGCACCATTCCTGTGATACCAACATGAGCCATTCCCATGACTTCACAAACATTGAATTCTTTCACCTGGTCAAAAGCCCTTTTCAGCCTCCATTTGATGAACAGTCCCCAGGAAAAAACATATTTCCAGCAGTGATAGATTCCCTTTAAAGCCAACAGGGGGAAAAAACAATAGGCATATTCATTTCAGCAAATGGAAGTCAACGGAGGGCTCCTGGTTTCCTTTTGGTTTGGGAGCTCCCTGCAGTCCATCCGGCATCCGATCCTGCGCGATGGGGAACTGGAACTGGGCCACGCCGGTCTCGTCCGTGGAGCTGCTGGCCTTGAGCAACTTGAAGCCCTCCGGGCTGCTGACCTGCGCCGGGGTTCCTTCTTGCTTCTGTGCCCAATCAAGGGGGAGTCACAAAAATGGACTTTGGTTTGCTTGGGTTCCCCCTCAGCCTTACAGGTACTCTCAAAAACAAACGCCCATACAGTATAATATGGCTACACACAGGTTCCCAAAAAGGAGGCGACTCCCTTTACGTTGTATACCCTTTAAGTATACCCCCAGAATGGTACGCAACTCAAGAAAAGGTTGAATGCTAGTTGGTGGTGGAGATATGAGCCGCAAACGTGCTCTTTTGTTCTCCCAAACAACATGAGAACATTGGGGCCTGTAGATACTCTTCATATGTTCAATGAGAAATACTCGTTAAAATGGTTGGTTGACATAAGTTCCAATTCGAATGATGCCGTCTGAAGGGGATAGATACCCTTCCACACTGCTATGGAACCCACGGTCCAAACAAGGAACCCCCAAGTTTTGGTTCCATGTCACTTGGTGGAAATGTGCCCTTCATGTGATTTCATGTTTCATGTGGCTTCACGTGGCCACAGTTCCCCTTTGGGGTTTCCTTGGGGAAATCTTGGTTTAGGGGAATGACAAAAATCACATGTCTTTCCTTCGCCCAGGCAACCGCTGTTTCGGTCTACTTCTGGGGCTACTTTAGGGTTGAGAAAGGCCATAGTCGGCACGCCCGCCTTTGCACAGGCTCCGGAAGCAAAAGCGGTGCATCCGAGCGCTTCAGCGTAGCCCAAGCACAAAAGCGCACAGCTTACGTGTTCAGAAACACCGTCCAACATGTTAAGTGGGGATTTGAGGTACTCAACTCTGGGTTTCTAGGTGCTGACTGCTTATTCAAGAGATCCAGATCCCTGCACTGGGACGCCCGAGTGCAACAAATCAAGGGCGTATTAAATCCTGCATGCCCACTTAACCTGTTCAAACCTTTGGTTGAAACGAGAAAGGGCCCTTCTTATCTTTCCATGACTCCCCCTCATACTCCCGACTGCCTGAAACCGTGTTTTCAGCTTAGCTCGCTTCATGAGTTGATTGACAGAACCAAGTCCAAACTACTTGTTTAACACTAAAGTCACTAACATGATCTTCCCGCAACGGCGTCTAAAGTCCTATCCTGGTTAATATTTCGGACATTAAAAAGCCATAAGCTTTATTCTAGTTCGAGCCAGCAGAACGTTTGAACGTTTGCCTTTAGACACAGAGAACCTTAGGGAGTAAGTTCGTTCAGTGACAATCAACACCTGGTACAAAAATGGTCGACCCAAAACCGTGCTTCAAGAATTCAGAAGGCGGACATCCGCAACTATTTATTGGTGGGACTGTCCTTTGCTAACCTTCACTTACCCGAAGCGGTTTGGAGGACGTCAGTTGAGCCCGACGGCGACGCGGCGACGCGGCGAGGCGCCTCGAAGGTCAAGTTCCGCTGCTGGGGCCGCAAGCGCCCCGTGCTCAGCGCCAGAGCCCGGAACCGCGCCGTTTGCCCCGGCCTCCGGTCACGCGCAAAAACCACGCGCATGGCTGGCACTCCCAGCGAAGTCCCCTCCCATTTCACATGGAAGCTGAAAGGGGGGTCCTGGTTTGGACCATTTTCCTTTTGAAGGGACCAGTTCCTTGCCAGGTTCCATGTTAATGGACAGGAGGATAACATTGCCGAAGGTTTTACATGAGTGTTGAGACACATCCTTGAGGGTGTGCTTTTTGTGCAGCTGTGAAAGTGAATGTGTGGAACTGGCAGTTTAGATAGAGAGGCTGTCACACTGTCGCCGCGGGTGCTTATACTTCAAACTAGTATGGCCTTGCCATTGAAATATCCTGACACTTAGGCCAACAAGGATCTTATGCGACCTCAAGGGTTTTGCCAACCAAAAAAAACACAAAGAGCCGATTTTAACCATTGGTGCTTGAAATAGATGGTTTTCTTCATGCCTCATCCAAAATATTAAAAATAAACAATAAATGATAGGAAAGATAAAGGACAAAGAATAAATCATTTTGGTTAGTTGGGAGATAATGGGAGATAATGGGAGATAATTAATAAGACTCCAGACGCATCCAGATGAGAGAGATGTAACCCTTAGACCCAACAGTCAGGATTCTTGGCAGGGTTAGTGAGTGCTTGGGGGGATGGGGAGGATGGGGAGCAGAGGGAGGGAGAGAGGACGACAGAACGCGCGAGGGAGACAAGGGAGAGAGTAAGAAAAAGAAAAGGGAGAGGACAATGTCGGCAGACTGAGCCGGAGGCTCTAAAGTTTAAAAAAAAATGACTGATTTTACAGCTTGTTTTCTAATTCAACAGAAATAATAGAAACATTAAGAAGATGAGAAAAAATAGGAAAAATAGGTCCCAACATTCCGGAAACCTAGCCTCCTCCAAATAATTAGGCAAACAAATAACATGACTGATTTTCCAGCCAAATTGTCTCATTAATTAGACAAAATAAAAAAACAAAAGCAAACACATGACTGGTTTTCCCGCTATTTTAAAACAATGAATAAAATGACTGATTTGCCAGCCATTTTTCTCATTCATTGAACAACATATAAGAAATAGAAAAACATGATTGATATTCCTGCTATTTTTTTCAATTCCGGCTGGACCCGGACACTTTGAAGCGCAAATGAAAAGGAACTGGAAAGGAAATATGGAAAGGAAACAGAAAGGAAATATAAAACGAATGGAAATGGAAAGAAAATGGAAAGGACGTGGAAAGGACATTTAGAGGAAATGGAAAAGAAATGAAAGGAATCGGAAGGAAATGGAAAGGAAACGGGAGCGAAATGGAAGGGGAATCGAAAGGAAATGGAAAGGAAATGGACATGGATTGGACATAGAAAGGAATGGAAAGGAAATGGAAAGGGGCAGGCTCCGTAATTGGGTTCATACAAACTTTATCAGCAGTGAGCCTAGAACCGCCAAGCACAAACGTGCCCTTTCCTTTCCATGTCCTTTCCATTGTCTTTCCATTTCCTTTTCATTCCTTTCTATTCCAATTTCCTTTCTATTTCCTCCATTTCCGTGCAATGTCCCTTTAATGTCCTTTCCATTTCCTTTCCATTTGTTTTCCTTTTCTATTTCCTTTCCAGTTCCTTTCCTTTTCCTTTTCATTTGGGCTTCAACGTGCCTGGAAGCCAGCCGAGGCAGGCTCGGTAATGGATTCTATACAACACTGTATCGGCAGTGAGCCCCGACTTGCCAAGCACAAACGTTCCCTTTCCTGTCCATGTCTTGTTAGTTGTTGATTGTTTTTGTGTTGTTGATTGTGTTTGTTAGTTGTTGATTGTTGTTGTGAGTTGTTGATTGTTTTTGTTAGTTGTTGATTGTTTTTGTTTGTTGTTCATTGTTTTTCTTGTTGTTGATTCATCGCCCTCTTCTGAGCGTCCCATGATGAACATAGAAAAGCATGATTGGTTTTTTAGCTATTGTATCCAACTGATACAACCATTAGAAAACAATGTCTGATTTGTCAACCAGTTTTCTCATCAATTCGAAAATGACAGATTGTCCAGCTGTTGTTTCTATCTAGTATGCTGATTAATTGTGAGATCAGTATACGGCTACTGGCAGGATCAACCAGGTTAGGAATAGAAAGGAAACAAAAAGGACATGGAAGGAATGGCAAAGAAACGGAAAGAAACGGATCGGACAAGAAAGGAATTAAATGGACTGAAAATAGAATTAAAATGGAATGGACATGGAAAGGACTGAAAAGTAGGGAAAACAAACTCACCGCTTCAACCTCTGTTCGGGGAGATTTACACAAAAAAAGCAACTTTTCCGCCTTGGTTGGCCTTGATCACTTTATTAGAGAGGAGCGAAAAGGAATGGAAAGAAATGGAAACACAAAAAAGGAAAGAAAATGGAAAGAAGTGGAAACAAAATTGGAAAGGAAATGGATAGGAAAAGAACTAGACAGAAATACACGAAATAGAAAGAAAGAAATGGATTTGAAATGGAATGGACATGGAACACACATGCAAAGGAGTGAAAGGAACATGGAAAGGGACGGAAAGATATAGGTATATTTTTTGAGGAAATGGACATGAAACTCGCCCTGTCCAAATTCTTGGCACAGGAAATTGCGAAACGAGCACGTGTTTGGCCCGGGCTGGCCTTCGGCACTTCTAGCTAGGAATGGAAAGGAAGGAAATGGAATTAAACGAGCGCGTGTTTGGCCCGGGCTGGCCTTCGGCACTTCTAGCTACGAATAGAAAGGAAAGAAATGAAGTTAAACTGGAATTGACATGGAATGGAAATGGAAAGGAATGACAGGGAGGGAAAGGAAACTCGCCTCTTCAGAACCCTTTTGAAAGAAATTGCAAAATGAGCAGTTCCTTTCTTCCTCCGCTTTTACCCAGGATGTAGGTAAGAGATCCCAAGAGCTGATATTAAAACAAGCTATCCATCGCTTCGCTAGCTGCCACAACCTTACGACTGAGGAAGAAGTAAATCCTAATGTATAAATATTATGTCTCTATATCTGTCCTTCTCAGAATCCTTCTCATGCCAACAAAAAGAATTAAGATTTGGAGAAGGAAGGACAGATAGGTGACTAGGAGATCCTCTACACAAGCCTTATAAATGCGAACGAAGATATCCAAAAGTAGATTTAATATGCTGCAAATCCCGGTCTTAAGCCGCTGTGTGGGGGCATCTGCCAGAATACCAGACACATTGGTTTACATTTATAAGAATTATCTATTTGATTTACTAGCTGTATTTTGTCTCGCCATGAATCCGCCGACCCTCTGCCTCCCGTCCCAGCCTCCTGCAGAGGGGACCGGCGTGGGGGAAGTGATTGGAATCAATGATAGTCCCTGGGGGACACGCCCGAACCCACAAAAAGTCCCAGGACCGGTCCCGGGACCGGTCCTGGGACCAGTCCCAGGACCGGTCCGGGACCAGTCCCAGGACCGGTCCTGGGACCAGTCCCGGGTTTGGTCCTGGGACTGGTCTCAGGACCAGTCCTGGGACCAGTCCTGGGACCGGTCCTGGGACTGGTCCCAGGACCAGTGGTCCTGGGACCGGTCCCAGCACCAGTCCTGGTCCGGGATCAAGTCCTGGTGTGACCGCTGGTCTTGGGTCCCAATTCAAACTGCTGTGCTGCCACCTCAAACCGCTCCAGACACGTTTCCGGACTGGCACCCAGGACGCTGGACAGGGTCCCAGGTCGTCACTCCCTGCGACCAAACCGGCCCGTGCGCTTATTGACGTCCTTGTGGTGGTAGAGGATCCCTGGATCTATTCTGCAAGAGAGTCCAATACGTCAAGTCAAACCGCGCCAGACTGGGACCAGCCTGGACAGGGTCCCAAGTCCCGGTCCCTGCCAGCGACCGGTCCAGGGCAACTTCGGACCAGTTTCAGGGCGACCCCGGGAGAGGCGACTGCTCCCGGCCAGCTCGAAGTGACTTGGGCGCAAGCCGGCCCAAGCGGTAATTAACGGACTAGCTGCCCTATTTCTGACTTTTCCGTTAATCCTTGTTTGTGGTCAACTTCGGGAGGGCCAGTTTCAGGGCGACCCCGGGAGAGGCGACTGCTCCCGGGCCAACTCGAAGTGACTTGGGCGCAAGCCGGCCCAAGCGGTAATTAGCGGACTAGCTGCCCTATTTCTGACTTTTCCGTTAATCCTTGTTTGTGGTCGTAGAGGATCTTATAAGTGGTCCCTGGGTTTGCGGACGTGTTTCAGGACCGGTCCTTGTGACTTTTCCCTTAATGCGCCGAGGGTCGGCGGCAGCAGGCGGGAGCCTGGTTAATATCACCTATTTACTATTTTCTTATTTCATCGCTGTGTCTTGTTTATAGGAACTCTATTCCTTAAGATCTTAGTGCTAGGACTGTAAGCGCTTCAAAGATGGGAGATGCATCCAAAAGCGTTCATTCTCTGTCTCTTTCCTGTCCTTTTACTGGTATGCTTCTTGGAAATTCCAGAGTCATAACTGTTGCAGCTAAACAAAAGCAAGATAACATTAATCATATGAACGAAGGGACATCTCCTTTCCTTGCAACCCCTCTTTCCCTTAGTAATCACGGCGGTGAGATAGGAATGAGTTAGGATAGGATAATATTGGGACATGGACTAGACCTTACCTTTCATGCCATTTGGCCCGGGCTGGCCTTGGGCACTTTTCCATCTCCGTTTCTTGTCTATTCCATTTCTCTATTTGTTTCCATTTCCTTTTCAACGACTTTCCTCCCTGCTCTTTCCTTTCCATTCCCGTTTATTTATTTATTTATTTTTTTTGAAAAAAAGGGGGAAAAACATGATCGGTTCCATTCCTTTGTGTTTCCATGTTCTTTGCACTTTCTTGCTATTTCTTTCCATTTCTTTGCTTCTCTTTCCCTTTATTTCTATTCCTTTCCACTCCTTTCCACTCCTTTTCATTCCCCTTCATTCTTAGCTAGAAGAAGTGCCCAGGGCCAGCCCGGGCCGAAAAAGTGCCCGTTTCGCAATTGTCAATGTCAATAATGGTGAGGCAGCAGGTGTCAATTTCATTTCATTGAAATTCCTTTTCATGTGCTTTGCGTTCCTTCCATATCCGGCTCAATCCTGTCCATCTGTCTTTCCACTCATTTTCATTCCTTTCCATTCCTAGCTAGAAGTGCCCAAGACCAGCCCGGGCCGAAAAGTGCTCCTTTCGCAAGTGTCCATGTCAATAATGTTGAAGCGGCGTGGTTCCTTTCCATTTCTTTAAGATTCAGTTTCATGTCCTTTCCGTTCCATATTTGTTTCATTCCTTTCCATATGTATTTTGATTAAATTTATATTCTATTCCTTTGCTTATATTTCCTTCCTATTTCCTGTCCTGTCCATTTCTGTGACTTTCTCTCCCTGTCTTGTCCATTCCTGTCCATTCCTGTCCATCCCTTCCTTTCCATTGCTTTCCATTCCTAGCTAGAAGTGCCCAAGGCCAGGCCGGGCCGAGAAAGTGCTCGTTTCGCAATGTCCACTCCTTTCTTTTTCACGTCCCTTCCATTTCTTTCCAATTCCTTGTCATGCCTTGTTTCCATTGCTATTTCTTGTTATGACATTTGCAATTGTGCTTCCATTAGCTTTCATGTGATTCAAATATTGTTTGTTCCATGACGTTTCTATTTCGTGACTGTTTCCTTTTCATTTCGCTCCATTCCATGTCGGTTATTCTTTTCTACTAGATTGATTTTGTTACAAAGCGTGATGCTACGCCAGTGATGTATCTCGTAAATTAGGAAACGTTAACTATCATAAGCAACGGAAAAAAGAAAACATGGAGATGTACACTTCTTGCATCGAAACAAAACAGAGGATGCGTTTGTGCTTCATTCACTAAATTGATCTCTTCCATTTAAAGAGATCTCGTTTCTTACACGCCACGCACGCGCGCGCCACATTTGGTGCAATCTTCCCAACCACGGGGGGCTGGCAACGCTGTACCATATATATATATATATATATGTAGTATACGTATATATATATATGTATAGCTGTAGAACTCGCACTTCTGCCGTGTAAACAATTTCTCGAAATTTGGGAATAATGGCCTGATGAAGAGGTATCTTGGGCAATCTGGCAAACTCAGCAAATGCAATGCCGCAAGTATGTTAACAGCTTGAAAGGACAGAGAGAGAGAGAGAGAGAGAGAGAGAGAGAGAGAGAGACAAAGAGAGAGAGAGAGAAAGAGGAGAGAGAGCGAGAGAGACAAAGAGAGAGAGAGAGAGACTCAAAGGGAGAGACAAAGAGACAGAGAGAGAGAGAGAGAGAAAGAGACAAAGAGAGAGAGAGAGAGAAGCTCGGTCCACCCAAAACCAAGAGCAGCACCAACCGCTGAGTCGGAAAGCTTCCCCTTTGATGCCGACAACATGCTACCGGAGGGTGTTGTCCGTCTGGGAAGTGCATCGCAAGGCCATGCGCTTAGCACCCGCCGCCGCATTTTTTGTGAGTCTCCAAAAGATCGATGTCGATGTGGGTCACCAAGGACTAAAACTTGCGGTCCAATTCCTGCTGCGTTAATTTTGACCCGTACCCATTCGTATAAAAGCAGAAAGCCATGGCAGCGGTGGATTTGTTTGTTTGGATACTTGAGTTGTAGATTGGAGCGCTTGCAGGAGCAAATGACTGCAGTATGACTTCTGATAGATGCACAGAAACACGGACTCACGGCTGCAAAATTGCTCTGTGAAAGCAGGAATTCGGATGTCAGGATGGGAATGTCCAGGGTTTAAAAAGGTAATAGGAAAAAGGGTGCTCCCAAAGGGCTTTGAATCCTCGTTGCCTTGATGTTGACGGTCCGGCATGCTGGGACAAAGAGAGCTTATCAAACATTCATTTGGCATTATTTGGGCTTGGGGTCGGAATCCCTTCTCACATCAATCCACTTTCACGAGAGGCATTGAGAAACATTTAGAGTCATTGGGAGTCTCACACGATTAACCTTCTGATTGAGATGTACAGAAATGACGGGCAACTCCATTTTAAAGCATCAATGGCTTGCGTTCATTCTCAGGTGGTCCATGTCATTTGCCAAAGGGAAGAAGTCAAAATAAGTCAAATGACATCCCCTGTGCCGCAGGCAGCCAAGTTGCTTGTAGAGGGCTTTGTCTGCCTGCCGAGCGAGCCAAAACTGGCCAGTTCAAGTTGACAAGTCATAAGCAAACCGAACGAAGCCGGGCGGTGTCCTGTTGCTTCCCGTTTGGAGCATCCAACGAAAAGGGCCTCCAATGAACACACCTGGTAAGTCAGTGTCAATATCAGAGGCTGCCCAAAATCGTGTAAAGAACGAAACGAGCTTCTTGCCTCACCGACTTCGCGGTTGGGACTGTCCGGTACTTCAACCCAAGTCTTGACTGTCAGTTGACGACACTGGCCTCTCACAGGGGTTTTTGGACCTAGCCCAAGTAAGGCCTGAGGCCTTATCAGCTCCTAAGCTGAATTGGGCGGACCCGGTTACGCCCAAAGTTGTCCACCGAGCCATGTTTAAGCAAATGCAGCTTCAATGATCGCTCGGGTGCACTTCCCTGCAAGTTTACATGGAAGACAAGGTGGTCACTCAAAAGGCTCTCAAGACGGACGGGCTTTGGGTTGCATGTGAACCAGAAACAAATGCAAAGCGCACCGGCCCCTGGGAAGTTCAGACGCACCTTCCTGCATGGACTTGTCCACGAGTCCAACATAGCAAACGAAACCGGAATGAGCATGTTCACTGAATAAGCCCATCGTCTCATCTCATCGTTTCACTCCCTCCCCACATTCCCAAACACACGTCCCTGCTTGTACTTGACTTGTGTCTTTGCCAGGGGTTGTAACAGTGTCCTTGTTTGGGGCGTCTGTTGAAACAGCATATGGACAGTATCAACTCCAAGCAAAAGCACAAGGGTCATGTGGCTGTGGATCAATGGGCACCCAAAATGGGCTGTGGTAAATGGAACCAAGGACTAAAACCTGCCGTCCAATTCCTGACTGCTTCATTTTGACCCATACCCATATCAACCTTGTAGCACGCTTCTGGGCTTATGGGAAATGGGTCCCAACCTAAGCCTTGTATCTTCCCATTTGCGGATCGCGGGGGGGGGGGGGGGTTGAACGGATCTTTGGAATCCCTGTGCTTCGCCGTTTATCAGGCTGTGGGATGTGGGAAGGATGCACTTGCAATAGGGAAGGAACTGGGCTGTCTGCAAATCCTATAAACCGACCCCAAAAAAAGGGAAATCCTCGAAAACCAGGCTTCTGTGGTGTAGCCTCCCTTATTGTTGGGTGTAAGGGGAAACTGAAAGGAAATCAACCATTTGGGTCCTCTAGTTTTACGCACACCCAACTGGGTATCGTGGCAAAATAGAGGGACCCCAAGATGGCATTGGATTTCCCCTTAAACCAAGGCGAGAAGAGTATCAACGACAGAAACACACACACACACACACTCACACCCCCCCCCCCCCCCGCGACACCTCCAGCAGCAGCAAGGTACTTGGCCCCCCTATTCTCACCTTTGAGCTCGCGCTACCGCCCGCCTCCTGGCCGCTTTTTGGAGCCCAAAAAAAAGCAACGACTCGGCCGTTTGGACGCCCCTGACTCGAGGGGGTTGGCCAGAACACACAAGCACTTGGTATTTCCCCGTAAAGCCACACCAAAGGGCACCCCTCAAAAAACACACACACACTCACACTCACACTCACACACGCAGAGCGTAAGGACTGGCTGCGTACCCCAATACTCAACCTGGTGGATCAAGATCGGAGGGGATCCGGCCGAAGTGAAGGATCCCGGTTGAGCTGACATGGGATCCCCTGTCGACCAACCAGGTGTTGTTGGTTGATTCATCAATTGGCTGTGGGTCAAAAACTGGTACCCAAATGGAACCGGGTAAATAGAAACGTGGACTAAAACCTGCGGTCTGGTGGTTGAATTTTGACCCATACCCAATTCAATTGGGGTTGTAACCCCAACTCTTTGAGAAAGCTCCAAACGACTAGGCCCGAGACATTTCCGGCCAATTGCCCTCCCGCCAAAAGCGGAAGTTCCCATGCCCCCCAGAAGAAGAAGAAGTGTGTAGAGTTCCCTTCAGAGAGTCTTTTGGAGGGCGCACTGAAAGTGGGTGCGACTACTTTCCTGTGCTCAACCTTGGGGTTGGCGCCTTTTCATGCCAATCGATTCCTCTTAGATCACAAAGGAGACCAAGGAAACCAAATCGTGGTACAAAAGATCGAGTCTATATCAGGAAACCACGAAGGGTTTAGAAAAAAACGGCGGGCAATTAAAAGCACCCAACTAAGTAGTCTGTGTGTGTCTTTTGGGGGACCCCTCCAAAATGACTTCGGGTTTCCTTTTGGTTTCCCTTTACCACCAAACAAAGGGTAACTCGAGAAAAAAGAAGCTACCCATGAAAGAATGGGAACCGATCTCGTCGCCGGCTTCTTCTCCGCCTTCACCGAGTAGTTCCCGGGGCTCAGGTTCTCGGGCACCGTCAACGCATAGAGGCCCTGGCCACGAATGAAAAAACGAGGCCCCAAGGAAGGTCCTCCCGTGCCTGCAAACTAAGCACACACACAGGTAGCCTCAAAAGATTCGCGTGTAAGGACAAGGTGTCCTGTTGCTTCTTGCAACGTGTTTTGCCGGTCTCTGGGAAGAGAAAACATCCCCTAGCATGAATGGATGGAATCCTAGGCCTACCAAAAAACAGCAAGAACTGCTCATTACCATCAAAAACTATCCTTTCAGGTCCCTGGGCCGTGACGGATACAAAGAGCCGGAGGAAGTCGATCGGTCGAACCTAGGCAGAGCAAAAACACCCCGGCCGGTGATTCGACACGGCTCAACCTAAAGTAACGCTTCCCTAGGGGGGGGGGCTACGGTCTGGAATATATATGTATATATATATATATATATATCATATGCATATTATAGATATATATATATATATATATACACACTTATATAATATGTAATATATAATATATAATATATAATATATAATATAATATACATGTACTTATAATATATATATATATATATTACAAAGGGGGGCATGAGTTTCTGTCCATGCATCCGTCTAAACATGTTTGAACTTCAAGCGGTTGCCTCAAACCTTTGTGCTTAGAAAAGCCCTCGGGTGCCGCGCGCCCGAAGGCCCGCCTTGTTGCCGGCGTCCGCGATCGCAGTGGCCACCACTTCGCTGCCCACCAGCTGCAACGAGGCCTGCCACTCGGACTCGAGGGGGGGGGGTCGGGGGATGGGTCCCTTTTTTTTGTCACCCTAAACATCACCTCAAAGAAGCCATCTTACATTGGCCCAGAAAACGTTGCTTCAAACAACGGCAAAATATCGGAAATCTGGTTCTGGGCCAATACAATTCACAACCCCGAAAGGAATTCTCGGTCTTTTCGCACCCATGAGAAGTGAGCTCGGAATTTGTGATGTCTAAGCCAACAAACAGTGCGGACATTCAACCTGGCCTACGGGAAATATAGGTGCCCCCGAGAGCCGAATTGGTCACAACTCCGAAAGATCATGAGCAACATGGCTTCATGACCCCACGACGAAAACTGGAGGTGTATTGGGCGGCTGATTCTGATTCAGAGGCAGCCTTTCCGGCTTTAGATATGCCGAGCCCTAGGTTCCCAAATCCGATCCCCGCCTTGAAAACCAGGGAATTGGTTGCAACTTCCACGAATGTTCCATGGAAATCAAAGCGGATCTCTTTGTTTGCTTCAGGGACTCTAGGATTCTGTTGGCTTCTTTTTCCAAGGCTCCGAAAAGAGGATCCCCCAACGCGCATGTCGTGGGTGTTATTCAGGGCAAGCCTTGGAGAACCTCCCCCCGTTGCAGGGCTCTGGAGAGGTCTGGTCCAAAGTGGCTCAACTCAACACCCTATGGCGGTAGCATGAGCCACAGTCAATATTCATCACGTTCTCCAACATTTTGGCGGGCAAGCCTCATTTCCTGGTGGTATGGCATCCTTTCCTACGGCAGCCAATGTTGGCCCTTCGCATGAAATCCGCCCTAACTGACTTTGAGCAAGAATCTTTCCACCACGATCCAGCTCAACCGGGCGAAGGGATCCAACAGCATTTGCTCTGAAGCGCAACGCCTGGTTGACACATGCTCAAAGTTCAAAATGGGGCCAAAGGGTTGCCCCCCGCCCCCAATTTGAGACAAACCCAAAATCTGAGAGAAGGATTTACTTTAAACAACCCAGTCCAATGGGCAATGGACTCGCCTCAAATGGTGTCTTGCTTGGGGCTAAACCTCCATTTGGTTGGTTTGAAAGGAAACCAGAAGAAAGGCGAGCTGTTGGGGTGTTTCAGACACCCAATGGCCCCACGCGTACGATAATTGAAAAATGGCTAGTTTCCGCATGCACTGACACAAACAGCGGAATCCTTTTCGCACTGCGAACGCCTGCTTATTCGTACCTAATTGCAACGTCGTCATAGTAGTCATCACCATCAGAAAAAAACATTAAAACTTGCAAGAGAATCCTCATCAAGAAAATCCTCAAAATAATCATCCTCAGAATCATAACCACCAGCCCAGTGACGCACATCTCTAGGCACATCTGCCAACGAAACCTTTGGGACCTCTACCAAGAAGTCAATCACTTTCTCCACCAACACTGGCAAGGATGCCCGCAAAAGCTTGGCCATTGCTTGCAGAAGTGCGACGCCCTTCGCTGTGACTTCACGCTTCCGTGACCAAATGACAGCTGCTCGCGCAGCTGCTGCGGCTGCGGATCGTTGCTCATCTTCGGGAGCCACACAAAACGGGAAGATTCGATCATTTTCTGGACCCCACGACAACCATGCCCATGGATCCCTTTGATGATACATATGCCTGAAAGTGCACATAAAGCTGCAAAGGTCCTCTTCAAGCGGTTCCATGCCTTGCGCAGCACACAACTCAGCGCAGTCAGGCTGCCCGCACAGCACTGCAGCCTGTAGCAAATTCCAGCAGTAGCCAGAACTTGAAACGTTGAAATGCTTCAACGGAAGTCCTGCAATTGCCGCGCGCTGAAGGAGGCTGTGGGACATGCAGGCGCCCCTTGAAGAGGCTTCTGCAAACATCTTTACCCAGCGGTTTGGCAATCTTGGAACCCATTTGCTTTTGCCTTCAAAGACTCCTGCGAAGTCGGACCAGGGCATTGTTGTTGCCAGAGCAACGGCTTCTCGCAATGGCAGCGCCTCCGTGTCCCAGAAGCCACGCCCCAAAAAGCAGTTCACATGCAATTGCAAGGCGGCGCCTGCTGAGAGAGCTGCAATCAAAATGTGGGGCTCAAGCAGTGCCCCCACTGGGGCTCCCATCTCGGCTTGGTCAAACAAATCTTCAGACCTCCAGCGGCGTAGGGGCCGAAGCTTGGCGCAGCCAGCGCAGCACACGGCCGCCTCCTTGTTCCCGGTGAGGATGGCAATGTCCAAGAGGCGCACCATGGCCAAGTCAGACACCTTACTTGGGCCGTAGGATAGGGCGGACGACCTTGCGCCCTGACTTCTTAACGAACCCCTTCAAACAAACAAGTACTGTACATCAGCGTAGAACCCAAAAAGACAAACTTAATTCAACTGGGCGTCAAAAAACAGGCGTTTGACAACCGTGAAGGCTCATAATAGCGCCAGTGCCCTGCTCGCACCACCTTGTAATGACACCTTGTGCATTAGCACACTTGCAGCCAAAGTTATTGGCCATACCTTCGCACAGCGCCCTTCAACAGCACCCTGCAAAATTCTCAGTCGCGCTATCCAGAAGCAGCCTGCGCCAGCACTTCAACAACGCCTTGGACAGCACCTTGCGACGCACCCTGCAACTTCCAACAGCACCCAGCACAGCAGCACCCAGTCCACATGTTGCGTCACCCCCAGTCCTCTATACTTGAATTTAGAACCGGCGGACCCACGCTGTCAAACCGTCTTGTGCTTGAGGCGGGCCAAACAAGTTGGGAGAACGCAGTCTATCAGCACCGCTCAGCTTCCAAACATCTTTCAAAGGGGTAAATCGGTAAATCCCATCAGCCCCATGGGTAGCTGAGGCACGGCAAAGGGCGGCCTGGCGCCGGAAAGGAGGAGCTCCAGAATGCGGGCCACCCAGGGTCTTGCAGCAGCAGTTCGAGCTGCATCCGCCGCAGCGCGCAGCCCCGCATCCCAGTCTCTCATCCAAGCACCCTGGCTCACGTGGAAGCCAAAGGAACAGTACTCACCTGGGCTGCCCTCAGATCCCCCGCTACAAGTTTAGATTTTAGCGGGTCGAATTGGACACTGCCACAAAACCCTAAAAAGCTAGAAAGCCAAGGGGATGCCTAGGAGCCGCCAAGTCACAAGTCCACCATCCAGCACACCTGCACAAATCTGTCTCCGCAGAAGCCCGCCCAAACGGACCTAGGTGCCGGGCTTCCAAGATGCAGCCTGCCACCCCTGCCTCAGCCATAGCCAAGGCGGTGTCCTGGTGCCCGAAGGACATGCAAAGGTCGAAGAAGTGCACAGGGCCCCACTGGGAAGCCACCAACTGGCTGAGATCCCGACCTTCCAGCAAGGCCTTTACAATCTGGAACTCTCCCACCCCCACCACCTGACCATCCGAGTCATACCAAACCAAGCCATCATCGGCCATTTCTGCACCGTGGCCAAAGCGGCTTGAGCTGCTCACGCGCGAGCATCCTATCAATAGCCAAGGGCCTCGGACACAGAAGGCAAATGGTCAACATGTAGATTCTTGGCCAACCCCTTCGGGATGGTTTTAGCCACGTCGATTTTATTGAAGTCATTGAAGCCTCCCAAGGCAGCACATGTCCAATGATTACTTTGGCCCCTCACCTACAGGTGTGCCACCTCACCCATGGCTTTGGATAGTCTCAAGAAAAGTCTCGCTAATACTTGGCCCACATCTGGGATATGTGGGTCATGTTCAGCCTACCCCCAAAAAAAAGTAGTTTGGGAGGAGACCCCACCCGCAAGCGAAAGCAGAACAAAAAGCGCAGGGATGGCTTCCTCATTTAAGCAAACAAAAGCCCAAGTTTCAGCAGACGCAGGAAAAGTCTCACTAAAAGCTTGACGACTGAGTCAGTGGGCCAAAACGCGGCCCTGTCTTCTTCAATGAACACATGATGCCGCATGCTTTGCCACAACAGTGGTCAACCAAGTACACCCTGGGTCTGCCAAATATGCAAAGCCTCGTTCTCATGGGGGTCCGGCAACTGAACCCCCCAGCCAAATGATCCTTCAATGTCCGACTGAGCCCTTGGACAAATGTGTAGGCTTCCTCCCCTTAGAGAAGTCTTGTCGTGAAAGAGGCAGCAAAGGACCATCCTGTTGGCCAATGCTTGCGGTCAACGAACCACGCACCACACCCTACCTTGATGGGGGGGTTGCCCCCACTTCCATTTGCCTAGTCTTGTTCTCACAGGTGCACCATATGTCCAACTTAAAACAGCAGCCCAACAAGAATCTCGCTTTGACTCGTGTCCAGGAACACGAAGTCTTAGGTATTGGACGTTTAGGGTCCTTTGGCGCCCTTCTTTGTCTGGGTGTATTGAACAGCAGGAAGGGCCCGCACTTGCTTTGCCCTCCCCTTTGGCCATAACAGCCAATTCCAGGGTTGGATCTGAAAACATACCAAACCCGGGCGTGCCGGAGGTCTGCTTGTTCCTCACTATGAGACCTCTAAGATGGACCCGTTGTGGTCTGGAATGACTTGTCCCTAGGGTTGGCCCTTTTTCGGATAAATCAACGCCGGAATCCCTACTCTTTAACGCAAAAGATGGACGAAGGAAGGAGCGCCAGGCGCTAGCTGGCTAATGGGTTTGTCTCCAAATGGGAACCTTAAATTTTGGTTGTTTCCTTCCGATGCACTTCATTACAACACCCCAAGCAGGAAAAAACGCACCCTTTCAGACAGCAGGGTTTGCCCAGTTGTCTCGCTTGAACCATTCTTAGGGCACTCAAAAACAAGACATAAACAGGGGCCCGGAGATGCGCCGAAGTCGTCCGCATCAACACATCAGCGGCGGCAACGACAAAAAATACCGCCCAGAAAAGAAGCATCAGTTTCTGGGAACCGCAATAGGTCGGACCAAAACAACCCACGTGTTGCTTTTTCCTTGGAAAATGTGGCTGTGGGTCAAAACCAATGGTGCCATTTTGGGGTAGGTGCACCCATTTTGGTCTATTCTAGTGGTTGGATTGAATCGGATGTTCACTGGGGGCTAACCGATTTGGATTTTGAAAAGCCCATGGCCATGTCAGAACTGGGTGTTTGAGTACCCAGGCTTATTTCCAAAGGACAGCTTACCCTCCAGGAGCACAGCCCTCAGCCTCCGGTGAGGAAGAAAAGCAGTAGTGGGTCTCACCCGCTCCCATTGTGGAGGGGCATACGACCTCAGCCAAGGGTCGTACAGGGTGAAACCATGCGTAAGATTGTGACCCCTGAACGATGTGGTGTTTATCCGAATGGCATCATCTTCAAAAACAAAGGGACCAAAAACAACGCTCGGGAAGTTGTTGAACAGTGGCGGGAGCCCTTTAACCACCCCTGAAGACTCGTGTTCACAGCAGCCGCTTTAACTCTTTCATTTGGCCCAGCCCTGAACCGTCTATAGGGGGTCTTTGACATCCACGGTGTGAAGGGGCTCAAGCAAGTTCGGGGGCTCCAAAGAGATCCTCCAATGACCATCGCCCGTCCGAAAGACGACACACCAAGGTGAACTGCGCCCCCGGGAATGCAAGCCGAAGACCTCGATGTGCGCCTCAAACTCAAGGAAGTGGTTTCCGTCTTGGATGGACATCTCCATGCAAAATGACATAACATGCAGGTGTCGGTTCGGTTCAACACTCGAGCGTGCCCTTCTTTTCCCGTATGAATCCACTGGAATGCTGGGACTGTTGGCGTTGAAGAACGTGGGGAGTTCTGAGGCCCCTGTCTTTGCAACCCCCAACCTGGTACTTGGGCCCAAGTACCAGAAGAAAAATGGGTTTGGACTGGACAAGACCGGGTCGCCTTGATTGGGCCCTACTTCGTCCGGATTTCGTGCCCTTCGGCCTTTTGCGAGCTATGCAGAACAGCAGCTTGTGATTTGGGGCAGGTTGGGACTAGAGTCCGAAACGGAACTCAGCCCAAAAGCGTCCCAAACGGATCCGCCCCAGAGGCGATGCCAAAGACGCCAACTCGGCCACCCGGCCAAGGCATGGCCCGCGGCCAAAAAGCTGAGGGCCGCCAGCCTCGCGAGCGCGGCTCTTTTGGGCTGGCAGACAAGGCGTCTGAACATCACAACCAAAGCCATGAAAGTCCACCCCCGAAACACTGGATCTGGGTCCTCAAGTAGAGAGGTTAGAACAAGGGTACCCTTTTTTTCTGTAGTCTATTTTAGTAGGGGAACCCAACCCCAAAAACGGGCAAAAGGGCACTACTGGGGGACCTAGGGATGGCTGAAACATTTCAATGGATCTCCGCACACGGCTCCACCCCTTCAAACGATGTGATCCCTTGGGTATATGAGCCCGTCCGTGAAGGACTCCTGGAAAAGATGCTCCAAGCCCTATTTGCCTCGCGCGATTCGCGCTACTGGCAAGCCGTCGTGTTGTCTGGAGGCCAGGGTGTTTGCAGCAAATTTGTTGGGACGTCGTGTGGCTTGGACGCGTTCAACCTGGATTTCAACTTTCGGTCGCCCACTGCAAGGCGCTTAAAGGTGGATGCCGCCTCGATGCCTACATTATCTAACTTAATGGCATGGACAGTTGCAAGCACTCCTGTCAGCCGTGCCGCCTGGCGGTTTGTCTGAGCGACGTGCAGTGCCGAAGACCCCACGCTTGATCCCGTTCTGGGTAGACAGAGCTACTGTACTTGCTCAAGAGGACAGGAGGACGGAGTACAGCTGGCATCCTGTCTCTCGTTGCCTTTTTCACTGAGCAGTTGCTTAACCGGCATCATTTGCTCAAGGCTCCTGTCGATAGTCCCATCGTCCCACCGGCACCTAATCAACATGTCAAAGAGCATGTGACGACCCCAGGTAACAAAATACATACCCTGTTTGGCGGCTACAGAGACAAACGTCTTCGACACATGTGGAGTTTCCCGTGTTTCAACTGTTGACGGGACTGCCTAAAATTTGTTGCCAAAGAACAGATCCTGGACTTCCTCCAACTCTCAGCTGTTGCTTTTCGAATGAAGGCAGAAGACGATTGCGTCACGCAAAAATATTCGTCCCCCGCTGATGGCCCGCTGATGGCTCGCCGGGCCCGCCTCGCGAACATCCGGCGCACCATCAGTGATAAACACTTGATAAAAAGGGGCCCTGTCTCAGTGGCCAGCCTTAGGCTTGTGAGCCACTCTCAAGCTGCGAAGGCGATTGTTTTGCGGCGAAGCTGAGCTGTCTTCATCGAACTGCCAGCTGCTTGTCAAGCAGAATGATAACCCTACCGAAGCCATTTGGTGTGGAGTTCCGTTCGTCTGAATTACCATTATATGTACACATGTCAAAACCATGCAGACTTGCAACAGAAGACTGCAGAAGTGCTATAGCCCATACACCAACAACGGGTTGTCACGGGCGTCCTATATCAAAAACCTAGTCTACAGGAAGCCTACCGAAAGGTGTGGACATCCACCACATTGGTTTTTGCGGTGCTACTTCCCCAGTGTCTTTGGCAAAATAGTGGACCTCTTTGCAACGATCAGGGAAGTGGGCAACATGGGCTGTGGAAGACCCGCATCCAGTAGGAAGGGTCCTGCACGAAACTGGTTCTTGAACAAAGGATCTTCACTTGAACAACTGCTCGACTCTGGAGCGAGCGCGGCAAGCTTACCTTGTGCTGTCCGTCCACTATCTCAGGTATCTTCCCAAGCCAGTGTTCTAGAATTGCGAAAGTGTGTCGCCGCCGTCTTGGCAACGCTTGCAAACACCCGCGATTCTTCATCCGAGTTGTATGAAAACGGCTTGCACGCCGCCAGTTGCTTAAGATTCAGTTGCACTTCGCTGCGCTGGCGTTGTTTCGAGTGACAAGTTGCCCTCCAATCCAATTCTTTGGGTCAAAATGGTCAGTGGGCTTCGTCAGGTGCCTTCTCCTTGTTGCCACAGTGGTAACTGCCAAAACTGGACAACTCGGTGCACAATCACTTAGGCTTTTCAAAGGCAATCTTGAGCTCGATGCAGGGCGCTTCAGATTTCCCCCTTCACCTCATGAGGAAACTCAGGTTGCGCTATCCAAACGGAAACCCGAAAGGTCCCATTTGGTTTGCCTTAAAGCGGCTTACGACGCAGGGCGTGATGTCTTCCAGTACAAGACTCCTGGCTGTATTTCTTTTCTTGGGCGGGTCCCCCCAAAAGTAAAGCCGAGCCACGAGGGGAGGGAAGGTTCCGCCTCTGAACCAGAAGGTTGGCGGACACAATTCCCATTGTAAATGATATCCAGGTTCTCCAAGTGAATGTTCGATTCAAAGGCGTCTTTTTGGATCGGGGTGGCTTCAAAGGAAGCCAATAGGAAAGCAATCACGGGGTGTCCCTTCTGGAAGGAACCACTTGCTTTTCTGGGGGACCCGCAGAATGGTGGGTTTCCATTGTGGCTTCCCTAAAAAACTCAGCCGAAAGGGGGTACCTTCCAAAAAAGATGACATACCGGGGTCTATCTATAAACCTCCAAATCATTTGTCCCTCACCCTAAACCTCCTATTATCTTCTTGGGTGCTGTAGATCCCAGCAAAAAGTCAAAGTGTTTGCTGGTTAAAAGAAAAAATATGAGGGGAATCCAACAAGTTAAAGCCTAAAGAATCCAACCCAAGAGCAGTAGAGTCTTTGTTTCCATTGTGGCTTCCCTAAAAATCGACGCAGAAAAATTCACCGTCCAAAAACGACACTATAAACCTCACCACTAAACTTCCAAAACTCTCTTGGGCTCGGGTGATGACGAACTTCGCACCTTTTCGCTCACTCCTTGCGGCGCTCGGGGCGCTGGTTCAACAGCTGCTGCAGCTCCGGCCCAGGAGGGCCCTTCCTACGGAGTCCCAGCGCTTCCGATCGTTTCGCCATAGGTGACCCTTCGTGTTTCTTAGAACTAGGTCTCACCGTTTTTTTTGGGGGGGGCTACCTACTATGCCTAGCACTATGATTGCTATAAGTGCCTAAATCATTAGAATGGTGCTGGGTTGGGCCTCTGGTTTTGGTGGCATGTCCCCGACCAAACAAACGTGACGATCATCGCTGTAAAGCCTCAAAGGAAGACACTTGATCGCCTTTGAAATGCATCCATTTGACAGGGTGAATCTTGGCCAACTTAAACGGCGGGCAATTTGTCCCCTACTTGCTTCACATGTAGGCTATCTACTGGAGAGAATAGGGGTCTGGAAGAAATTCTGCCCCAATGAAACATATTGGGACTTCTTGAGGTCCAAAACCTTCCAATTCAGATGGTCCAATGCCCGGGCAGCTGTATCTTCAGTTGGTTCCGAGTTGTTGCTCGCAAGTGTCGCAACAGAAGCGGAGGATGGTGAGTGCTTTTGGCAAAGGGCGTCCAAATGCCACCCTCTTTTTACCGCTAGCATAGTCTTCCCAAGCCCGGAAATTGGATATGCTACGCGAGTAGAGTAGTACTTGGAACCTTACCACACCGTCCAATAAGGGTCTCACAACCACCCATTCCCAAGCCAGTAAGATTGGGTTTTGGAGACAAAGACGGCGCCTGGGCCCACCCCTTGGTATGCTATTGATGATTGGAGGTGTCCCCTGTCATAACACATGGGGTTTGTCTCAAAACTACGAGATTCACCAACGCAAAGCCATTCCCTAGCCATTCCCTGCGCAGCAGACAAGGGAAATACGCAAACCCGCTGTACGAGTATACGCAACCAGTTGCTCGATGCAAGCTATTCCTCACCTACCGCATAAGAAACTATATCAAACCTCTGAAATAAGTATAACACACATATCCAAGGGTCTGATGCCATTGTTGCAAGTAACCAACTGCGAACTGGTTTGCGAGTCATGTTGATTCCCCAATTTGAAACTAATTTGACACATGGGGGTTGATCAAAAGGTCCTTTACATGGGATGACTATCCCTGGAAACTACCAACAAACAGATATTTCCCACAAAATGGGAAAAGTTGCCCAGGAATATTGATCAACCCCCACATAGCAACCTGAGCAAAACACAATGTTGTTTCAGAGTTCAACCTGGGTGGTCCCCTGCGCATGTCAAATCAAAAGAGACGTTGTGGCCTGGGTCCCGTTGCGCGTCTTCCCCAATCAAGCGTATTGGTGGCATCGGTTGCTCAAATAACTTGGTTTGGGCATACATTTGTTCAGCTTCCCCCCAATGGGGTGGTTTGGTGGTTCTGGGGTGGTTTTCCATTTACCCTCCAAAAGAGCCAGGGGTTCAATTTCCCAAACCAGCAATGCAAACCACCAATTAGGGGTTTCCTGATATGCTATGATAGAACACACCAAAGGAACTCCACCATCTGTAGTGCGCAAGCGAGACGAAGCGACATCCCTGGCTGAAACAAGTTAACAGTGCAAGCAAAGAACGCCCTGCACATCAACCACCAACCACGGAAATCATTATAAAACATATAAACAAATACAAAACCCACAAAACAACATAATCAGTTATCACGGACGCACTTAAGCACACACATAAACACACACACATAAACAAGCACAAACAAACAACACCATGTGTTTTTGCTGTTTCTACTCTTCCTCCTTGCAATGTTCGAAGGGAAGCAACCGTCGCGGCCACCTAGGGGAGCCTCTAACGCCGAGGGGCGCCAGGCGCCGTTGCTTCTTCCGGAGGATCTTTTGCTTACGACCCTCGAGGTGCAGAAAGGTGGGATCCTCGGGTGCGCGTGCCGTGCCTGAGTGGTGGGTCGGGTTGGGGTGGGTTGGGTTAGGTTAAGTGGTGTTGAGTTGAGTTGGGTTGGGTTGGGTTGGGTTGGGTTGAGTTGGGTTGGGGGTTGGTGGGGTCGGCTTGGCAGTTAGCTTGATGCCGTTGGCGGCTGGGTGGATGGGGCGGTTGCCCGGGCAGTCCTTTTCAGCCATGAGTGGGGTCTGAAAGCCCGTGACTCTACTGGCCTCACTCTAACCCCATGAAACCAAACCAAACCACCAGAAACCAAAATCGGAAACCTTCCTGTTCGGAAACCTTTCTGGAGACACCATATTCTGAAACCACGCCAACATCAACTTCATTTCTGAGCAGAGGGGATCCTTTCGAAAAAAACACATCCCATCGGGTGTTGTCGTGTTGTCCAAGTCGGGAGGGTCGGGAGGTGGGGATCCTTTCGCCAGCTTGGGCGAAGCCAGTTCCCTGTATGCTGAAAAAAAAAACGGCAACCACTATACAGGGATCCGGATGCATGAAAAACACCTGAACATCGCAACTTGTAAATGGTGATTTCCGATTTTTGTTGGTGTTGAAAAAGCCCCATGATTGAAATGGGCAGGCAAAATGGAGATCTTTTAAGGAGCCCTGCTATAGTAACCTTCAAACAGCCTTCAAGTGGTTGGCCCCGAAAACTTGATTCTGGTTGTTCAACCCCCAGAACCCCCAGCCTGAGGAAACCCCCCAACAACCAGAATGCCACCACTGAGAAACTGGGTTGAACATGCTTTGCCCAACCCTGTCTCGCACTAAGCCCGGCACATACATGGCAGCCTCCCCCATTCCAGACTGGCCAGCACGTGTGACCCCGATGAGTACCAGACTCCACTTGAGCGGGGTGCCGACCACCAGTTCACTTACACCCGGTTGCTCGGTTTCAAACCCAAGATGGTCATGAACGCGTAATCTAAGCCTTACTTGTTTGTATGACATGAACCAGCTGCTTAGAATCACCTGAACTGCTTACTGTGTGCACCTGTTCACCCCTACAAAGGCTGCGAGGGGGGTGATTGGAATTCATGAACCATCTGGCCTTGGCCGAGTTCCAACGCACAGGACCAAATTTGGATAGAGATAGCAAGATCAGCTGGTTGTAGTACGTAACAATCAGCTGGCATGTGCCAACAGGTACAGTTGGTACACATCTGGAGATGTCAACCAGGAAATGGGTGGGAAACCAAGCAATTGGGGCAAGCCATGCGCTATCTGGTTTCTACTCACTTGAATATTGCCCTTACAATGCTGTGGACGAAACAAGTTGGGATGATGGGAGAAATAAAGCCCTGTGAATACTGTACTGGATACACCCACCTACCAACCTGTGATATGTGGATGTTGTCCATCCTCATACAAGCCTTCTTTTGAAAAGTTGATATGTCTCAAGGGAAGCCACATATCAAGCTATCACACTCATATCAACTAGTAGTCTCACCGTCTACGAGGACGCCGTTGACTGCAACCCCAAAACAATCTCAGCGCCCGAACCAGTTCTAGTAAACCTCGAAATGTTAAAAGCATGTCAGCAGAAATCCCCAAAAAGGGGCCTTAAGTATCTGGAGAGCAAAAAATCACTAGACCGGTGTGGGGGGGAGGTGTTTGAGGGCGTTCCGGGAGGAGCCCTATCCCATATTTACAGGTGCTGCAGTGCTGCTCGGTGCCTGCATGGCTTGCTGCATCATGGCGATGTACTCCACTGCGCGATCATAGAACTTGGCATCCTTGGAGATGCCCGCCTGGCCAATGAAGCAGCTGGAACCAATCCATCGATCTCGAGTTTTTTTTGTGTTTTCTCTGACGCTCGATATTCAGTCTGTAACATAGAACATGTGTTTTGTCAGAAAAGGAGAAAATGTGATTTGAACTGACTCTGCTCTATATTCAGTCCACCCTAAAATATGCGTGTGTGGTGTCAGAAAAGGAGGACACTATGGACCAACACATAGAATTAGAATGGGGTTGTGGGGCAACATTACGTCATGATCATGGAGTAATGATGTGCGTACTTATTTGGCCCCTTATACAACACCCCAGCACAGAAACAGGGTCTAAAATCCCTCATGACCATGCCTACAAAACCCAAAGCAACGGGGTCCTTTGAACATTGCACATCTAGGTCCTCCAGTAGAGAGGTTGACTAAGGATACCCTTTTTTCTGTAGTGTATTTTGGCACTGCTGGGCTCAGCGGAGGCTGCAACTGCTCAGTGCATGTGCCTTGGCGTCGTAGAGCGACGCCAGGCCCGCGCAGATCTGGCCCACCGCAGGGTTCCTCGAGGACAACAAACAAAAACACGGCGCCGAATCCATATCAAGACCTGCAAAAAGAGTCTACTAAGCCATGAAGACCAGCAAAAAGAGTCTAAGCGTCATGAAAAAAGACTTAAATACCCGAATATCCAGCTATTGATGGGGATGGTCCGTTCCCTGAATCTGCCTGGGACTGACCGGGTTTTGATTGTCGGCAAGCATCGCCGATGCCAAACGCAAATACCTCAAACCCGCCAGTCCCCCAAAAAGCGGAAGTGACCCTCCCCATCTGTATGGTCCAACTTCCGCCAGCTGTGTGTGTGCTGGTCAAGGTTTGTCTCCAACCACACAAACCCCTTCTTTGCCGTTTGGTTTGCCTTTGCCTGGGGCCATACTTGGCATGCACAAGCCTTCAGCCACGTAACCGTCGGTGCTTAGCTGCTTAGGGGTCGAACTGACTCCTGAGATGCTTCCGGCCAGACACGCTGAGATCTGATGGACCAACACCTAAGCCGATTGACAGACTGCTGAAAGCAGAACGTTGGGAGTCAGAACACTGACATTGATCACTTGGCAGAAAGCTTGGCATTTGGCCTTTGGGTCTGTCTTTTTGCGGGGTACCTTATTTTGGAGTTGTTTTAAAGGGACACCCACAAAAAAACCAACATTTTGGGGGTCCCCTAACAAAATAACATATTTTGTCGGATATGCAAAACGGCACGTCATATGTAAGTCCAAAGGCTCAAATCGTATGGAGGGCCCAGATCTCTCTGTTGGGCAAGCGGCGCGAAGCCGCCGTTCTCGAGCATGTCCTGCAGCGTCTCCTCGTAGTCCTGAAAGAGGAGCCCCAGTCGGTCATATGGCAGGGTGAGTTAAAGAAGTTCACCAGGAGGGTCAAATGACCGAGCCATCATTTTGAGGATGCCTAGGACATTCCATTGTATTGAGGCAGGTCTAGCTGGATATCAACATGGCTCCCAAGACCCATCCGTGGTTGCATCTTCTTGCGGGTTCTTTGAGGCTCCATGAGGTGATTTTCTGGGAATCCGTTCACATCTCTTCTTTCAGCCCAACGGATGTGACGGTGCCGATCCTTCTGGTCGTCAACAATCACAGCCTGTAAAAAAGCGAACCCTCTCCTAATCCAAACTTCAAGACTTTCCAGGGGACTATTATTGGGGACTATGGGATACGGTGCCTACAAACTGCAACGAGGGCGGGCAAAGGGGCTGAAGGCAAGAAAAATTACGATTCCATAAACGTGCCTAAGGTTGCAAGTTGCTCCAATGCATCGCTTTAGATGGGCCAAGAGCCCTGCGTGCCAGTCAACCCAAGGCCGTATTTCATTGGTCCATTTAAGTCGTTCCTGTAAGGTTCATGAAAAATCGGAAGATTGCGGGTCCATTCACAAGGCACCACTTGACATGTTCCTTGCTGGAAGAAGGTATGTGAGTGTGTGTGTGTGTGTGTGTGTGTGTGTGTGTGTGTGTGTGTGTGTGTGTGTGTGTGTGTGTGTGTGTGTGTGTGTGTGTGTGTGTGTGTGTGTGTGTGTGTGTGTGTGTGCGTGCGCGTGTGCGTGCGCGTGCGCGTGCGCGTGCGCGTGCGCGTGCGCGTGCACGTGCGCGTGCGCGTGCGCGTGCGAGTGGGCGTGGGCGTGGGCGTGGGCGTGGGCGTGGGCGTGGGCGTGGGCGTGGGCGTGCGTGTGCGTGTGCGTGTGCGTGTGCGTGTGCGTGTGCGTGTGCGTGTGCGTGTGCGTGTGCGTGTGCGTGTGCGCGTGTGCGTGTGCGTGCGTGCGTGCGTGCGTGCGTGCGTCTGTGTGTGTGTGTCAACTCTATTAATCTTTTGGGGGTTGTCTTTAACTAGCTTTCTTTACGAACCCGTAGCATGAGGCCATATTGCCGTCCGGTACCATTAACCATGGGCTCTTTCATGGGAAACCAGCCACAGATGCCCAAAATGATGCGTTAAACCTAAGCTGAAACTGCCTGTTTTTTGCATTTGACTCTTCAGAGTGTAAAGGGCCTAAGCTGAAACTGCCTGTTTTTTGCATTTGACTCTTCAGAGTGTAAAGGGCCTAAGCTGAAACTGACTCTGTGTTTTGAAACTGCCATTTGACTCTTCAGAGTGTAAAGGGCCTAAGCTGAAACTGCCTGTTTTTTGCATTTGACTCTTCAGAGTGTAAAGGGCCTAAGCTGAAACTGCCTGTGCATTTGACTCTTCAGAGTGTAAAGGGCCTAAGCTGAAACTGCCTGTTTTTTGCATTTGACTCTTCAGAGTGTAAAGGGCCTAAGCTGAAACTGCCTGTTTTTTGCATTTGACTCTTCAGAGTGTAAAGGGCCTAAGCTGAAACTGCCTGTTTTTTGCATTTGACTCTTCAGAGTGTAAAGGGCCTAAGCTGAAACTGCCTGTTTTTTGCATTTGACTCTTCAGAGTGTAAAGGGCCTAAGCTGAAACTGCCTGTTTTTTGCATTTGACTCTTCAGAGTGTAAAGGGCCTAAGCTGAAACTGCCTGTTTTTTGCATTTGACTCTTCAGAGTGTAAAGGGCCTAAGCTGAAACTGCCAGTTTTTTGCATTTGATTCTTCAGAGTGTAAGGGGCCTAAGCTGAAAAGGCCGCCTTTTGTTCGGTTTTAAAGGGACAAGCCCTCAGCGAAAGGCGGGCACGGTGCCCCGATCCGAACGCGCCTGCAGGGCGCGATCCATGTCGAAGCCCTTGGCCAGCACCAGGCCGTCCCCGTACTCCACGAAGCTGGGCTGAACCTGACAAGGACCCAAGGCAGGGGTCCGGATGAAGCAACTAGGGTTACGCAGGTTTTAGTCTTTGGTTCCATTTACCAGGGCAACCCATGTTAAGAACCATTTATTTGAGCAGGGATCCTTACATTGTACACCTGAACATCGCAACTTGTAAATGGTAAACCCAACTTTGTTTTGGTGTTGAAAAATTGCCCCATGTTTCAAATGGGCAGGCAAAATGTTCTTTTAAGGAGCCCTGCAAGGGTTCATAAATAAGCGGCCGTGGGTCAAACACAGGTACCCTAAATTGGACCCTGGCGAATGGGACCAAGGACAAAAACATGTGGTTATTTGGTGGCTTAAATTTGACCCATACCCAGGTGTGTGTCAAAATAGGAGGATCCAACCTGGGTGGTCTCCTGTTGGCTGGGGAAACCGACCACAGCCACAAAATTAAAAACCTGTCCGGCTTGAGGGCAACCCTTGGGGTCAAACGGAAAGCAGCTGCAACGGGATTACTCCTCAGCACGAATCCAGAAGCTCTGGTAGCTCTATGTCTTGGAGCTGCTTGGCTTTAGCCGCAAGCAGGCGCGCTTGAGTCATACGAAGCGAGGAAGACAGCGCAATCTGCCGTGTGTCTTTGATGTACTTTCAATATTCAGGCCTTGACAACGGTAGGATCTATTGGAAGGCTGCCACTATGACACCTGACAGAGAAGGCGTCGTGTTTCTCAAGGTACCTTCCGGTGGATTCCATGTTGGTGGGAGAACGGGTACACACTCATGCTGTTTCTATATGTGTTTTTTGTTTGTGGGGGACCCCTTTTGGTTTGTTTCAAAAGGACACCACCACAAGGAAGCCAATTGTTTGGGGTCCCGTATTTCAAGACACGCCCGCACTGGCGCAACAAAGATATGTCTTAAATTGGTTTCACCCCCAAGCGACTTCCGGAACCCAAGGAAAAGTAGTAACCCCAACCCCAAGAAAGTTGGCATTGACCCCTGATCACACGCCCGCCTGTCCTTTCTCAAAGAAACGCGGTCAGTAGAAAATAGACTGACCCCCTAAAACGGGCCCTTACTTGTTGATTGTTGATGGCAGTCAATCAAATAGGGCAGCTTTACATACTCCTTTCCATCCATGTACATGGGGGGGGTTGGCTGGAAGACTTAACCACACTGGGACGCTCAATCTGAGTTATGTCTGCGAGCGGAAACCCACGGCCCCGCCCCCTTTTCCCCCCCCCCCCCAAGGAGTTGTGATGAAAGGGTTCTGAGCACCTTTGCAAGGGGCCCCCAATGTCTCTTCTTTGCGCAAACGGCCTTCAATCTCAGCTTCCAGGTGACCCAGCTAGAAGAAGGGACCCCTTTTTGCATTGCTTGAGTGGAAAACCGCCAAAACAACACCAGCAAAGGGTGAACAATTGGAACACCTACAAACATCACACCACTCAAAGGATACTCACTGCCTACACACCCTCCAACAATCATGGAAGTGGACATGGGGCTTCCACAAAAACCACCCCAAAAGGACGGTTTCTCTTCTAAAACCCTCCTGCCAGCTTCCGTGATTGTTGGAGGGAGGGTACCACAAAAGCCGGGTGGCCCACCCAACTCCATTGGGCTCGTGTCCGCCATCTACCTCCAGAGGTCGTGTCTTTTTTTGTTTGTTTCCAGTGTCCACGGCTTTCCCCTGAAACCCGACGACTTCTTCTCCCCAAACAAAAACCGAAAGCCGCCGCGCGGCCGAGCTCAGCGAGGGCTTGCGCAGCTGCTCCGGCACCGTGGAGTCCGCGAAGATACCTCGAAGAAGAAAAACGGGGCTGGGGTCGAGAGGTATAGGACCTAGCTCCTCCAGAGAGGTTAGAATAAGTTGGCACCTTTTGCTTCTGTCTATTTTAGTAGGGAAACCCTCCCCCAAAAAAGGGGTAAAAGGGCACTACTGGGGGATAGTACAGGAAATTTCAAGGGTTTCAATCCTGAACCACCGGGAACTGGGCTGCAACGGCTTACTCTTAAAAACCTTTAGTCTCAGTGGATCGCAGTTACCAGTCTAGAAGGCCAGCCATTTCGCTTTGATTCCCTTCCCTACAGGTCAATGGATATACAGAGAGCTGGGCTGCAATGCATTGCCTTTAAAAGCCAACTAGGTGGACTGGAGGGGCTGTGGCATTGCTAGCGGTCACCTCAAGAGCCAAAATACGAACAGCGAGGTTCTTTAAAAGCAAATTGAGTCATGAGTAAAGAAGTAATGTTGACCGCGGATTAATCAACCCCAGTTTGTTGATATGGGGGTGGGGTGTTCCCCTCCAAAAGTGGTCTGAATCCCCACTAAAACCAGGGAAACGGTTCATTATCTGGGGTCAACATTAGGGAACTGCAAGGGTTTCAATCATGAACTTAGGGCTCCCCAAGGAAAGCACGGATAGCTCCTAGTTGACTTCTTGAATCAAAGCCCCCACAGAGAATCAAAAGGGTGTCGGACACCATACATATTGCAAGTGGGGGGCAAAAGCAACCCGCTGATGCCCAGAGTTTAGTGTGCTAGCTTCCACTTAATCTCTTCCCCCTATTAATAAATACGGCCCCCCTATTATAAATAAATCCACTCAAAAATATATGTTTTTTTAATTGGGGTTTTTGGGGTTGGTTTTGTTTTGCTTTTCCAACAATGTGAGGGTTCGCATAGGATTTGGAGGAAATGGATTGAATTGTAAGGTCCGCGAGTAAGCGGTTTAATAAGGAAATTTGATGTATCATTCTATTTGTTTACCAGTTTACTGGTTGTTTGTTGGGGCAAACCCAGGACAGAGCTCTGCCCAGGCAGCCAGACCAGACAGACCGCAGCCAGGTGACAAACGCAGCCAGCCAGGGAGTCAGGGACAGCCAGGGACAACAGAGTCAAGAACAACCTTTTGGGGAACCCACCAAAAGAACCCAACCTTTTGAGAAGCCAGCTTTTGGGGAAGCAACCTTTTGGGGAATTGAGGAACCCACCTTTTGAAAAGTGAGGCTGGAAGCTTGCTAAAACTGCCCCCTAATAAGGATTCCAAGACTTTAGTATTGGTTTAGTATTGGCGCAATGGAAAATCAATGTGGAGTGGAAATCTGGTCTCGGGCCCCGGATTTGCATTTATTAATGGGGGTCATTCATTAATAGGGGGAGGAGATGATTTGGTGCCGGTGGTTTGGAAGGGTGGCTTCCTGTTTACCCTCAGAAGCCAGGGATTCGATTCCCAAACCAATCGAAACAACCAAGGGTTGCTTGCAAACGTAGGGTTCCCCTGCAAGGCAATCACGGATATCTCATAGGAGTGAATGGCCGACTTCTTAAATCAACGCGCCCAGAGAGAATCAATCTTGTTTCTCTCATTCGGGCATCTTTGCCCATGACGCCCAACTGACCATCTGGGAAAACCAGGCTTGATTCGGTAGGGTACACTTCTTCATTCCCTGCTGGTAGTTGCTGCCCCAGAATTTGGTGTGTAAAAGTCCCAACCTGCCTCGCACCTGCTCGTCGCTTGCTCACTCGCTTGCTCGCTCGCGCGCGCATGCACCCAGACAGACAAACACAAACACGAACACAACAATAATTACCAACCCACACACACACACACACACAAACACACGACCGACTGCGTGTCACAGCCAGCCAGGATGGCTCCACAAATGGGGCACACTTCCTGCTCCAACCATTCAAAAATGGGTCCGCAACGGTGACGCGCATCCTTTCGGCGCACCGACCAGCAGATCTTTCATCGCCTTGCGCATGGCCGAAATCTCTCTTTCTCAACATTGGACATGCCAATTGAGGCGGTGCTCGCCAAACATGATGCGGGTCCCATCCAACTTAGGTACCGCCTTCAGCAAAAGGAACCCAGGGATTCGGTAATTCTGGGCTCCCGTTACCTCAAAATATGGCAAAGGAGCCCTTGAATTGGAACTAAGGGTGACACAAAGGCCAAGACGGTCCAAAGACCTCAGATGAGCAATTCTTTTGATATATCAATTCGGTCGCGGGATGTGGCTGTGGCAAAACTAGGCCGAAAGTACGCTCCCGTCTCGAAACCCGCCAAGCTCAGCAAAGAATGGTGCCCCTCTTTCAGGAGTCTTTCGCGCACAGCATTCCTGGGGAACCAAATGCCAAATCTCCAGCGAAGCCTGGTTTGTATCACACCCTGCGATTGCACTTACTATATATTGCCCCACTCCCAGCCATTTCCGGGGCAAAACCATGCCTTGTTTAGACCCTTTGGACTCCTGCCCTTTCAACAAGGTGATACTTGTGTGTACTCCTGCAGATCCAGGTGAACCGACTTGAGTTGACTCGGTAAGTTGTTGCTTGTCCTTCTAGTGGACACCTAGCATTCCAAAAAAAAAACCGTTAGTTCCAGTGGATCGCAGAAGCCCAGTATAGGCCGGGCATTTCGTTTTGATTCCCTTTTCTCCAGGTCCATGGATACAGGACCCGTGGCACTGCCAGAAGTCTCGACTCAAGGGCCTCGCACCTTGAAAACGACGGCAAATACGAACAGCGAGGCTCGTATTAAAGCATTTTTGTTCGTCATGAGCAATGGGGTATGCTGACGATTCATCAACCAACCTGTTTGTGAATATGGGGGTGTCCGGTTCTGGTTTTGGTGGGGATTCAGACCACTTTTGGAGGGGTGTCCCCCCCAGGGATAGTAAACATGGGGTTTAATTTAATCTGAATTAACATCGAACCAGCAATTCTTCAGCCTCGTGACTTGACTTTGGCTCCGCGATCACCCCCGCTGGCCGCTTCCGCCCGCGAAGTGGCGGCTCGAGCCCAGCGAGGTTCAAGCCGAAAGCGAGACATGAGCGCACGGCCGGAAAACATTTGTCGCTTGGGTCCAGATTTGCACGGACGAAATTACACCTGTGTGTATGCCTCACATACTAGGCATGATGCTTTTGGGAATGACTAACGCTTCCAAAAAGCCTTCCTTTTCATGAGCTTAGGGATACAGCTCTAACTTCACGCATGGGATAATTAACCCATCTACTGATGGCTAATCAACCCATTCAAAAAATCAACGAGGTGTCATGCCCGGAAAAGTGTCCACCATCTATGTCTTCTAGGCTTGGCCCGATCAGTGGAACCGGAAGTTAGCCCAAGGCCTTTTGATTCGCATGCCACACCAACAGCCGTGACCTAGACCGAAAGCGGTGAAGCTAACATCGTGCTGAAATTTACCCATGACCTTGGAAAAGAAACTCCGCCAAGCCAAGCACCTGAGCATGGCTTCGAGAACCACGAAGTAGTACACCTTCAGCTTCAACGCGCGACGATTTCTATTCAACTGCCTACACTGGTTTCTACGTAGACCTCAGTAATCCACAAGATAAGTAAATTCCGTGCGGCAGACATAGTCGACGCGCGAGCTTGACTTAAATATGCACTTAGACGCGCAACGTCTGGGCCCAACCCGATTGAGCAAGAGCTTGGCTCACCCTGTTATCGTTTTTGTCAACACCCAGGCGGCTACTGGAACAGGAGGCAGACTGGCACTCAAAGCCTGTCTTCAAGACTCGCTTGCAAGATGTTCCACAAGTCAAAGCTGATCTCAGTTGCGCAGTATGCCTTGGTAGACTGCGGGAAACCTTTTGTTGGGTAAACCCCTTTTCTAAGGGGCCTTCCAAACAGAAATAATAAAAGGATCACACTGAACAATAGGGTAGATTCAAGCGTTGCTCTCTGGACAACCCCTACCCCCGTCTCAATTCTGTGTTTTCCCATTTTTCGGTTGATGCGTATCTCGCGTTCGTCGTAGTACAAACATGCATTTCAGGGGTTGGCAAGCACAGCGAGCATTTCTGAACAACTAGCGAGGAGTTGGACGAAGGGGGCATGAGAAGATAAGGAGAGGCCTCAATAAAGCAGGAACCAGGTTTTTCGGTCCTTCTGTGCTGCCTGTCTAGCTGATAAGCATAGCAACAGGACACCCTCAGAGCTACCCCAAAATCAGCTGAGTCATATGCCGCATATTTTCTCCGACGCTATTAAAACCGACCACCGCAGGGTCTCCCACAGCCTGCAGCGACAGCGCCTGAAAGCGCGGGGGTCTTTGCCCCGCTTGACTGGTGGCATCAGCTTCACACCCGTATTCTTTGAATGGAATCAAGCGGAGAAACAACGTAGTACAGGAAGAAAACACTTTGTTTGGGAAACTCGGGGCAAACACGGGAAAATGCTAGTTTTGGGAAGGCCTCGTGCTCAATAACACAAATCATGCACCAGCCCAAAAAACCAACAAATTCCCCATCGCCCAAGGGACATCCATCATGCGGTGTACGAGCTCGCCACGATTCGCCAAGTCTCTGGCCCCAGCCTTCACTCGAGCAAGCGAGCGCTCCGAACTTGTCTCCTCCAAATCATTGAGACTTAAAAAAACGAAAAACACAACTCGTCTCAAAAAAACAAACAAACAAAAAAAACGAGTCTTTTAACATCAAGCGCGCGGATTTGGAGGACCCCAAGAATCTTGAAAACCTCAACAAAGGGCCTTCTGGCCCCGGGCAGTCAGGTAAAAAGCTCCTGCAGCGCGAGCCTGGCTCGAGGCAACAGGGCTGACAGCGGCTGAATACCAGACTAGGCTGCAGCTAAACAAGGAAAATCATGGAGAACAACTGGCAAAATCAGACTTGTCTGATGATTATTCAAAGGTTCTGTCCATGTTAACGAATCCCTGTGGGCACTGAAGCCACCCCAACCAAACAACAAATACTCTACCTGTACCTCCCCCATTTAACTCTGTTGGATGATTGGTCAGAATGCCGGCATGTGGACACTTGCCTCTCACACCCTTCCCACAGCCCAGTTTGCCAGGCTTCAGCCTTTTGACGCACCCTCAAACTCTTAGGGGAGGACAAGGGACACCGAAAGTTGAGAGGGAAACCTGCTCTTCGGTAGAGTTCAAAAAAGTCGGGCCCGGTGTAGCACCGGTTCAAAGGTGTTTCACCGCAGATTCTGCTAGAAGCTCCCTTGCAAAGAGCCTGTCACAACAGTATGCATGCTTTCCCAACGACCAGAAACCACGCCAAAAACGCAGATTCGTAGTGATTGTCCCCAAAGACCCCTGAATGTTTGGGGGCCTTAACAAAATCTCAATGGGTCCTTGTTTGGCCAAATACGATCTTAACCATTTTGGGGGGCCTTTGTTGGGTCGGTGTAGAACACCCTTTTGTCCCCGTCAGATGGCTGGTGCTTGCAAGTCTCCCCCCTTGCTCGATTGCTCAAATTTGCTCCCCTGCTCCACCCCCACCAAAGGCGTCCGAGGGAGCTCCGGCACACCGCTCTGCCGCTCTGCCGCTCCTGTCGGTGTCTGGATCGAGGCTGAGGTCCCAAGTCTTCGTAAAGATGCCGCCCAGCAGACTCTCGCTCTTCAGCTCTGGCTCCCAGATCCTCACGTCGGTTCCAGCAAAAGGGTGCGTGGGTGCTTGGGTCTTTTAAAGGGCAGCCTTTGATTGGTTGCAATGGACACCAATTGAAACCAATCCTGTTTGGGAGACCCCAACTTTAATTACGCCACACCCACCACCAACAAGCAACTCACGTAACAATTGTCCTAACGGAAAAGATTGAAACCACTCAAAGGACCTGGTCAACGCTCGTTTTTTGGTGGGGGCTGCCCTGTTGAGACACAAATCAGCGCTTTCTGTCTACCTCCTGTCAGCCAGGCCACAGCGCTGCGCAGGGCGGTCTCATCTGAGCGCACGCGTCCAGCAGAAGGGAAGCACACATCAGGTAGTGATGCTCCTCAGCCAAACGAACTCGGGGCTAGCCGGGTGTCCAGTATTTGTTGAGGCACCGCTATTTTGGATGGTTTTAAAGGAAGCCACAAGGAAAACAACAATGTTTGGCCTGCTCTTTGGGAGACTTAAAGGGAAATCAAAAGCAAAAACCACCCACCATTTGGGAGGCGTCCCCTAAAGAAGACACGCCTTAAATGTATAAGTCCATGTTTGACGATAACGCGTGAACTGGTGAATTGGCAACTTGCCCAGTAACCAGATCTGTGGACAAAACCCAAGCCGATCGATCCGCACCAGTTGGGATCTGTGGTTTATCAATCTGTATGCATCGATTTTCGCCTGTCCCAGCAGCTGGATGTTGTCTATCACTATCAAAGATATGGGTGTGGCTCAGAATGAAGCAACTAGGGTTACGCAGGTTTTAGTCTTTGGTTCCATTTACCAGGGCAACCCATGTTAAGAACCATTTATTTGAGCAGGGATCCTTACATTGTACACCTGAACATTGCCTTGTAAATGCTGGTTTCCCTTTATTCTGGTGGAAAAAGCCCTGTTTCAAATGGGCAAAATGGAGATCTTTTAAGGAGCCCTGTTGAGCAGCCATGTCAAATCGATCTCGACCGGGCGGGCCGGGGTCTGGCAGCTTGGCCTCGAGTGACCTACGGCGACCTACGGGGCTTTGTGGAGCCAACCCCAACCGTTAGACACCGAAGGTTGAAACACCCTTCTTTGGGTTACCCTTGATTGGGGGGGGGGAGGGTCTGACCGATGAAGGAAATGCACCCCACCCCGGTTTGACCCTATTTTCGATGAAATACAAGGAAGGCCTTGAACAGTTCCAAGGGTATATAGCTGCTCATTTGGTGCCCTTTTGGCGAAAACAACACACTAGCTGTTGGGCACCGAGCATTGTTTGGGGGGGGGGGGTTCTTGATTCAGTGTTTACTCAAACCCCCAGTGGAGTTCCATAGGATAAGACTTGGCGCCTGCTTCTTGGCTCCTCTCCAAAAGTGATCCCTTTTAGTAGGGATTCAAACCACCTTTGGAGAGGCCCCCTGCTACGACGGGTTCTACTTCGATCTGCGGTCAAGGCTGACAAAATAGTCTCCAAAATGTGCCGGTAGAGAATTCAAGCCAAAGCCACCTGACCTAAAACGGCCCTCTCCGCAACTAGGGCTCCAACAAACCCGAAGCCGGAAGAAAAAAACGGCCCCACCAGCGACCGCGTCCGGCGGCGATTCGCGCGCCGCGATCGCGTTTTCTCGGCTCCGGCTTCGGGTGGCCTGCGCCGGGCCCGCGGTGAGGTGCTGGAGCTCCAGCACCGCCACGGCCGTTGGCCGGAAGCGCAGCGCCTGCAGCGCCAGCAGCGCCGCGGGCGCCTGCGAGGCGTGGACGTGGCACTGAGAAATACCGGCGAGGGGTAAGGCTGAAAGGGGCACTCTTTGTGTGGTATCTCAGTATCTCGAAGTATGGGAAAAAATATTGATGCGGAGGCAGCGCCAGACAGCGGGGCATGGATTGTATCTTGGGTGCTGATCCCCGAGAAAGTGCTTGACTTGTTGCGGGAGAAAAGGACGTATGAGGGGTATCCAAAAGTTTAAGTCGAAAGATCCAACCCAACAGCAGAGGATGTCTTGTGTGTCCATACAAGCACGTATACGGGCGCGTCGTTTTGGGGTGTTACCCCCTTGTTGGGTGTGGTTTAAAGGAAAACCACCATGTTTTCGTTGGGGTGGGGGGGTCCCTAAGGGACGCACACATTGGTTTGGTGCTGAGGTGAGTTTGGCACCTTCCCTATTTGGTTCAAAGCTTCGCTTGGCTTGGAGCCCGGTGGTGTGGTTCAGGGGGTTCCCATGCAAACCCTCTACAAGAAACAGCAGCTCAGGGCGTTCAGACGGAAGCTGATCAGGGTCCGAGGGGGAAACCACCAAAATCAGGTCGCCAACTTGCAGATATTCCCATGGTGGATTTCCCCTGACCCTGCTTGCGTTTCTCCTTGTGGGTGGGGAAAAAAATGTCTGTCCGGCTTCTGGGCCAGCATGCAACTGAGGCTTTCATTGGTGGGGTGATGTTGTAAGTTAGTTGTCTTACCCCAGTTTGGTTTCCAAAGGAGCGAACCTTTGACAGGTTCGATTCCTACAGGGGTTAGTAAGTCCAAAATGTTTCTTAAGCACATTCATTGGTTGATATTCAATTCTTCACCTTAAAGGTTTGGAGGTGTTGAGGTAACTTCGCATGTTGGCTTAGGAACTGTGGTTCCCTTCACCATGCCCGCCCCCAAAGGTTTCAATAGTCCAAGCGCAAGATCTGGGCAAATTGCACTTCACCAACTTCAAACGAAGGGATCCCATGCATGGGACCCACAAGAAGTAGCGCGTTAAAAAGGGATGAAAGTCTATTGACTATTCACAAACAGCCTCTACGGTAAGATGTTGCTACATCGCCCAGTGGTCGAAGGGATCCCATGGGACCCGCAAGCGAGAAACATTCCTTCATCGCGTAGAAGGTCGTGAGATATCATGAACGTTCCTTTCATGTTCGGGACGACATGTATTGAATTTCCATTGGCAGGAACTAACACCTCAACTTCATACATTCTCGGGAGGCCACAGCAGCAACCACCGTGGATGTGGAAAATGGGCCCCTGTCCGCGATGCCTAAGTGTCTGCTTCCAACCCCCATTGCAGAATACCATCTAATATAACTCCTCCAATGGCCACTCACAGAAATAGCAAGCTAGTGGTGCTTAAACTCACCAACTATTGTTTGTGAAAACCGCCTAATGTTAGATAGCGATTAATAAGACGGGAGTGAACACAGAAAAAACTCTCAAAATTAGTCACTCTCCTGAAAAGCAAAAAGGGTAGGTATTACAGAAAAAAATCTGCCTGAAATCCCGAAAATATGTCCCCTTCCAAGAATGCACTATTTTTGAGGGTTGAAACGTTTGAGTCCAGCCAGACATGTCCATAATTTCTGGATTGCTTCCTGTCCCAAACCACCAAATTCCTTATCAATCCCTTTACTAGAAGATGCACCCTGACAAAGTTTCAAGGGGGGGGCACACGGAACCCCCAGGAAGGCAATAATAACAAAAATGGCCAGGGCAGCCTGCCAAGAAGAAGAACCAGTACTAAACCAATTCTAAACTGTAGTGAGTCAACTGAAAAGAATACTGAACTAATACTAAACCAATTCTATTCCGTAGTGAGCCAGCTCAAAGGAATACTAAACCAATACTAAACCAATTCTAAACAATACTTACTGGAAAACTACTCAGGCAGGTCCCAGTCTGACCCCCATTTTGTTTTTGGGGGTTCTCGCTATTGACCCCCCCCAATTCGTTTGAGGGGGGGGGCCCTTTATTAATCACTCCACAACATCATTACCCATTCCCTGACTAAATCCGTCGAAAAGAGTCCAAACATGTTTGTTTGAAATGCCACCAACATTCCCAAACAGCGTCTCTTCCACCAACAGAGGACTTCAGAAACAGACCACCTACAGAGCCCTAGAACCCCCCCACAGCCCCACAGCCCGCCCCCCACAATAATGTCCGCCAAACCATAGCTGAGAGACTCCGCCCGGCTGAATGTACTTGATGTGCACGTTCCGCAGCACCTCGTGGCGAAGGGACCCGCACATGGCTGCCGATCATATGCTCGGGGCTTCAAGAAGGCTCACAAGGGCCAAGCGGTCGTTGGAGGGGTTGGTGCCTACAACTCGGCAGACATTGTCCATCTTACCCCTTAAAACTCCAAGGATTGGGGAAGTTAATCTTGTACAGACATATAGCCCATGTTACCCAAAAAGTTGAAAAGTTGTGTTTTTAAGAGGTAAGCCATAGTATAGACAATTTCTGGCTTGAATGGCGCGGTCCGGGTCAATCCGGGATTGACACTCGAGAGAATCAATCCGGTTGGGGGAGTTGAACCTCCGCCCGCTTTGTCCGACGCGGGTCGACGTCAAGGTTCCGTCGTTCCCCGCCTACGCAGGACTGGTGTTGCAATGGCGATTGCTCTCGCAAGGGGTTGAAGGCAATCGTGTTCAGATTCACGGGCGTTGTAAGGGGTGAACACCTGGCGTGTGTCCAGCACTGCAGCGCAGAGCACAAGGACCAAAAGCCGCGCGGCGAAAAACACACCAAAGAGTTTTGTCGCTGGGCATGAATGCGCGCCTCCGCCTTGATCTGCCTCCTCACACACTTCCTCTAAGCGAGGATTTTTTGGAAGTCGAGATGGCTTCCTTCCTCTACCCAGCTCAATCTTGCCGACATGGAAAAAGCCCATGCAAGGTGGCATGCTCGGCAAACGCTTGACGCACTTGCACCTCTTCCAATCTGGCTGCAAGTGCCGGGCTCACAAAGACAACATCCTTACGTACAGCCCTTGAAAGTATTTTGGATTTGCAGGCCCCACTTATCCCACGCTACCTGCTGTGGGTCTTTCCATCCCTTGCACTCCCCCTCCTTGACCACTACGAGTTTGTCACGGGTATGGTTCCAAACCCCACATAGTGCAATGCGTCTGGTGCACGCCCAGCAACCTCAAGCAAATCCAGGTGGCACACTGTGTCTGTTGGCCAAAAGAAGTCGATTTGGAGACCAATTATACAGGGGGGGGTCCCATTGCTCAAATGCCTTTTGTCTGCTCTTCCCAAGCAACAGGTCTAACCTCTTTTCCAATTAAAGATCCATAATCTGTTGTGTGTTTGATGGACTGACTACTTGTTCAATTAGGTTTGACAGAAAAATGACTTGCTTCCCAAAGGTCTCAGGGGCTAAGTTCACACCAAAAACCAGCCATGCAATTTGCTCAGATGCTTGGGACTGGTTCGGTCTGCGCACTCCCCGCTGAGCCCCGCCTCGTCCACAGGATCCTGGCGACCGGCAGAAAATGGGAATCAAACACACCTGCGCCGGTGACCTGATCTGGAGCAAGCAAGTAGCAACACCGTGAAACCTTCTCACAGGATTCTTGGCCTTGCCCAAATTGCTCTATTTCATCAGCCCCAATTGCATGTCTAAGGGACCTCCATGATGGACTCGTTTTTGCCCAGCTCCCTAAAACTAGAGCAACCAAATACGGAGCTGACTCCGTAGATTGGCCCAAAAAGCCCGAACTGTGCGTTTCCCCAGCAGATGAGATCATGTCCTGAAAAGTCCAAAAAACAAAATGAGTAAAAACCAAAAGAGCAGTCGAGAAATGTGGAGGTGTCCAAATTTGGACCCATTCGGTTGCGCTGAAAGGAACACCCAGGCAAGCCCATCTTTAGGAATGGCCCTGACAAAATAAGCTCTTAAAGGTTCCTTTCGGATGCTACACACATGATTGTCTCTTGGCATAAGCCTTTTAGAACCCGCTTGGAACCCTTCAACGGGTCCCCTGAATACCTATATCCCGAAACGTGCAACTCCCCATGTATCATCAGAAAACAACTGTGTCAAAACCGGGGGACCCCTCCAAATGGTGGCAGTTCTATTGAAAATCGTACCCTCAACAAAGCACAAAACCACTTGTAGGCAGGGCTGACGCTACATATTTTCCCGTGCTTGGGGTTGCGAGGGGTTGACTCATCAACGGTCCATCACATTTACTAGGAGCTCAAGGTTACGCATCCTTACTTTCCATGGGTTGCCATGACTCAAACTGCACCGGCAGAGCAACAACCGAAGCGTCGGCCCCAAGGAGAGGAACCGATTTTTAGAGCATCCGCTTTGAGAATACAGCCCTTGGCACAAATTGCCGGGCTCCAAATTAGAGTAAATTGTAGGGGTTGATACCCAATGAATTTATTTCATCTTTGTTGTATAAGAAAAAGCAGCCGGTGTCTGTGTCATGTGTTGTTTGTTAAGAAAGATTCCTGGAAAGACTGGGGAAGTTTCGCTATAGAGCCTTTGCTAAAACCACCTCTTTTTTGCCTTTGCGTGAGGGGCCAGGGCCGGGGTCTAGTTTGTTTCAACAAACGTTGGGAATGAACGAAAGGGGAAGCAAGCAGGAAGCTGCGCCGGGGGATCCTTTCCCCAAGGCGGCAAACTCTTTGAACGGGCGCTCTCCCTGCGGCAAAAACACGACTTCAGCTTCTTCTTCCCATCTCCTCTACCCCACAAAGTTAGGTTTGGAGAGAGACCCACAAACAGCCATGTTGGTTCCAGGTTCGAAAACTACTTTGGTTGTAGAGACCGCTTTTGGAGACCTACAACTTCATGCGGTTGAACCATCCAGACCCACCATACAAGCGCCAGGTTGGTTCCAGGTTGGTTCAATCACTTTGGTTGCAGAGAACCCAGTTTCACCATCCACTCCACCGGCCCTCTCGAGGCACCTCTTTGGCCATCTGCCGCAGCTCCAGGCCTCGGAGCTTCGACTTCTCGCAGAGCACCAGGCACTGCGCCGCCTGCACGCGGGCGTGCCGCGCAGCCGCGCGTGAACGAATGGCTGGGACCCCGAACGGTTTCCTCCAAACTCCTCAAGAGCCTGGGGAGACTAAGGTCTTAAGGGCCTTGTTAGCTTGGGGTGTTTTTGGGTCCGAGGGACTTGTTGGGGTCTTATTTTGCTTATCTTGGATTTGTTTCGTTCGGAAACAGGGCCCGGGGGTTTGGGGGGGTTGGGGACCCCATGGAATCCGAAGAAATCCCAGGGCTCCCAAGTTGGAACTTAGAAACCGTCGGGCAAATCCACCGACCCGTGGATAACCGGGGCCGCTGACCCGCTGATCCGCGCATCCCGCGCATCCGCCGCGCCTCGCCCTCGAGATCTCGCTCCCGCAGCAAGCGCCGCAGCAGCCGCAGCAGCGGCGCGGCCGAGTCGGGGAGGCTTCGGCAGAAGACCTCGGATCAGCTTTCCAGGGGTGAGGCATGGTGGATATGTAGGCTGTGTCCCAAAGAAAGGCGAGCCCTATAGGTGGTTTCCCTTTCAAAACTACAAAAACAAAAGTACCCTCAACAAAGACTCACCGTTTTGTGTGCCGGCAACTGACACGGGATTTGGTGAATAGCCCCGTTGCCTGGCAATTTGGTGAGTGTACCCACCAAGCCCCTTGGATTGCGGGGGGGTTGACCACATGGAGCCATGTGGGGGTTGATCAAAACCTCCGTGATACATGGGATCACCAAAGAAGCCACCCAAAAATGATATGACATCCCCCACTAAACGGGAAGAGTTACCCATGGTCATTTGGGAGCCAGGAGTACTGATCAACCCCCATATGTTCACAACCTGGCATTTGCATAGTCTCCCTCAGAACTACCCTGTTACAATACCAAGCGGGAACGCACTTGACGCCTGTTTCGTGGACCCAACTGAAAGCTGAAAGGGCACAACTGAGAGTTGGATTCAGCCCTTTTGCAGCACAAGTCTCCCCAACCAGAAAGAAGTCTTCTTCGGGCTTGGCGGAAAAATCCATGTTTCAAAAGGCCAAACTGTAGCCTTAGTATCCTTTGCTGCGTGCTAAATGTGGGGTCTGAAAAAAAACGGGGAAAAAAAAGATCCGTCTCTTTTTGGTCTCCTTAGGGGGGAAAAACTAACAAATATGGGGCTATTTGGGAACTGTGTGTCGAGATAGGGGTTCCCGAAAAAGGAGGTGTTCCTTTTTCTTTTGGTTTCCCTGCAAACCAAACCAACAGGGTACCCTCAAACACACTCGCGCACACGCACGCACACACACAGATACACACACACAATCAAGTAGGCCAGTCTTGCTCAACTCTGCTCAGCCGCAGCTTGCGAAGCGCTCCCCCGGAGACCAGGCAGCAGCGCATCCGTCACATCCGAAGCGTCGACGGACATGGCAAAATGGAAAGGGGCAATTGATGTCAACACGCGGTTGGTGCAAACAAGTCGCGTTGTTGGTTCTGTTGCTTTTGCTGAGTGCCTTTCCGAGTTCCCCGACGGGACCTGGAACTGTATGGAAGCCAACCATTGGTCACATCTGGTTTGTGGCGGCTTACAAACCTCATGTGGCCAAAGAAAGCCCTGTTTCTTGGTAAATCATCTTCCATGGTAGGGGAGCTTTGATAGACTATATACCACTTGCTCAGAGTCATGTGTATCTTTGAATTGCATATTTAAGCACTAGCCGATGGCTTCAACACGCGCAGCAGAGCGACAGGAAGCTGCTCACTCATGTTCTTGTCAGGAAGGCTGCAATGTGGCTTTGCGTTAAACAAGGTGGAACCCACAAAACGGTGGCATTCCTAGCGGCTTCCCTTCAGACCTACGTGAAACGGGTGCCCTCAGCAAAAAAGACACACACACACACAAACACACAACGCTTGGTCTGTCAAACAAACAGTAGAACATGATATTAAAAATAATTGAATCCATGTACTGCATCACACACACTTTACTATAAAAGTTGATAATATATTCAAACCTTGAAAATATATTAATTAACCCATGCTCTACAATGTCGGAAAACAATCATAACCTATTGTAGAACTGCCCACATAAACACAAACACAGACACAAAGACACACACACAAACACAAACACAAAGACACACACACACACACACGTGGCCAATGTTCAACCCATTCTACCAACATGGGCCACCGCTGTGATTATTTTACTATCGCTCCAAGCCTTTACCCTTGGAATGCGGAAAGTGGCCACCTGAAACCCACTATCCCCGTCTCATTTCCCAGTTCTTAGCGCTCCGTCTGGGTTTCTCGGGAAGATACCATGGTCCTCTGCAGTTCTGAGCAAATTCCAGAAAGAACCCCAAGCTGCAAGAAGGGATCCAAGCCAATGAGCAATCCTTTCAGAAAACCGCCAAACACGCGGTTTCTCAGAACGATGGCGGAGCAACGGAGCAGTTTCCAACACCTGACAACTTTTAACTCCTCAATTTCCCCCCCCCCCCCCCGCCTGTTTCACGCGATCCAACCCCCAAAACGCCGAGTTGAGGCCTTTTGGAGAAACCCGGCAGACGGAACAAATGCCAGGGGTGGCTCCTATCTATATCCCACCTCGCTTCCCGCCTTGGGGCGAAGAGTTCAGGCGTTGCTCATTTTCCACTTCACCGCTGAGGAGTTCAGAGGTCGAAGGTGCACTTCTCGCACCGTTTCGTCTATGGGGCAGCGGAGCCATTCAGTTGGCCGACCGTTTCTGGCTGACGAGGTTGGGTAAACAAAACACCTCCAGGAATCCGAATCAGTTTTACGGGGGGCGATTCATGTTTCCAACGAGGTAGTCTCAAACAAACACCTTGCGTGCCTCAAAACAAGATATGCTGAATTGGCATTGGCTTTGGGTGGCTTAAACCCAACAGGGTACCCCAAAAAGACGCATCCGAATTGCCTTGATGGAAGTGTGTGTGTGTGTGCTTCCTACAGTGAGTCTTCCAAACAAGCGGTTTGTGTTCACTAGTGTTTCCCTTTGACAACCAGCCAAAAATGAGAAAAGGTGGGGAAAAGGAAGGACACAAGCATAGTGGTTCCTTGAAGGGTGCACATGTGGCTGCAGGAAAACCACCGGAAAACCTAACCACCTGTCCCTCCCCGGTTGTGTCTTGATCGCCGCAAGGCTCGGAAATGGGGTGGTACGTCAGCGAATGGCTCCCCTGCCATCGCCCAGCTCTTGTGGACCTGAAAACTTCCGGTGAGCAACATGGAGCGCAATTGGCGTTTCAGGATATCCTGGTCCCCTTCCAAGGGAGCCCAAGGACTTTGGGACGCTCATTCAAGAGCTTGACCCTGCACCCTTCCGGCATCCGCATGGATCAAGCCCGGCATGAAAGCGTTGAACCAACAAGTTTGAACCCGTGCTGATTTGCTTCGCACCTGTCAAATGGAGGCTGTGTTCCTCGTGATGCACTGGATCGCTCAAAGAATTCCTTCCCGCGGTCCCAAAAGGACTTTATTCTAAACATGATGCTTTGTTGCCGGAGTTTACGTGATGCAGCAAAGTATGTAAGCAGTGTCGTCAAGGTGGTTGAAAGGAAGCAACCTGGGTGTCCCGTTTTCAGCTGGAAGCACCCCTAGAGTATGACCCTCTGTCAGGTGGGCCGCGTGAAAGAAATCGAGACCCGGTGAATTCCTCACAGACTTGTCTGACCAAGTTCAGTGGAAAAACAGCACCGTTTCTTTATGATAGAAAGTCGGAAAGTCCTGCAAAACTTGATTGGCTGCAAAGTCCCTCGCCGACCAAGCCGCCCATGGCTTTTACATGAGGAGATGCAGGTGCTTGTGCCTTGCTGCAACTCGCACATGCGTGCATCGAGCCAGCTGCAAGGGCTGACATCGCAAAATCAAGGGAAAATTGTATCCCTGGGACGGGAACGCAACCCTGTCATGTACAAGTCGCTTTCTGAATTAACCCTTGCTGGGTTAGTGAGGTTCTACATTTGGGTCCCGCACCAAAAGGGGCACGTGGGATTTTCCTTGAGCAAAAGTACATTGCTTAATTGATCTCACACAACGAACTGACCGCGCAGTCGCCGCAGCGGTCGCTCGACGAATTCTACCTCAGCGGTCTGATGTCACAAAAACTGGTTTGTCACACAACTATGGGCAGTAGTGAGGCAGTGTCTTGCAAGAAGTTTGCTTAATGTACCCTCACATTGTGCCGACAGACCAGAAACAACAAATAAAGTTCATGAATGCTGTTCTGCGTTGGCTGAATTGTGATACGTGCCGCAGGGCAACGCCCTGAGTGTCACACCAGATCAGATAATTATAAGCGTTGCGTTGAGAAACACCACATGTAGCTCAAACAGAGGCAGCCTCCAAAGTTGGCCGGTTTCATGCAAGCGTGCCCCAAATATCGGCCCTGATTATTGACCAATATGGATGTGTATGTGTGTGTATTTCTTTGCGGGGAATTTTTTCCTGCTGGTTTTCCTTTGCAGCTCCATGCAAAACCGTGGCCAACAACCACCGTCGTACCCACATTGTAACCTGATTTGCCCAAACCTGGACGCCTGGACGCCCACCGTTCTGCAGAGTTTACAAGTTCAGACTTCGAACAAGGGATCCCCCAGTAAAGAACCTGAATCGTGATGAGCTTGTTTGACACCTGAATCGGTGAGCTCCCGATGGGAAAAGGAAGATGGTTTGGGACACCGGGGAAAAGAGAGATGTCCAAAGGCAACCTGGTTGCCTTAAGCGGAGATTAACAGGTCGGCAAGCCGACACAGGTGGATTGTCCCTTTGCCTTGGAAAAGAGTGGGGCCTCCAAAACAAAACTTGAACACACTTGGGCCGGGCCAAAGCTTGCAACCCCATCCTAAGTGATCCTTGCTTCACAAGGACTGCCTTTCAGCTGTCCAAAGCGAGTTGGAAGGCCCACAAAACCAATCAATCCCGACCTCCGGGGCCTCAAAGGCCAACCAAAAACCCTCCAAAACACCACAAAGCATTGGTCATGTCAGGTGGCCTTTCGGGGAAAAAAAGAAAGGATGGGTTTGCTGGCCAATGGAACCATCCAAACCAGATCCCATCTATGCTCAACCAAACCTAAAAAGGACACCTATGGCCATATTGCTCATGAATTCCTGAAGGTCCACAGGTTAGCTACGTAACTGATGCACAACCGACCGAGTTCTGGGATGAGACTGTGATGGCAGTCATACTTGAGCATCCCAAAATTGTCGGCACCCTTGGCCGTACGCAATAACGCGTTAGTAGGGGCTTATCCTTGCATCCCAGGCCTATCTAGAATTACTCCAGGAGATCCTTTGTTGCTTAAGTGTCGCTTGTTGTTGGTACAACCAAAATCACGGTCTGGGTGGTAAATGTTTTATCGGTTCATTGGGCATCTCCCGTTGCAATGGATGGAACCCACTTCAAGCGTCTCGGGCGAAACACGCCAAATAATGGAGAAGATTTGAGCGTCTTTGGATTGGTTGCAAAGCATGTCCCAATCTTAGAATTCCGTAATTCCGGCAACTTGTGGCTTACGACCCACCCGCAGGTAAAAGTGTCTTGGTGTTGGGTTCCAATGTCTGTCTGATTCAACTTGCTGGTGCGATAAGTAGGGAATGTGAAAACGAACCCAGGTATTCCCTTAGAGGTAACCACACGGGATAGTTTACATTCGGGTCATTCTATTTCTCATTCCCTGCATCTCTCGCGCCAGCAAGATACACCATCCTAGTAGTAGGGGGGTGTCACCCACTTTTGCAGTAATCTTAAGGATTACCAGGGATTTTTTTAATTTGGCCACCCCCAAATTCCCCAATTGGTCGTGCACTCAGTGCTCAGAGACCCGGATTCGTTCGTTCGATTACCGGCCTAGCAATCCGACTTCAAGGCACCCGCAGGGCGATGCGATGATCCTTCCAAAGCTCCGACAGCTCGTCCGCGGCCACGGACTCGTTGCCTTGGCGCAGCAGCATGCGCCCAGCCGCGTCCTGAAGCGAACCGCTGGGCGGTTCCGGGGTTTTTGTTGGTCCAAACGACGGCAGGAACGACTGGCCTCATTATTTTACCATGATCAAAATCACCCTCTAAGTGGTGGGTCAAAGGGAAACAACCCCATTTTCTGACGTTGATAACCCCCAGAAACCGTCAAAATAATGACCCAGAACGACATCCATTCAGAAATTGGCTTGTGCTTTTTGAGGCTGCACCTTCCAGGTTGGTGTGATGCAAGGGCAACACAAATGGAACACTACCATGTTGCGGGGTCCCGCCATTTTAACACACATTTCGAGAAGTTTGAAAAGGCCCATCTCGTTCAAACGGCTATGAGAACGTCAAGACATTTTGGCCTCAATTGCTTGCATAACCCTAACGTAGAGCCCACCAGACGAGTTTCTCAACATTCGGTTTAGGACCTCCAGGGCTCCAACTCTGATTCAGCGTGATAAAAAGATG